TTTGAGGGCCATTGGGTGCTCTGACAAATTCAGCGAGGTTATCGCCAGATAGAGCTCGCCAAGATCTATCTGGAGAGGCGTATCTCCATATTGGAGAACACTCCTGGACAAGGGGGAAAAGTTGATTTAACTCAGCTAAAAATCAAATAAATCACTATAAATCAAATAAATCACTTTGAATCAAATAAATCACTTTAAATCAAATAAATCACCTTAAATCACAAAATCATAAATCACCTTTTCCCCCTTGGCAGAATAGCTATTCAGTAGCGTATGACATGATTTTTACTAGGGATATTTCTATGGAATTTTTCTATATACATATATAATCATTTGAAAGTTCAAAGTAAAAAAGCAGTGACCGAATAAGGATTCGAACCTTAGGTATGTGAACTAAGGAGTCAAAGCTCTTACCACTAAGCTATCCGGTGTTGTTAGATAATTGTGAAGGCTTTAGAATAATAGTTATGGATATTAATCGATCCTGTCATGTATAGAATATATCCGCTCGAAAAATAATAAATCCTCTGGAGGATCGATTTATCTTAGAGAGTTAAATGCAAGTGAACGTACATAGATATATAAATCCTTAATAAATCCGTTGAGAGAAAAATAGATCCGCTGGGGGACCGATTTACCTTAGAGAGTTAAATGCAAGTGAATGTACATAGAGATATAAATCCTTAATAGATCGGCTGACATTAAAATGATCCGCTAGGACATTATTTGTTCTGATAGGTGCTAGAACAGTCTCTGTTATAAAATAATATTGCTAGAATAAATCCGTTTGATAAAATCGATCCGAGGATAGTTTCCATTGTGATAAATATAGATTTATATGATTTATAAAAGCATTTTTCCACGTTATACCACATGGAGAAAAGATCCCGGAATTTTTAAAAGATCTAATAAATCCCAAAAAAAATAAGTCCCGGTAGCCCCTCACTTCTGGCACAAACAACTCATTTTCTGTCCTGTCCTTGCATTTTCCCTGCCGAGTACTGTCAGTCGAGGGCCCAATGATTCGACTCTCGATGTCGATGAACGTTACTTGTGGTTAGAACTCATTAAATTATTCTATAGCAGGTTTATACATGTTTCTTGCAAAATATCCAACACTTTGATGAAGTATTTTAATGCCTGAGTTTTATCGCCTCGACTGCTGCGTACACTGTAAAAAAAATTCGTAGAATACTAAACCCTTACGGGTTGATGAAAGTGCAACGTATAATAAACCCTTTTTCCATTTTTGAAAATTTTCATAAACCCTTAAAGGGTTTATGATTATGCGGAAAATACCCATTAGGGTTTATGAAAATTTTCAAAAACGGAAAAAGGGTTTATTATACGTTGCACTTTCATCAACCCTTTTTGGGTTTAGTATTCTACGGATTTTTTTTTACAGTGTATTAATTCAATATCACGTAATGTTAGTACCATGCTCCACTTTGCAGCCGAACGAAGATTTTGATCTATAATTAAGGCTTGATTGTGGCAAATAAGTGCATCTTTAATGCGTTCTGCATCTAAATATGCAATACACAATGTTCGATAGAGTCAAGCCAGAATTAAACCTTCTAAAGGCATTAATCGTAGGCGAATGTCGATTGATCGTTTTGCGAAGTCCATAGTAATTCTTTTGTAATTACTTTTGTATATCAAAAAGCCATAAAAGTCGAGAAAATCGATATACTCACGTCTGTTATTATTGTCATGTTCGTAAATCGTAATACCTATTTCGTATTGAATTCAGCATTAATAACATTTCGTTGTTGCCAACTGAGAACACATTTATGTAGCCATATATTAGCCATGTCAATTGATCTAGTTGCTATCCATAGAAGTGTTTTACATTTGGGCCAAAACTCGTTCTGTTTCGAACTAGCAGTGTATTGGTCAAACTTATGGCAACGTTGATATCGCAGTTCTTCACTTGAACTGGCAGCTTCCTTTCTATATATGTCTGGTGCCGTAGAAAATGCCTGGACATACATATCGACTGTATGAGGGGCGAATGAATATGTTGCTGTTTGAGTAGTAAGTGTACATAACCATATGTTTTTTGATGAGTTAAATATCAAGTTTTCGACAAAAAACTGAGTACCAATATCGAAGAGAACTTCTTGTTCATCGGGGAACATGCTCAAATGAGCAATGTTAGCAGCTATTAGTAATGGTGAATTCCAGTCTGCCTTGATTTTAAGTAGCGATGCTTGTGATTCACTACCTTGTACTTGATCAGCACCAGCAAAGAAAATGGCAATTTGCCTATTCAGACTGGCGGACATAAAACCTTTAGTGCGAATGACGGTGCCAACGAGATTTCATAATATATCGAGCTCTTGTTCCGATTGTCGAAGTTCATAATACACAATAGTAATCCCTTTCATGACTCCTTGTTGTTTATGTTTTAACTGCATGAGTTGTAAACTCAAATGAGTAATGTCGAAACGTATATTATGAAACATTTCTAGATCGCCTGTACGAAATATCTTGTTGACAAATCGATAGAGAAAAATATCTTTTGTGAACCAGTGGACGGCATCCTGAGATCGATATCGTCGTGCGAACCAGTTAACAGAGGTCAGTTCTGTTTGCTGTCCCTGATAGTATTGATAACATCGATCAAGCATTGTAAGCATGCACATGATGTCGTCATTGATAATCGAAACAACGTTACATTCAAGTTGTTTGTAACAATGTTCAGCTGGTTGTAATAGACGGTGATGTATAGTAAGATCGATGTTCCATGGATCATCTATTATCATTTCTTCCATCACGAATTTAAAAAAAGAGTATTATCAATAATACAAATATCGGTGGTAGAAAATCTTACTAATGTTCAAATTAGTATCAGTTAGTAATCATTTTTCCTGCATAGATTGCTTATATTGAATCGATATCAAGTTTGACCAAGACATGCAACAATGATTAGGATACCTAATAATAGATACATCAGCAATAGAATTTCATCGGTACACTAATTTTGTGAGATAATTAGAATGCATATCTTTCGACCATAATGTTTGCATCCATTGTTTTCGATACTTCATTATACGTAGCTCTTGCAAGAGACCCATTGAACATAGGTAATACTTCAGGTTATCTAACGATGTCGTCTTGTCAAATGGTTCTTCTTGCAAATATTTTGTACGCTTTCAAAATCAAAAGTATTACTTTGAAAGACATGCTTAAAATCTATATTTCGTTCTTTCCAGAGCTTAGATCAACATACATGAATGTGGCAGAAGATGAAACTTCACCAAATCACAAGCGCTCTTTTATGCTTAATACTCGAAAAGAGAAGCGTCGACCTAGTTCGAGACTAAACTTTTATCATATAATCCGATGATCAAAATATTTTTCCTTATCTCAAACATCGAATGTAATTTTAAAAACAAGTGATATGATAACGGCATACATATGGCGATGAGAATCTTCCATCTTTGCGAGAGAAAAACTGAAATATTCCACTATTGACTTAATCTATTTTGCCGTAAAGCAAAAAAAGAACAATGTGATGGGTCTTTGCCAAATAAAAAAAGAAATGCAAAGTAGAAAGAAGAACAAGCAAAATTTCTGAAACACATCTTGCAAACTATCCACATTTATCCCCTAATGAAAATCAATACAGTATTTCTTGAATAATATTGATTGAAATGTTAGAAAGTACCATGGATTTTTCATGAAAGAAACAAAAGTCGAACTAATTCAAGTAACAATTGAAATAAGGAAATTATCAATGAACTTTTAATCAACTGTTACACCGAATAATTTCACATCGTATTCGTCACATCTGTCTTCCATTTACTCAAGGACGGCATTTAAATAATAGATTTTCTCATTACAATTGTCACATATTGTAGTTGATGTCACTACCGGTTTTTTTTCATACTCTACGAATGTTGATTAAAATCATGCATTAATAATAAGAACGGGAATATTCAAAAATATATTATTGTTGTCACTAATAGAATATCAAGAATTAGACCACCTCCTATTGTTCAAAGAAATACATGATATGATTCACTATTTACTTTCACTAGTCAAAAAAGAGAATGGAACTCTTCGAGGTTGTTTGGTTCACGTAAACTTAAAGAATGTGATGCTTTCAATACTTTTTTTCAAAATAGTATGGATAGACCAAAATTTTGCAATACTTGATATCATCTTACCAATGAATGCAGAGAAAAATATATTTCTGAGAATACTATCAACGAAATACGAATATATTGAAAGTTCAGTATTTTGTGTCCCAAAACGGGTAGATGAATAGGGGTGGCACTTTAACTTTAAATTGACCGTAAAGTGCAGAGTTTAAAGTTGTTTAAAGTTACAGTTAAATGCTTCTTTTCGGCGTTTTATCTGTTGCAGAGAGTCTCACAAGCATGACTAAATACGCCAATATAGTAAAAAGTATTAAAAAGAAGCGTTTAAAGGCGACTTTAAACACTTTTAAACTTTAAACTTTACGGTTAAAGTAAAGTTAAAGTGCCACCCCAATAGATGAATGGAATCGATACATACTGTATATTTACATTTTTCTATTGATTGAAATACAAATCATTTTCGGTATGAAACGAAAAATCAATCATTAATGATTAGACTCAGGAAAAGCAATCAAATATTTGAAGAAAAAAATATTTTTCAACAACAGGTATTTAATTCAAGAAAAAAAAATAATCATACACATAAATATATTTAAATTGAAAAATGAATTATTTTTTTAATCTCGATCGTTTCCGATATTTGCCAAATAGAATTTTTCCAAATGCCTGTCGAAAATCAGGTGCAAATATTGTATAGATCACAGGGTTCAACATACTATTCAAATAACCCAACCATGTTAATACACTGATCATTTTTTCATTTATTGTTAAATGAAATATTCCGCATACTGTTTCTTCAATGAAAAATGGTAACCAACATAGTATAAAGCAGCCCATAACAACACCAAGCACTTTTGTTGCTTTACGTTCGCGTTTAACATCAGTTTTTTTTCGTGCCGACATTAATGGAGATTTCGGTACAGATATATGATGTGTGTCTGTTATAACTATATGTGCACGAGGAAGATGTGGAGAACTGGATGGTGTAGAATTTGGTGTTACTAATGGATTTTGAATTGTATTCATTGGAATTGTTAAATCATTAGTGAATGTTGATGTTAACAAGGGTGGTACAACTGGATTAGAATGATTGATGTTTTGTTCAAGTTGATCTTCAAAATTCTTTTTATGTTTTTTCTTTAGTAGAACAAAATGTGTTTTTTTAAGTGTTTTTAGTTGACAATCATGATGATGATGATGATGATGATGATGATGATGATGTTGATGATTTATTGGTAATGAATATGTTGATACATTATCAGGTTCGATATCATTTGCATTATTCATTATCGAATGACTTTTTCTTAGAAATTTTAAATGCTCTAATGGTGAATGTTTTTTATCTATTTCATGATTTGCTGTTGTTATGTGTGTTGAAGATGATATTTCATGCTGTGGATGAGTCAATGTAGGCGTAGCAGGTGGATTTGAAGTGAATGCTTTACGTCTTATACGAAATTTTGCTGCTTGAAAGATTTTCCAATAGATAATACACATACCAATCAGTGGAATATAAAAAGCTCCGACAGTTGAAATAATTGTGTACGTAACATTGCCTATTATTTGACATTGGCCGGCTAGGCGACCTTGTTTGTTACGAAATATAGGGAATGAATGAGAACTTGCGATGAGAATGGAAGTCGCCCAGATAATACAAATAAGAACAAGAACTCGGCCAGGTGTTCGTTTTGTTGCATAGTCCACTGATTAATTAGTAAAACAAAAAAAAAGAGATTTCCGCAGATCATATTATGTAAAATATTCAAGAGACGACTAATGAGTTATATTTTTCAAATATTATACATTTCCGAATATTGATTAAGCTGAATCAATATAGACGCATGTTAGAACTTGACGTCTTCATAGGAGAAAATAAATAAGTCATTTGTCTGGATCACGAAAGCAATTAGGTCTGGGACTGATATGACAAACGTTACTCTACGACTAAGAATCAATTACAAGTCAAATCGAACAAAATTATTATCGTCATTGCCTGAGAAATGTCTAAAGTGCACTAGTGACCAAGTAAAAATAATTACAGACAAAGTCAAGTCATATTTATCCAGCAATGTTCAAATATGATTTAGAACATATGATTGAGAATACAAATGAGTACTATATATACTTTCAGATTAAGCAGACACTTTTACTCTATCATCAGTAGTATCCTGCTTTTTGTAAAACAAAAACTTTTGGTAAAAACTTATTTGCCCTATTAAAATTTTTAACACTTTCGAAAGCATTTGTCCGGAAGTTCAGCCAGTCTTATGTGAAACATGCTAGTAGTTAAAGTCTGTGTTCTTTCACCTATTTCTTTTCTAAATAAATGTTAACGAGAAACTGATCGTCAATCGAAGCCAATATGAATTTCGATCGAAAAACAAAAGATTTCATTGAAAATTTTCCTTCAAACTTCAAAACTTTCAATAGTTAAATTTCAAATGTCTCCGCACTATAAATTTTATTATGTCAAATGAAATTTTCTCAATCTTGCTATGAAAAACATTTAGTTTTACATAATAAAAAAAGGACACCCTCAAGACTTGAATATAAAGTCAAACATATTTTTTCTAATAGCAATTTTGTCAGGACTAAGACTCATGATTTTCTTGTTATTTCCTAATGAAAAATATGTGGCAAGAAAATTATTATCGATTTCGATTTTGTTTTCTAAATAAAACTTACTTACAATTAGTTATAGCCCAATAACGATCGAGGGCTATTGCAACAAGATGTAGTATTGAAGCTGTGCAACATAACAGATCGATCATCACCCAAATATCGCAAACAATGCTGCCGAGCACCCATGAACGTGTCACTTCTTTTAGAATAGCTACTGGCATCACCTAAAGAAATTTTCAATTAAAATATTTGATTTCTACTTCTTTATCTTCACAAACAATTCTTATTCAAACGAAGAAATCATTTTTGTCGTTATCTAATTTTATGTATTAAACTAAACAATTTGCATTTGTTTTCAATTTATCATGCAAAATATCTATTCAAGTGGTCTACTATACATGCTATTCTCGTTTCCTATTAATGTATATATATATATATGTGTGTGTGTGTGTGTGTGTGTTTGCATGCACATCAAGAATACTTGACAAAAAAATAATCAACTTCGTATTTATTCCTGATAGACTTTGCAATTTACACTGAATACAATATGCAACATAGTTCACATTGTGACTCTTGAATTCCAATTTATATTCAACTGGTATATTGCACTGTAAAAATTCATCATAAAAAACTGATACATTTGCATAAATATAAGTCAGTTTATGAGGTAAACGAGTATCTAATAAATAGATAAATAATATTTTATTTGATTAAATCAAATTTCTCAAGCATAAATGTCGGTAATAATGAAGTCAATATGGTATGATAAGCAATTAGTACGTCAGTTAATTTGATCGACAATTTTACTCAGATGACTGAAAAACATCTTATTTCAAAATGAAAGTACTTTTGTTTCTTTTGATTTCTCTATGTTCATATATTTAACATATAGATATAGGCGTTTTACAGCAAGCATCTGTGGCTGTAACATGTTCTATTTTTTTATTTTTATCTATTCATTGAGAGCAATCGATGATAAAAAAATACAAAGAAAATATAGGTGATGACTGAATCATTCTTGTTGTTTTCCAATTATAAGACTTAACCAACATATTGTGCGCGACATAACAATAATAAAATCAAATTGGGCCTTTGCACCATGAAAGTAGCAAAGAAACGAGATTTTTTTGTTCTTTTTATCTATGTGTATATCGCGATCATCAAGCATTTTCTCTAGTAGCAATAACAAATAACAAACCCCGGTACGAATAGGCACAGTCATAGTAACAGCTGGATGGCTGGTTTTCTTTTCTCTGTTTTCTATCAACATATTGTCTACAATATATATTTTTAGCATGCTTAAACTAAAGAGAAAAAAAGCTAGTGTCCTTGTGCATATGAGACAACATGGATCATCTTCGGCGTATCATTTATCATCAAAATGAGATATCGTATACTCTGATCAATTATCTATGCTTGTCTTGACGATATAACCAAGAGTTTAGTGTATTTATTTATTCTCTCATAAATGACGTCGATTGAAGAAGAAGAAGAAGAAGAAGAAGAAGAAGAAGCAAGAAGAGGAGGAGGAGAAGAAGACGAAGACGAAGATGGAAAATAAGAATAGTAAGTTCTATTTTTTCCATATTATAATCAAATAAAAATAGAAATCGTCACAACACATGTGTACATCATAAAAAATCAATTTTCATTTGTATAAAACAGCAAATATGTAGTACACATGTGAATGCTTAATAAAACAAGAAAAGACTTTCAAGACAATGCTTTAGTTCGTACAATGAAAACTTATATTGATAACTACAGACACTCTGTAAATACTCTCGACTAACAGAAGAACAAAACTCTCGTGTTTATAATAGACTGATATATATTAAAATGCACGTCACATGATCAATTAAAGGATTCTCTATTAGAATTAACATTTAAAATCACAGGATATGCTTGTTTAATCGATACTCTTGCGTTTTGTTTTAAAGTATTGAATAGAAGACAAAAAAGAACTAAAAAGTAGAAAATCACTGACTTACCATAGTAGCTACCATTAAATCGGCAACAGCTAAGGATACAAAAAGATAATAAGCAACTGAATGAAGATTTCTTTCTAAAATAACCGCAGCAATAACTAATATATTTCCTGTTATTGTTGATAAAACGATTGCACCCAGAATAATAGCTGTTATAATACAATGTTGTAAAGATACAAGGATTGATGATGATACTGGATGACTAGTTGATGTTATCAATTCTGTATTTGAATGTTCACCAATGTTTAATAGATTTGAATGGAGTACATCGCCAAATATGGTTGATGATGAATTCAATTGTGCGTGTGTATCATTCACACATGAAAGATTGTAAGTTAATACACAGTCCATTGAATTGGCGATCAAATAAAAGAAAACGTTTCGATTCGAAAACAATGCTAATTATAAAAATATCAATCAAGTTGATAGTAATATCTAATGATTTAAGTTCAATTCGATGTACTAAAATCGGGTTATGGGTACGAATTAAAGGAAACCAAAAGGGTGAGGCCATAAACTGACCAAAGTGTTAAAAATAACCTTCTTCACCGGTTCACCCCTATCATTGTAAAGAAAACAATATGCTGTAAAACAATATCTACTATGCAAACAAAATGATGAAACAATAAGTAATATTTCTCTTTTTTTTATGAAAGACGAAAGAGAAACAAAGACAGATAGAGCACACCAGAAAGAGAATAAGTCTGAATACTTTGACTAGTTGGTAGCCTGTCTTATATTTCTCTTAAGAGTCTCTTTCTCCTCTTGATGCCTTAAAAACAATAATCGTCGTTTGAACAACAACTCTAATATCTAGCGAAAAACAAAACAATTGATATTGTGTCCTATATAGTTGACAAATAACAGGATAAAAATCAGTTGCGTAAATATATTTGTTTTTTTGACTACACTATTTTTAGACTATTGGTATAATTGACAAGTCATTTTTTAGGCTTTCTACTAAAACAATTTTCCTATCTCGGTCAAATGATAGCAATACGAAAAACTCCTATGTGAATAATATTTTCTTCTGATCTTTTGATGAAAAAAATTATGAAGAAAACTCAGTCTAACAATTTAATATCAGATCAAAACATCATAACTTCTTTAAAGAGTTTTAGCTTTGCATTAAGATAATATAGAGAAAAGCAAATTCGCTGATATTTAATAATAGAAAATAGGCACAAATCAGTTGTATAAAAAACAATGAATTGTACTCATGAAATAGAATCATTTAATTAAAATTATTTTTTCAAGGAAAATAAAAACAATGGAAATAATATCCTTGTTCATACTTGTATATTCTATACTAAGTCGAAGATTGACGCCACTGTTTTAAATACGTCAAATATATCTCTATATTTAGAAGCGTAGTATAAATACTAGTCGAGCTCTTTCTATTGCTTTCTCTATCTCTCTCTTGCTTTCAATTTGGGAAACAAAAAGAAATGGCAATCGACAAGCACTACAAAAGTTATATGTTGCGCTTCCCTTCCTTCTTTATACTCTAACTCTACAGAGACCACTTTCTGTCATTTGTATGCGCCCCAGTAGTACCGCAGCATCTGCCATCGCCGACAAAACATCATCAATCATCACCTATATATTTATTATCTTGTTATTCAATTCAAAGAGAACTATGATTACAGTTATTAAAGTGTTCGTTTTTCTCACCTGTATTCATTTATATAAGATACAATGAAGAAAACCAAGATAAAAGAAAAGTTTTATCTGTGATTCTATTTCTAACTGGATTAGTGCGATGATGTACTCAGAAAAGTTAATCATACAACTCGATTAAGTACTTTCTTCTCTGTTTTTTTTGTGTCATACGAATAAGCGAATTCTCTATTGAATGGCAATCAGTGGAAGAATTTTTTTGCGCGTATGTGCATGCATAGATAATTTTTTTCCTAGCCATGATCACAATTATTTAGAATAAGAAGCACTGTAAGAGCTGAACATGTCTTCTATAAATGAGCATATGGGTATCGATAATGTGTAAAATGTTTAGTCATCTATATTTGAGTAGGTTTTGTATTCAGTTTGCTCATCGTTAAAGAACTAGTTCATTTTTTTTTTGTTCCAATAGATAATGTGACTAGTTAAATATGTCTCTTATGACCCGTTCTAATAGTGTTCTATGTGCTTTTGTGCATTAGTTGTGCGGAACAACAAAACATTTCTATCGAAGTGAAGTGATACATTTGACAGAGATGCACAAGAGTGTCTATACAGACGATGAGGAGTCGAATCACCCAACAAACGGAAATAGGAGGAAAAAAACGAGAAAAACACTTCTAATGCTAGTCAGCTTGTTCGATGCATTAATTTCATTTCATGCATACATATATGATCAATGACTACTAGTGTTCCCCTAGTGAAATATTTAGACATCATCAAGTCATTATCACATTCGTCTTCTTATTTTCACTCATCGTTCGGCTATAAGTCTACAGAGATCAATTCACTCACTTGAATGAGCTTTGATTGTATACGATGAATATCGTTCCAAAAGCAAAAATCGATTTTCGATGAAAAAACAAGTCGTAGAATAAAAAAAAGAGGAAAAGTTGCTTCAATTCAAATTGTTTATTAACGAGAATTGTCTATACAACTGATGCCAAAATAAAAATAGCCCATCAATCCAAAGTTTATCCTCAAAGTAATATTGTAAATACGAAACTCAAGTGATTCGTTATTTACTTTCAACGTATGGAAAAGAATTTGTCAAGACATTCTGAACAGAGGAAGAAGAAGAAGAGAAAGCCTTGAGGCATGTGTTCTCAACGCAGCTTGGGTCGAAGATACTTCGATAAATGTTAAAAAATAAAATAAAGGTGTAAAATGATTGAGAGTAACAAATGAAAACGGGAATGAGAACAGAGATGAGTGTTTTTGAAGCAAATAAAAGATTTTTGATTCAAAAGGACCGAGCATTGATCCAGAATCAAATATTCATAGTAAATAAATCTTGATTTTCTTTCAAACGATCAATATATTCTTAGAGTTGTGTTTATAGAATATTGTTCGAATACTCAATGGACCTCATTAGGACAAAGAAGAAGAAGAAAAGGCACCCATCATGACAGTAGCTCTTACTATGGATCTAAATGCTTTGTTTGCTTCACAGCAGTTGTTTCCGTCCTTTGTTTCAAGAATAAAGACGAACAGTGAGATATTGGAGTTCGACACATGGCAATAGCTTAAAAAACCATTGACAATCATCTTCTCTGAAATCGGAAAGAGTTCGTACATAACTTTCTCTAGCCACATTAGACAGCTTTCTTCTTTTTTTTTGCTCACATTCTTTTATATTTAAAGATGACATAAAAAAAATAATCAATGTAAGCTATATTGAGAAAAATGATGTGCTTGGAAAAGAATAAGAATGAAGAAAAGTGTCAGATTTCTATCGATGATTGGCTATGTTTGTCTTTCTTGTTTTAATATTTCTTTTGTTTTGTCTTTGTTTAATACAAAAAAATAATGATAATAATAATAAATTGATTTGATTGAATTAGTGAGTGGATTTACTTTATTCTTATCGATTGTTGTAAATCGAATTAGAACACAATTCATTCTATTTTGTAAGCTCGATAATATGTCCGCCAATTTGATTTTCAGCTTGATCAATCTTCAAGAAAAACAATGAATGATTTATCGTTGAGTAGTTTGTTTTCTCTTATCTGGTTAATGTGAAAATGAAATTAATGTCGTCAGCAATTCTTTGAAAGAATTTTCATCATAGGATATGCAGGTAAAAGGTGTTGTTTAAACATCATTCGACATTAATGCTTTCAGCTGGGTTCGATCCAATGAGTCAATATACTATACTGTTAACCCACTCGATCAAAATATATTGACCGTGGTCGTGCATTCTTACTATCTTATACACCAACACGTCAAAGTCAAATATTAGTATTCGGGAATAAAAATTGGTTCATTAGAAACTTGTTTATTATGCAACTAAATTGATCTTTTCTCATGTTTTTTTCTCTACTGATATTAATTATCATGTTTTTCTTTTTATATTCTAAGCAAGGGGGAGTAAACTGATTTCCATGATTTCTTTGATTTCTTATGATTTCCAGTGATTTCTTTTGCTTGAAATCAATTTTTATGAGATCATTGCAAACCAGCAGAAATCATTGGAAACGTTTAGAAATGTTGAAAAATTATGAGAGATCAATAGAAATCAGCAGTGGCCACTGAAAACATTGCACATTCCGAAAAAGAAGGAAATTAATAAAAATCATCAGTAATCAATAGAAATAATTATTTTCTTTCGCTATATAGTTCGAGAATTTCTATGATTTACATTTATTTACATTTGTTTCTTGTAATTTCTAACAGCTGAATCATTATTCACATCTTTCATGTATGATGATTTCTAGTGATTTCTATGCCAGAAAATCAGTTTGTTCCCCCTTGATTCTAAGTATGACTTTTTTAAATTGAATTGAATAAAATATTTCATGAGTAGAAGAGGATTAGTTGAATATTAGAAATTTTTTTAAAGTTGAAAATGAACATTTATTGTCAGATGAAAAACAAATTCTAAGATCTATTTTTATCAACAACAAAAAAACTGTGTCGAGACAAAATGGTGAATGAATGACTGTTGATAATATTAAGGGATTGATAACATTGAAGTGACGATTTTATTAATTTTGAAATATCTTCTAATTTCTGTCGAGTGTGTCGTCTATTACGAGATTATCTTTTTTTTTTATAGTTTTATCACATTCTCTTTAGACTAAACAACGTAGTAGGCTATGACAATAGTTCTATTGTTATCTTTCAAAAATTCAATCTGCTTTTTTTATCGTCTTGATGAATCGAAAGTAACCATTAATTGATTTTCATTTTTAAACTAAGTATTTATCCTCTCCAAGAAAGTTTCATGACTGCATTCAATGTAAAAATGAATTGCATGTAGTGAAATCGTAAAACGAAGAATATCACAAAAATTATTTTGTAATATTTCTCAAGAGAAGTTTTAGGCTTAGAAGTCAATGAATTATATAGCTAATTCTATATTTGGCTTGCTTATTCGCGTAAAACTCTTGTTGATTGATTTGAGTTGAGTGTTAACACATAGTGTTCATATCGAGCTTATTCAATTATGTTCCCAACCTACATAGTCGTCTTGCTCGCATCAGAAACTCCTAAAACAACAACAACAACAACAATGCGCTTGATTGAGTTTCTCTTTCATCAAAGTAAAAGTTAATCAACGCGAAAAGCAGATCATTTTTTCTGCCGTAATCGATAAAACCAAGCCGCATATTCTAATTCTTTATATTGTATAAACCTCATCTGGTCCATCAATAAGTTCAGTAAATTTTTTTTTTCGTCAAATGTATTTATTTATTAGTATAATAGATTTTGAGAGAACATAGGCGAAAAAAAACAAACGAGGAAAATTAAGTGCCACTTAAAAAAAGACCAACGCAATAGGGTCATAGAAGATACAGATATACACACGCAGACACGCAAAAAATGGTTTATTTATTTGGTTCTATACATAGCGCAAAAACGATTATTTATTTTTTCATCACCATCGATTTCTTTCTTTTAAAATTTTAGTCAAAACATTTATATGCAGACATAAATGTGAAAATTTTCATTCACAACAAATCAATCTATTCTTTTTGTTTGCAAATAGTTCTTAAATCTCGTTTTCTTATTCTATAGCAGCGCAAAAAAAGAGACAAAAAACGAATTGAATCAGGAAGAAATTTAGAGCAAGAAAAAAATCAAGAGAAATTAAATGAATTGATATACACACCACAACCATACACAAAGATATATGTATATATATATATATATATATAGCTAAAAGCATCACACACATACACTACAAGAAGACAAAAAAGAAAAATTTATATTATATTTATTTTTGGTGCGAGAAAAGAAAAAAAACTTATATTGCACAGGTTAGCAATAGTAGATCTCGTTTTCGTTCGTTCATTTGTTTTGTCGATATGAAGCTCGGCCATCAAATAAGAGTACAGATCATACAAGAAACAAAGACAAAAAAATCAGGCAAAAGACAAATAAAAAAATTGGATGGTGTACCGGGAGGGAATTCTCAGTGTAGCATTTTGATGGAAAGAAAAACAAATATAGATTAAACAGAAATTTAGTCGACATAAAGATAGATACACATTAATGAAAGAGCGTGAAATGTAAATATACACGATTTTAATGAGACAAAAAGGACACAGTTTTTATCATTTCACTGACTTTGTTTTGGCCGACAGAGAGGGAGAAAAGAAGAAATATAAGAAATTTGTGCTAATCTGTTGATTACATGTACGGTCGATGACCACCACCACCACCACCGCCGCCACCTCCACCACCAAATGATGGATGAGGAAGTGGTGGAGCTTTTGATATACCTCGATATTGTTGTTGTTTAGCCCAATCATTCATTGGTGGTTGAAATCCTTGTTGTTCGTGCATCGATGCTTGCTGCCATGGTGGCCGATTTGATTGCACTGGACGTTGATATTGATGCATTAATTGAGGATTTGAAAAAGCACTAGATTAAAATAGAAGCAATTGTCTAACTTATCATCCAGATTGAACGTCCACGCGAAATCAAAAATATATTTATATATTGCTCAGTATCTCTATGATGTATGTGTCATTTCATGTTTCATCAATAAACAATTTAATCGTGTAATCTATTTATCTATCATTTGAATAAACAAGTCTACATGACACAGGAAGTAAAGAAAAAATGTCAATCTTAGAGATTTTTCTTTTTTTCAAAGATGTGTGAAATTGTCATTGGAGTGACCTATTCAAATCAAAATAATTATTTGTTCATTTAGCCAGACAATCTTTTCGTAGAATATTCTGTTCAACTAAAATTTAAATGAATTGATAGGGTCAATGATTTACGCAAGATTCTTAATTTCATGTTACGAGTGGAAAGAGTGAATCTTTTCATTTTATTTAAATACAATATTTTTTGGTAACCATCTATTAATCCCATGAAAATACGCATAACTAAGCTGTAAGAACCAATGATGCGGAATCTTTGAAGTTTGTTGTAGTTACATCGGCCGCATAGAATCTCAAACAGCATTTTATAACTTTTGCATACAGTAATTTGTTACTTATAACGAAAGTCACGGCCACTCATTAGCAATGCACGACTCAACACATTGAATCAAATTAAATTTAATGCTTTTCAAAAGCATATTCTCTAATCCTATAACAATGTTACTATTAGTCGCTTACAATAATCTCGACAAAACTATATAAATCTAGCTATATAATGAAATGCATGCAAAATATTTGAGTTTCTTTTTGTCTAGTCGCTCGGTCGGCTACATAGAATTCATTGATTATTTGTCGATCGGTCCTCAAAGAGTCGTTCGGTTTATTGTAAAGTTGAAGGATTCAGATGTAGAGAAAATCATTTACCGTTCAACTCCTCCGACATTGAGATTATTCATCATTGATCCTGATCCTTTAGGACCAATTGTTAATGAACTCGGTGTAACATGTGGATCATCTTCGGCATTCGGTAAAGATGATTTCCAGTTCCATAATTGGCCAGGAACAAATGGTGGTGGTCCATCAATGTCTTCAACAATATTTGAAAATGGATCTGAATATGTTGCTGATGATGCTTGATTATTATGTAAATGAGGATCGATGTTACCCATTTGATTATTATTATTATTATTATTTGATTCATTTTGAGGATGATCCCAATTTTCATTCGGATCATTATTATCTGTTTGCCAATCTTTTTGCGTTAAGCCTGGTGGTGGGAACATTGATGCTCGTTGTCCTCCTATTGCTGATTGTTTTGTCCATTGAGTTAAACGCGATTGATCGGTATTTTGTACTACTGTTGGTCCATTTGACATCATTTGTGCTGGTGTTGGTGTTGGATTCGCCGATTGCTGTTTCAGTTTTGTATGTGCATCTTGTATTTCTTTTTGAACAATCAACATTTCTTGTTTCTTTTGCGCGATTAATTTTGATAAACATTCATATTCGTTTTGTAATAATGGTAATGGAAAACCTGGTTTATTTTTACTTAATTCCGATAATTGAATGGATAATTGTTGAAACTTTTGTTGGAGTTCGAATAGTTTTTGGAGGAGCTGAAGTGAAAGAAAAGATAGAATGTTTGTTAATATAGCTAATACTTGTAAAATGAAAAATATTCTCTTTATTCTGAGACATATACATTTCTTTATTTGGTTTTTACAGGCTATCTGTGACATCGATGTTTAAAACTATTCGAAGAGCTCATCTACCGAAACAAGGTTGTTACTTATGAAAATCTATCACTATCGCTAGGAAAGTGATGTCCTACTCTTTAAACTTTTATTCTTTTCTTGAGATTTCTTTGTTTTCGTTCAAAGCGCCCTATGAATATTAGAGATAAAAGCAAAAACAAAAAGTTTACTTGTAACATATAAGGTGGCAATTTTGTATTGAGCAAATCTTGACTAATTAAACCAGCTTGTACAGCAAGACGAAATTGTTGCATGATTTGAGCATGCACTGCACCGTTATTATTATTTCCATTGCCTGCTGATTGTTGTTGCGTTGGAGTTGGTGTTTGAGATGGTTGATTTGGAATATTACTGTGCTTACCAGTTAACGGAACGTACGGTGGTTGATTTAGTACAGGTGATGATATCGGTAATTTAGGTGATAAATGACTACTTTGACCGATGATAGGACCGGGCGGTGTTGATAAACCACCATTAGAATTGATTGGCCGAAGAATATTGCCTGACTGTGGAGGATAAAGTGGATTTGGCCGTGGTGGAAATGAATGATGAGATGACGGTAGAATTCCACTCATGCCCATCATTGAATTTTTCAGATCAGTATTTTGACGATATGGATTATTCATTTGTTGATTATCAAAATTAGGCATTCGCATATCATGAGGATTTTCATTGAGATCATATTCATTCATAAAACGATTACGAGCTATGGGTAATTGTCCTGGCATACCACTGGCAGATGGTTGAACCCAATCACTTGTATCAATTTGACCATCGTACGGATCGAATGGCGCTTTTTGTTGTGGACGTGATACATCCCATTGACTTGTATCAACAAGTCCATCACCATACCAATCTTCTGATGGGCCGTGAGGATTCCAATTAGATTGTTGTGCACGATAATTATGTTGTTGAGATGGATTTGTTTGTTCGACATTTTGCGGTGCTACTGCTGCTGGTGTATCATTCCATTGTGATGATGGTTGTTGAACAATTGTTGGCGATTGTTGTTTAGGCCAATTTTCATCATTGAGCACCATTTGAGATGAAGATGATGATGAAGTATTCGTTGTTGAAACTTGTTTTTGAACGATCGGTTGAGATAAAACTGTATTTGTTGAATTTGTTAATGCTGCTTTTGTTCCATTGGTCCATTTTTTGACAGGTACTGACATTGATTCCATTGGATCGCCCCATATGGATGTGCCATCGTCAAAATTCGGACGTTTTAAAACATTTATATCAGGTTCATCCCATCCTAATTGTTCAACCAGTTTTGGTTGTGGTACATAATTGATTATTGCATCACCATTTCCACTCAAATGATCAAGATTATTATTTCCACTAAGTGTAATAGCTGATTTCAATGCACCTGTAAGTGAAGCAGCAATCGATGAAGCTTTATGTTTTGAAGTATTATTTGTTGTCAATGTAAGCGGATCGGTAGAATTACTTGATGGATCTTGCCATGTTGTCGATGAACTACAATTAAGTTTAAAAAAAAACTTATTGTTTTATTTTTAAAACGGACAAACACATATTATGATCGGTCTAGTCAATTTAAATGCATTATGATTTTGCAAAGATTCTTTTGGAAAATATGTTCTCAAATGATTGTTTGAAGTACACAGATTTCTGTAAAAAAAACAGTTATCTACGATTTTGTTCCCTGTTGTATACGCTTCGGTGTAAGTTTTTAAGAATAGCACAGCACAATGTTTTTATAGGTTTGAACTAGCCTACATGTTAGGAAGCCTCTCGAGAATATTAGTTTAGTTTGTTGTTTTTCGAAAGCATGTTTTGAGTAGTTATGCATAGAAAATTAAAATGTCAGTACGTCCTCAAAAACAAAAGTGACATTGAAAATGTGTCTGTCTTCACGCAAGAAATAGACTTCAGCAGATTTCTTTCTACAAAATTCAACTCCGTATTTTTAACAAAAGACTAGTGACAAAAAGCAATGTTGAGAATCTCATGATTACTTAAACTGACATTCAGACATGAATATTCTTCTATTGAAGATCTGATTATAAGAAAGTGATTGAAAAATTGGCTTTCTAAGTCTATGCAATATTGTGACGTTTGCAATGAAACACTTATCGAAAAATTCTCTAGAGAAATATATAACCTTTACTTGAAAATAATATAAAATACTGGTTGCAACTCAATATTTTCGAATTTCACTAGACGCTTTTAAAAAGGTAAAAAAAATGGCATACACGCTTTGTCAAGTGACTTTTTGAAACGTTCTTAATGAATAGATGAAATTTTTACTTGATCTGCGAACGATTAAATTCTTGTTTGGAAAGACAAAAGGATCTATATGAATTTTTCTTGTAGAAATCTATTAGAGAATTTCTGGTAATAAAAATTTTGTATGGCAGATCTAAATCAGAAGATTTCAATATTGAAGCGAGCGATAGGAACATTTATTATCAAAGCAAATTTTTTTACTTAGATTAAATGAAATATTAGTTCAATCTGCGATTGACTTATTTTGCATTTATATTTCATTAATTCAACGATCAAAATCCTCAAGAGATTCAATTAAGATAAATCCATTTGCTCAAATGAGAAGAAAATTAATATTCTCGAAAGAAAAGAAAACAGGAGTGCCTTTTAGCATGCGGCGTTGTTTACTGGCAGTTTCAGAAACCTAATATCTTCTCGACAGCTAATATGTGCTGTATCTCTAGATAAAAGGTTAGCCTGATGGAGCGTTCGTGTCCTCAATTATTTGAATTCTGTATAGATAATAATTAATCACAACAGCAGATATGAATCCGAATGTACTTAGCATACCATCATACGATGGATCAGAGATAAATAATTGTTAGTGACTTCTTCAGTGTTATTCTATGGTTAGTGGCACTTAAATTTGCACACAGTATCTCGTAGGTAGGTGTCGAACAAGATAGCTTGCGTACTATGTCGTTCAGTTCATTATTTTGAATTTTAAAATCGTTTTGCAAACAAAAAAATGAATAATATTTGCACATCAAACTACCGTTTGAGAACTCAAGTCTGTTTAAGACCAGAGTGACATAGCAAACTATCCATCGGCTACTGGTATTATCCAACATAGTTATCGAGACGTAAAATATAAAGGTAGACTATCTGCTTTGCTTACTTATTGTTGTCGTTATTCTGTTGCGGCAAATTAAATGTATTAGTTGATGTATTAGCTCCATAGAAATTGTTCATTTCTGGCCATTGATTGCTATTTGGATTTGATCTGGACGGATTAGTATTTGTTTGCTGCTGTGGCTGTTGTTGAAAACTTGACCAACCATTAGCAGTTGAATTATTTGTTGTCACCGGTTTATTCCAATCTGAAGTTGGACTCGATGATTCAAGTCGTTCAAAGCCTAAACAACAAGAAATATTCACAAAATAAAATAAAAACTAATTATTTGAATAGTAAACAAGCATAATAAGCCTAGTGAACGATCATACCATCACCACCTGTTTGTGTATTATCATTGGATTGTTGTAATGATTTTGATGGTTGCCTTTGTGAATTATCATCATTCATCATCCATGATGAGGTTTGATTAAAATTTAAAGGCCAATTCATTTGAGATTGTGTTTGATCATAAAAATTAGACATAAAACCAGAGCGTGGTCCTGGTGGATTTGATGTACCACTGACTGATGGTGAAATATTTTTTGTTGCTGCTGAATGTTGAGAAGAAGCTGATGTGGATGATGATGGAGAATTATGCCCACCAGCATTATTATTATTGTTGTTGTTGCCAGTTGTCGTTGATGTATTGGACGGTGCGTTTGGATTTGAATTGAGAATTTGTGCCCAAGTTGGTTTGGCTGGTGATGGTTGAGTCAATGGTTCATTGCTACCAACATTACCTCCGCCACCTAGTTTTAGATAAACAAGAAGAAGGTCGTGTGCTTTATAAAAAAAAAAAGATAAGCAAGTAATGTGCCCAAAAGAAAACTAAATTTTTATGTCAACAATCTGTGGCAGACAAAAAAATAACAATGTTCTCACCATATAATGCAGAAGACGACGAGCCGGTCGGAGATGGATGGCTCTCGTTACTCATGGTCACAGACACTTTAGAAATACTTTATGTGTTTGTGACTTTATTGAAAAAAAAAGAAACAAGATCTATAATAAAATGACAATAAACAAGAGATGATGAGATGTTCTTTTTTTCTTGTGACTAGCGGCCATTTCTGATGAACTTTTAGAGGAAAACAAAGAATGTCATATGTGTAATCTTATAACATAATGCATTAATGAGCTGAAGCAATCGTGATGTAAGAAAATAAATACAAAATTATTCTATTTCAAATATTTTTATTATTTCCTTTTTATTTTGTTTGCTGACAAAGTATTTCAAAATAATATCAAACGATTACTAACGACATCTACTGATCTTAATCAGGATCTTTTTTTTAAAACACTATATCTGAGATCTTGAAACAAAAAGTTACCAGTGCATCTTGATTTACACAATTTTGGAATCGAATAATTCTTTTAAATCTCATGCAAATTAAATCCTACAGTTGTCTATAATTATGTCAGCATCGTCAAAAAAGAGAAAACAAATTGAATTTTTTCTTTTCAACACAACATCTATGTACTGCGATTGTTTCTTTCTCCTTTCTCTCGCTAGAGAAAATCCGTGTTGAATGATTAATTACAGTTGTACGCTATTTGAATTTGATCTTCATGCCAATTGAAATCATTAGCAAGGTGACCGGCATTCTATGATTAAAAAGAAAAATACGACTCTTTCGATCGAATAAGTGCACTTTTATAATATACATACACATGCACTTGATCTCTTCTTTTTTTAAATTTATTTTCTATCCCAATCGAAAGAAACTAGAGTCGTACAAATATTTTTGTCTTTCAACCATATTGTTAAATCTATGCATGTATGTAAATAGATAGATTGATTAGGCGGCTGGCTCATGTGAACCACAGGTAAATAAAAAATAATCCTGCGCGCCTGTCGATCATCTCACTTTTGTTATGACGTCATCGTCATTTACCTTGTTCTGTGTCGGCTTTTTGTCTTCATTTGACCTAATATATATATATATAAATATAAAATCGCCTTCTATGCTTGTGTTTAACAGTAAAGGAATGAAGTGCTAGACACTTAGAAAGCAGCTGCTTGTTCTCATCCATTTATAAATGGTCAAAAAAAAAAAGAAAGTGAAGAACAGATGTGACTACAAGATGAATTAGTAAGCAAAATGCCTAGTTATTTCTACTATCTTCGCTGTTTTTAGATGCTTGTTTATCTATATTGTTATTGTCAAACATAATTCACATTTTTTTCATTTTAAGTAAGCATCTATTTTGTATATATCCTTGATTGAATATGAAAGACAAGTCATTAACAATATACAATACATATATGTTATGTCTATCTGTCTGCTCATCATTCATTGAACAATTAGTCTGAAACGGCAACTCATTATCATTGTTCGTTCTAGTCTGTCTGTCGGCTCGTTCTCAATGTATTCAGGTGTACGTATATCGATGTGCATTCACGTGTGTGATATGTCTCTTATATGATACGTACATTGATTTAAGAGGAGTTCATCGATTTCATTCATTTGATAGATAAAGACACGAGACTAGCCTTGACATTTTTTGAAATATGTATATGATTATAAAGGTGAATATCTTGATCATGAATGTTTGATAGTGCTTTACTTATCATTCAATCTTTACTGTTATTATTACTGAAAGCTTCACTTATCCAAGAACGATGTAAAAAAAGAAGAAACCGAAGAGATGTAAAGATACATAGATGCATCTTTACATGTTATCAAAAAAGAAGTACAAGAGTATGTTTTCTAATTATCAAAATACGAGCTACATGTATTTTTCTTTTTCCTCACTCTCTCTCTCTCTCTCTCTCGTTCGTTTTCTTCTTATTATTACTATGTAATTTGATCGGTAATGTTTCTCTGCTGTGCTGTCCCTTGAAATTTGAGAATTATAGAATGGGCCTTATATATATATATATATATATATATATGAAAAACAGAAGAACGAACGATTAAATGATTGGTGAGGGTCAATATAACAGAAGTCTACCGTATGTTCATCAACAATATCTGTACAGACTTGTGAATAGCAAAAGAGACAAGAACGAGGAAAAAAGAAGAAGGCGAGAAAAAGGAACGAAAGAAAAATAATTGTAGAGCAGTTATAGCAACTACTACGACGACTACAAAGAGTAGAACAGATCACATAGAGTAAGTTTAATATAAATGACCTATAGTTGAAGGCAATGTTAATAATAATAATTATATTTCAATAACCTCATATTTAACATTTTCTTTTATAGATAAATATTCTCTTTTACTTAATTAAGATATGATGCTTAACATAAGTAACATTACACATTCAATTCTCATGGAAGAAATTGACAATTTTAATAGTAATAATAATAATAATAATAGTTTATGTTTGAATGATTTATCATGTCACAATGATGATATTATTATAAATGGATCTCTACGTTATGCCGTATATGATACAGCTTTATTCGACGTACTAAAAGTTGATCCTGAAGACTTTGCTGTAAGTAATTTTTATCGTACTGAACTGAAAAGACACCGACAAATATAAGACAACGTAAAAGCTTTTTATTTTCTTGTTTTGTTGACAGACGAGTGATTGAGCAAACTTTAGAGCATACATAATCCCTATCCTGTTTTGTGCTATCTTGATTGCTGAACACCACCAACACTATATGTCATGTGTATTTTTGTTTGAAAGATAAGTTTAGTATATAGACAATACATGTATGTGAACGATTGATAACAACTAAACTAAGACGATATGCAAATGAGCAAAAGATAAGGATAAAATAACTTCTTGATTGTTATTCCTTGAGGGCTGTAAAGTCTGCTAATTAATCGATAAAGTTCATTGAACAGAAATAAAATGATTTCATTCGTTTCAATTCTAGTCACAAATTACATTAATGGACCTTCCAGTATTCAAATCAATAAATCCAGATGTACGTTGTTCAATTAATGAAACATAAAACAGAAACAATAAAAAAAAATCACGCTTTCTTTTTGTCTAGGAATTAATCAGCTGTAGTTGGAGTTCAAAATCTAAACTAGAAAAAGCTTTTCATATAGTTCAATTTACTCGTCGATTTAATCAAGTATTTAACTATTTTAATGCAATATCATATTTCATTTTTTTTTCCAAAAAAAGGTTAATTTTTGGGTACAAGGCGAATTATTACGTGCTGATATAATTAAAAATCGTATTGAAATTCTATCACATTTTATTCGAGTTGCTAAAGTAAAAAGAACAATTCGGCATGGATTTTGTATAAAAATAGAAAAATCATTTTTTCATTTAAGAAACTTTTCGATTTCAATAATATTAATGCATGTATGGCTGTTGTTATGGCTTTACAAAGTGCACCTATTTATCGATTAGAAAAAACCTGGATGGTAATATTTCATTTTATTTTAACTTGAAAATGAATTTCAATTTTTAGGGACTCAGTAAAAGAGATCGTACAACATTTTCAAATCTAAAAGAATTGGTATCATCTAATGAAAATTGGAAACGATTGAGACATCATTTAACTAATACAAAATTACCATGTATACCCTATCTTGGTAAGAGAAAACTACAGAATAAATATTTATTTTTTTTTTTAATTTAAAAAAATTCTAATTAAAGGTATTTATTTAACTGATATCATTCGTATTGATACTCTTCATCCACATCGAGGTGGACTTGAAACGAATCAACGTAAAAACGCTATGAATAATATTTGTCGTGTTATATCAGAATTTCAACAATCAACTTATGGTTAGTTTTAGTTTCATTTTTTCTTTAAAATTTTTGAATCTTTTGTAATAAGAAAATAATTTATTTCACTATAGAATTTCTTAAACCAATTGAATGCGTACAAAATTATCTTGCGTCTGTACGATATATGGAAGAATTACAAACATTTGTTGAAGATCAAAATTTTAAACAATCATTAATAATTGAATCTGACGATCAGCACGATTCATGTTGTGAAAAACAAGCGAGAAATTTAGAAAAGTCGTCTTCATTCAAAGTTTTACACGTCGATACGCCGTCAATTTGTTCACACCGACGAACATTAAGTGATTATAATCAGTAAGAGAACATTGATTATTATAAATAAGATCTTGAATTATAATTATTGTTTTTAGTTCGAATTATTTTTTATCTTCTAATAAATCTGCCACATTACCTTGTCGAACAAATGGAAATAAAAGTCTATTAGATGACAGTGTACTTGGAGATCCTGTCAGCGAAGAAGCTTCATCTAGTAAGTTAAGAAAAAAGTTTCATAGGTCTAGTATTGTATAAAGGTTTCAAATCGTTATCAGCACATATTGATTCAAAAATTAGTCGTCGCTAATCTTTTTGTTTTCATTTAGTGATTTTCAGTTTGTCATCGATTACAATCGACAATAAGATTGTACCCTACCACAGAAGATTAGATCCTTTTTGGATCGAAGTCCAATCGCATTTCACTTTAGTAAAACTCACACGAGTATTTCACATTCGATGATTAATAATAAAAAAAAACAAGACATACCATTGTATTAAATTCGATATAAAATATAATGATAATTTGCTCACGTGCTGCTTGTTTTCAATAATGACGTACAAGAAGATTGATTAATAAATAGTAAAATTCTAATGAAAACATCTTGAATTCGAGAAAATATTTCAGTAATATGTTTAGCATTTGTTTCTGTGAAAAATTAAGAAACTCAATCGAATTCGAAGACTTGATCAATCTATTGTACCAATACTTGTCATAAACACTATTTGATTGCTCGTGTCTTACATAAATAATATCACTATGTATTAACCTGAAAGCAAGGCCATTCTATTGATATAATTTTATTATATTCAATTGACATTTACATATTATTAATGTTCCATTATAAATCACTTAGAACAATTATAAACTAAACATTTTAAGTATTTAACACTTCATTTTACCTTTTCAACCTTCTCATTTCAGGTAATGAATCATGTGAAGAAGTTATTCTTAAAGCAAAAGAATATATTAAAACAAATAATAAAAATCATCATATCATTCAAGGAATATCTTTATCATTATCATCATTATCAATGAAAGTACCATTAAATCCATATAATGATTCATTAATACCAGCAAATTATAATTTTGAAGGTTTAGTAGAACGTAGATGTCTTTTGAAAAATTTCAAAGAACCAAATATATCAAAATGGAAAAAATATTGGGTTGCCATTTGTGAACATTTACTTTTTTTTCATAAACAAAGATCGTTTTTAATAACGTTACCTATGCGTTTAAGTCGACAAACATCGTTGAAAAAGAATGATAATATATCAATTGCACAGTCGAAATTATCAAATATGAATATAACATTAACAGAAACAGATCGTTTATATTATCGACAGAATCCGTCAAAATGTCAATCGATTACAGATTGGCTTATTGTACTTAGTCAAACAAAAAATCGAAATGAAATTCAATTGAGCGATTTGACTAGAGGTGAAACATTGTATTTATTTATAAAAATAAAATAAAATAAAACATATTCATTTCCTTTATTCGCAGGATCCATGTATAAATTCAAATTTGAGAATGCAGCTATTGCAAATATTTGGTTTCAACGTTTAAAAGAAGCAACACTATTTAAACAAACAAATGGTCAATTATCAGAAAATTTAATTGCATTAGATTAATCTTCCTGTTCGAGTACTCTGATTGAGAATTACTAACTAGTCACGTCAGTACGTGCGAGTACTTATTCTTAAAAAGAAAATAACTGCAGTTTTATTATCATTGTTTCCTGTTTTTTTTTAAATATATTTCTTATTGCGTGTCTATGGTAGATTTTGTTTTAGTCTAGTGTACGTATGGATCCTTGTTTTTGTTTTGTTTTTCAATGATGTATATTGTTACGTGCACATGCTTTGATATATTAACAAGAAACGAAAGATATTATATATGTACAGTGAAAGCTGACAATAAATTTAGAAAAATCCTATTCATGGCTGAATTTGAGTCAGTTCAGCGTCGCAAAGTGAAGCTTCATTCTACAAGATTTATTGTGTTTTGGCTGAAAATGAAAATAGAGAATTTCGTACAAATTCTACGGGTATGTTATTTACAAAGTGATCATCTGTATTCTTATCGTTTGATCAGAGAAATTAGCAGCATTCTTATCATAAATCATTGAGAAGCCTATAGTCGTTTACAAAACTGAAAGACATTCAGCGAACTCTTTTTGTTTACAACACAAGTAGTTTCATTATATTTCATATTGTAACCATCATAGGATTACATCAGATGCTTGTTCTTAAACATGTAGTTGCCATAAATCCACTTCAAACAACATCGCCTTCGATAATTTCTCGTTCTTACTGAGCAAATTCTAATTATGTATCAAAAGAAAAAAGAAAACTTTCTAAAGTCTGGAAATTCGCATCATATTGAACAGCTATAAGAATGACAAGTACGACGACAACTAACATTGATATATTATGTATTAAAAAATTCCATCTTACATTGTAAGGAAAAAAATGTACACTATTCATTAATATTTAATTGTATATTGTCAAACAAAACATTTCGATAACCATGATCTGATCTAATTCGAAATCCAAAATAAATATCTGGCGATTTGAATACATGCTTTTATTGTGCCCATAGTTTCATTAAATCATTTGTGATTACACTTAGGTAAAGCTAACATCGGATTTGCTTCTCAATCTGTGCTAGTGTTGAATCCGCTTGTGTTAGATGCAGAATTTAATTTTCCATCGATTGTCACTTTGAAAAATAGAGCTTATCGATCAAAAACTATACTTTTGTCCCGAAATACAGATTTTTCCCTCACACAAAAAATTTTCTGAAACTGTCTTTCTAGCCCGGATTCGCTGCTGAAACTGTGTTGGCTCTCTAACCAGTTGTATTAGATCCAAAATTTGATGTTCTTTCGAATGGTGTCTCTCATAATAGGGTTCCTTCACCAACAAGGGTGTGTTACGCCGAAAAACTGGATTTCAGACAGGTTTTCTGTAGTACATGTAGTCCGGATTCGTTTTCGAAGCGGTGTTGGATCTATAATCACTTGCGTTGAGTAGATGATTAATTCGAGTTTGAAAATAAACACCAAAACAAAAGAACGACACTTTCATGACTAGTTAGGAAACAAGGAAAAGATGAAATTTCCTTTTTTTTATATATTATATATTTGATTACGAAGTGGAATGTCCGCCTTAGATAAACATCTTGTAAGCAAGATCTTGAGTACAGATATTCAATATCTTTAACTCAATATCTAATCTTTTATGATCGTTTTTAGTAATATTCATCCCTGACAATCGCACGTTTCAAACTAGGAATCAAGACCTTCAGTGAAAATCATGAGAAATTTAACTTATAGTTAGTAGTGAGCAATATCTATCTGAACGTTGGATTCAACTTAACTTTCCATTGAAAAATCTAAAAAAAAACCCCAAGAACTAGAAGTAATACTGGAAATTACTACTTGATATAAGCAATTTTAATGAGTTCAAACATATTCCTATTTATAAAAATTCAAATAAAGAAACGGTGTAAAGTAAAAAACTTTTATCCTCTGATTTTATTAATATTTACATCTAATTTTTTTCAAACTGTATTATTTTTTGTGATTGTAATTGCTGTTACTGATGCTCAGCTGTCATTAATTTGGCTTTACTTGTATTGAAAGGTATCGGATGACAATGATGTCATTAAATCGATGCACATGTGTCCAAGAAAGGTTTCTCCTATAGTCTAAGTAATTACGTATAAAAATCTAGAAAGAAAAATAGCTTAACCATTCTTTATGCCTATATAGTATCTTAAAAAAGTCAATATACGAACAAAGAAGCCAAGAGATTTATCTAAATGAAATGTTTGATTAACATTGAAATCTAAAACCTCTTTATTTTTTGTCATCTTGCAAAGAAACAAATTTTGAATTCTAACACTCTGTATCAGAGCTCCGCGTGGGACGGGATGGGACGAACACTTTTAGAAAATTTTAAGCAGACAAGAAAGAATCGATGTCTCTTTCGAGGCGATTCTATTATATGCTTACTATCTTTATCCATTAAAATTATATTTATTGACGTAAGTCACCGCTTTCAAATCTTATTCTCATATTTTAGACCATTTTCGGTATATGTTGTTCAGTTTATCAAAAGTATTTTTAAAAGTCATCTAAGACAACGGTCTTAATTTTAATGGATAGCGACAGTATGCATATCATAGAATCATATCGAAAGAGATTTTGATTCTTTCTTGTCTACTTAGAATTTTCTAAAAATGTTCGTCTCATCTCGTCCCACACGGAGCTCTGCCCTGTATCGTAACCTGACATAAACCGGGTTTGAATAAAACACAAATGTTTGATGAATACACTCAAAATTAGTCGATAAAAGTTTGTTCCCACTTTAATCGTTACGTATAAGTATGTTTTTATTGCTTTCTTTGTTCTTCATAGCTTTCATTTTATTGGCTGATGAGCGTTCTCACTATTGCCAAATTTTCGTACATCAATGAGATTGACAAGTTTATTTGATTGAGTTTTGGAAATTAATTTCAATCAGTTAAAGAATTAAAAAATATGTTAATAGAGTAATGGTGTCACTTTTTGGTTTACTCAAGATCTTGAGTAAAACCGGATATCGTCTTCATGATCTTAACGTTTGAAAATCTCTGAGTAGATCCTGTCAAGAAATGTACAAACAAATTATCTTTTAAAAATCTTGATATTAAGATCTTACTTGCTGACCCTACGATTTCAAGATCTTGCATACAAGATTTTCGACTAGGGTGATCCACGCCCGACATGTACGCCCTCACCCACATTCACAAAAATGCTAAAGTCACTTCAGCGTGGTAAACGATCATGCTCGATTGTATCAGGACTTTTTAAGGGGGGAGGGGGCCGTGGCCCTCACTTTTTTGATTCAATGGGCTTGTTTTATAGAGCACATTTTTTTACTTATATCCGCCAATTTTTATCTTTACTGGATATACCCAGTCCAAGTTATAGACACCACAAGACAAATTTTTGAACTAAAACTTTGCCTCTGGGTGTATCTAGTTTGTGATTGGTTCCCGGCATTAAGTAAAATGACAACTAAAATTTTTATATATGAATCGGTAGAGAATTCTTTTCTCTATCTGATACGTGATGAACAAACTTGGAAGAATAATTTGTTCATATTATTTAATAGTGAATACTTTGAAATAGACACCTACTTTTTACGCTTCAATGGCTTTCAGTTGTGTTTTCATAATTTTGACTGTACTTAAAAATAGCGTTCTACATATAATTCGATAAAGCATTTCAAAATCTACAAAATGGTGTAAAAATCTTCAAGGAAAAAGTTTTACTTGGGTGTCTTTTTCAGAGAGCAAAATGTGTTGATATGCGAAATTCAATACAAATCTTCAAAAAGTACTAAATATCAACGTCAATAGTTAATTTTTATGCAAGATAAATATGATATCTAAAATCAGCATAAAAAACTAACCGACGAAGTACGGCTTTTAGAGAAAAGCATTTTTTCTAGATAGTTTACTTGTACTCCGNTCACTATTTAATAATATGAACAAATTATTCTTCCAAGTTTGTTCATCACGTATCAGATAGAGAAAAGAATTCTCTACCGATTCATATATAAAAATTTTAGTTGTCATTTTACTTAATGCCGGGACCCAATCACAAACTAGATACACCCAGAGGCAAAGTTTTAGTCCAAAAATTTGTCTTGTGGTGTCTATAACTTGGACTGGGGATATACGTAAAAAAATGTGCTCTATAAAATAAGCCCATTGAATCAAAAAAGTGAGGGTCACGACCCCCCTCCCCCTTAAGTCTCGGAGTTGAATCGTCTTTCTTGACTTTTTATAAGTCAAAAATGCTTCTGTGACTGTGCTTTTATCAGGTCGATAACACTATTTGACAGATTGATTACCTCTTTCTTCGTAAAAACTGACTGAGTGCTACAGCGAACGTTATCAGTTTTATTTCGTTCTGTTTGCCCACAATCTTTTACTGCGTAGTTTCATCGAATCATACTTCAGTCTTTAAAAGTACTCACTTCTGCTATCATTTTTTGGTGCACTTGCAATTATAGTTTAAGGCTTTAAGCTTTAATCGTTGTTCGCCGACAAATATTTAGCTGTCTAATAGTATTTTCTGACTTATTGTGCTACTCTCACTCCTGTATTCTACAGTAGAGCAATTGGAAAATGAACAAAATCTACCGAGGCTAAGTTGATTCACAAAGAGACCAGTATATCAACTGGTAGATATTCACAACAAAAATTTATTTCCAACATAAGTCGTACCATCTGGAAAATTTTCTCTGTACACAATTGTCATCGGCCCCAAAACACTTGAATATATATTTAGAGTACTTGCCGATATTTTTATATTTCTTAATAGATTACAACTTTGTCACTTGCAGGTCGAGACCAAAGCTCATCCCACCCACTATTCTATACCTTTAAAGAATCTTTGAATTTAACTTCAATTTTTTTCATCTTTGATGTAGAATTTGAATTCAAGATGGCAAATTCGATTTTAGAGCAGACAACTGACGACGTGAATTCAAATCCATGTAGCTCAAGTGGTGAAAATCATAATCATAATAATGATGGTTGGCAGATAGTCTACATTTGCCTAAAACGGGTAAGATATCGTATAAAAATGTTCACTTGAATTAATCACAGAATGTGCATAAAAAGTTGAAAGCATGTTGTGGGAGAGCTTTGGTTACGAATATGTGCCTTCGCTTCACCTTCACTTTTAAGACATACAACATCAGTAAAGCAGACATGCGGAGAGGCATGAGTAGTTCTATCGTTTTTTTCCTACTTATTTCGATCACCAGATTCTTTGCACCATTCAAAATTGAGATCGTTTAAGTATCCATGTCGTTTTCATCTTTCTGTCTGACCTTCTTCCTATCTTATTACAAAAATAGTCAACATTCTTCAATTCTATATTGAGAAAGCAAAACGATTAATAGAAATGTTTTCCTATGGATTCATTGGTCTATATTTTGATTGCTATTTTTCTGTTTTATGATCTAGTCATCAAAGAGCTGTTTAGGCTTTTCAATTATCGGTGGTAGTGAATATTCAATTCCTATCAGTGTCAGTCATATTGCAAAAAGTGGTTTTGCCGATCGTGATGGTCGTTTGAAGTGAATCATCTTCCACTATACTGTTGTTGATCTCATTGTTTTTCAAAGGCTTGATGATATTATTTTAGGAGTTAATAGAATTAGTTTTGTGAATATTAGCCATGGCGACGCTCTGCGCGTATTGCAATCTACTGGCAAATATATTACTATGGTAAGTTACAGTAGTTTTATGTATATCTTTCTGGTGACGACAGCAAGTATTTGTGATCATTTTTAGCGTATAAAACGATTGATCCCACAGATTACCGTAGACAGTCCATCATATCAACCAAAAGAGGCTAAACGACGTTTAATAGTGGGCAATGTGATGGATTCAGTGCCCAACACGTGTGTTTATGAATAGAAGACGAATCGAAAAAGAAACGAGACTTTTGTTTTTCTAGTTGCATTGGTACTTTTATCAATTCTACTACTGATGCTCAAAATGATACACTTCGACCGTTAGGCGACTTGGTTTCGAATGCAGAAAATAAATCTACGGTATGTTAATATTTTTCCATCCAGATATATTACATACATATATATATATATATATATTTACGTATGCTCAGTATCAAATATCGCTTCGTATCAGATCTTTTAGAGAACCAGTTTAAGAATGATGATATCTATATGTATCAAAACAAGACAACTACACTTTTCTCAGCGAACAATATTCATGTCTAGAATCAATGTTGGAGTTAAATCCTCTGATATAAATCATAATTAATAGAGAAGAGACTACTTTGAATGATTATTCTTTAAAAATGGAGCCTAAGCCCACTTGACAAGGAATTTTGAATTCATCACTAGTCGAATATTTTTAAGAGCTTTCCAAATCAGTGTTTTAATTGTCGAAATAATTCAAATAGAATAGGTTGTGGTGTGATTGCAAACATTCTGCCGATCCGCCAACTATCTAAAATCATTCATTAACGTTCAAAAATCACAGCTACAGTCACATGCAGCTAAATATTTTTCCAGGTATTTTTCGTGCAATTCCCCTTTCCTGGGAAATAGTATTCAAGTTAGTTCAAGAAAAATAAGGGATATTATCCTTATAGACTGTATCCTTTCTTCAGTTTTCTCAAATGTCTTAGCCCATGATGGAGCTATTCGACACAGCGTCGATTTCGTCTTGTCGTTTATAAGTTACATTAGCAAGCGAGCTTTTCTATTCGGTTATCACTGTTTGCCTATTTTTAGATTACCAAGAGCAAAGTCCGGAACCGAATAAGAGTGCATTACAAACCTCTATGTGAATATGATGTGGGAACGTTGAAAGATCTGACTGATAGATATTTTGATAGAGATTACCTCGAAATTCATCATCTTATTCCGAAAGATATCGCTATGGCAATCTTTCCCGAATACAAAGAAGCCGAATCTGTCTGTATCGTTCTTTCGAGAATGAAACGTCATTCAGCACTTGTCATTTCCAAGGATGACTTTAATTCACTATTGTCTCATAACAATTCTAAAGAAATACTAACACATGTCATTAAACACCATACACAACTGAAAGCTATACCCAGTCCAGTTCTACTCGAAGCTATTCTTTTGCATTGCGCACAATTTCCGCGCATCTACGAAACACCAAATCATCAATCATTGAGTACTGACATCAATGTCATCGATTACAGTGTATATGACATAATACTTCGAATTCCATCCAAGGATCTACGCTATATGGGCGACATGCACGATATAATCAAATATGGCAATTGCGTCAAGGATATTCCAAGTCATGTCTGCCAATTTATCCTCGAAGAAAATCAACCGATAGAGCCACATTCCAAACAAGTTCAAGATTACCTAGGGGTGTATGTCGCGCACCGATGCATTGATCTACTATCCGGCCTACAACTAGTTCTCACATTTCGTATTGAACTCGACCACACCGCAGAACGTCAAGAAGAATCAGATAACTGTATTACGACTATCACCACGAATCACTACGTCATTTATCGCATGATCACTCTTAGTAAAGAATAGCTTTTTGTACGATAGTTCACTGTAATTTTCTATTGTTTTCAAAATAAGAATCTATTTAATTTGATACAAATCTATCAAAATTATCACTTAAAAGATTAATAAACTGTATGAACTTGGCAATTTTTATTGCGAAAATAGATAGACCATAGTATCTACGATAGCCAGTGAAAACTCGATGAACACTATACTATATGGCCATACCATTTATTTAAACGAAGAGAATACGAGAACCCACTACCATACTCTAAATTTCATATCTCGAGAAGTATTCCCTATTGATTTATTGACGCAAGAACTCAACTGATCGATTGTGAGTATAGTGACCACTATATGTTGACATATATAATTGTTGCTGAACGATGATCTAGAATGAAGCCAAGAGAGTACGTACCTAGGTTTCAATAGTTGATCATGATCAATTAAGAAATAAAGCATTCATACAATTCTGTTGCTCACTTGAAAATAAGCAGAATAAAACTAGTATAGTATCGGTTTGAAAATAGTTTTCTTAAATTATTCATTAAAAAATGTTACGATAAAATTCAAATACAGGGCCATAAATATCGTAATTATTGTCTTACTTCTTCATGTACAGACAAAGAAAAACATTATTCGTACTAGGAAATGTCGTACTAACAAATTATTATTATACTATATTGAAACAGTGATCAAATGAACATTTTACAGGACTCGACTAAATACAATCGTTTTTTCAAGATAATTGTATTGAGTGAAACGTATAATGATACACAAGCAAACATGTAACAATGTTCATTGTATCTTTGTTATACTGAATTGTTGATAAATGTATTTATTTTGCCCTATCTGGCAATGAAGATTGGTTAAAAATTAGTAAAATAAATAACATACATGGTTTGGATAATAATGAAGAAAAATCTACTCGTACCAACTTGTTAGCAAACAGCCAGTCTAAAAACGCATACTCGTAATCAATTGGTAATCCATAAAATAACATATCTCTTTCGCTCGCAGATTAACAAAGAAATAATGAAATAACTTAAAGTGGCGACCACAAAAGCATTGTGTTCATTATAAAAGCAGTCCGCGATGGGAAATATTGAAATGCACGAATGGGATTTATTTGAACCTGTTTTAGTATTGAACAGTAAATAATTTGATTATCTTTACAATTTTTGTATAGCTAAAATGCTCGCCATGAGTGAAAATCCTTGCCAGAAATGCTAATGGGTGGTCTTGGATCAGTCGGCTGCTTAGTATGACTGTGCAAATACGAATAACTCAAAGAAGTTGCTACTCCAGTTTTATCAATCCATTCTATAGCAAATACTATTTGACGATGTCTTGGTGGTATACAATCACGAGTGGCATGTGGCGCGCCAATAAAACGAGAGTGGCGAACGCTTTTTGCAATCTGGATATTGACATCTAAATTTAAATAATTTGTGATTGATAGATTTTCAACGATAAACACCCTAAATCGTAGTTTATTCGATGTTGTATAAAATACAGCTTCTTTGTCCTTGAAATAAAAGCGACATCTAGTTAAGTACATATGCGTATACAAATACAAATCAACAGACCTGTTTCTTGTTGGCAATTCTAATCACGGCTGAAATCAGGCAATCAGCAAGAAATGTTGCTGGTCTAGTTTCTGTAGTTAAACTAATTTGCACGCTTGAATGTATGACAATAGTAAAATCTCTTTTTTCTTTATCATTTTGCCAAAAACTAGTTGAAAATGGTACCAGTGCATAGTCACCAGCTCGCAATGCTCCTACCCAATACGTAAGGCCTCCACGCTCAGACATAATTATACTCTCACGTGCACCAACAATACCAGTTGCTGCGAATTCGCTTGTATCACAAAGCACAAACGATTGAGTATGAGAAGTACGCGTTTTTCGATCACGACGATGATATACCAAACTGATATTGATTGTTGATGATCTGAAGATAATGTATAGAATAACTAAAAACCGAAATCTGAATCTTATAAATTTATTTACTCAGGTACATGAAGATTGTAAATTGTTACTTGTTGGGTAGATGATCGAGTAAATTTACCTACTTCGCGTATATCATAATGATCACTATTATAATGTGAGATAGTTATAGATGAAAAATAACGAAGAAATCGAGGCCATGATATCCAAAAAGCACCAGTAGAACGTTTCTCAGGATTGACTGCACGTAGTTGCTTGAGAATACTTTCTGTTACCAATTCTTCTCGATAGGTTGAATGAGAATGAGGATCACGAACAAGTACAAAACGCCATGATGCATCTCTAAGTGCATTAGCGGCCAGGAGAGAAAATGCATGGTCCTTATGAATGTGAACGTGTGCATATTCTTCTGAGCTCACAGCAGTTCCGCCTGACGATACTCCGATCAATAATCTATAGCATTAACTCTCTCGGTATTTAGAAATAGATTTCATCCAACTTACTTTGATTCGCAAGCAGATAAAAGTTGTGCCCAAGCCATATCACCATCCAGTGTATTATTCGTTGGTTGAAGATCAATATAATCACATGGTGCTCCAGTTAATAATTGAAGACCCTCACGCATATTTCCACTTCTTAGAGCAGCATAAGAACCGAATAGTTTTGCACATGACTTTTCAATCAACGGAACATACAATTGACGACGCTTAGCTTGAGTAAAGACCAAGTTTTTATGTCTTGTGCATGGAAAGCAATCATCAATAATAATTGTTTTCCACAAGCCATTGTGACAAACGCGTACCATATAAACGCCTTCATTATTTATTGTTTTTGTAAGAAGAATATGCTCAAGTAAACGAGGCTTTTCAGAAACCAAAGCTAAAGCAGCAACTAACCAACAATTGCCTAGAGCACCTTGTGCAATATCACTTGGACCAGGCGATGAAAATATAGTCCATGGCAATTTACGATCTTCTTCTGACGATGGAGCGACGTTAGATATTCGTAGCCACTGTGCAACTTGGTTGAATGTTCCTGATCCAATCGATGCATCTATTGGAGGAAATTGATCATCAACAAAATGTATATTTTCCTAGATATATAAATGATACATGGCAATCAAAGAGTGTTCAACATAAATATTCAACACTTAAGCACTACTGATGGACTTTTTCTTTTTGTCTCACTTAAAACATAGAATATATGAATATAGTCTCGCATTACTTATGCATGCATTACGTTTGAAATTCAGTGATCAAAGGCAAAAGCAAGAGAAGAAGTTTATATATCAATCTGTAATTGTGTTCTATCACTCCAAAAAAAACGATTATTGATCCTGTTAAATACCTGTCTGCAATATTTCTTTATCTTGTTAAATATGACTTGTGCACCAGATTCATGCATATGTCGACGATCACGAATAGTCAAGGACATACGTGTTGGCGGTGCTGCTTCGGAATTGATTAAAACTGCATTTTTATCATCCTAAATGAAAAATAAAATAAAATATTCTGCTTTATTCATCTTTTGTTTTTAAATCAACAACTTACTGAAATAGACTTGTCTTGGTCACCTGTTTCATATTCTTTACTTTTAGCTCTCCGGTAAAGTTTATACTGAGAATACAATGCGGCCGATTTTGATTGATCATTATTAGATAGATCTTCTTCCGATTCCTTGATTACTTTTTGACACATTTGGCAAAGAGGACCATCTTCCATATCGGAACTGCATATAGGACACCACCATTGTTCGAAGATAGAGAGCAATGATGAGTCAGTCGATGTATTGGACAAAGCAGTGGCCATTGATATTGATTGAATCTATATCAGTTATAAAAATCCACTAATTGAACAGCTTCTTTGATATTTTGGTCTTAGGAAAAGTTGTAACAAAGAGTTTGTCTACTGCTTCTAAGAGTATAAATATTCGAATATGGCATTACACATAAGATGTTTACTTTTTCTTTTGTGGAACTCACATATATTTTCGAAGAAAATGGTGAGTGTAAGTTTAAAAGCGAGACTTTTGCGGCTTCCCCCCTCCCCATTACAGACCCCTCACCTTACATTACAGACATTAGCAAGCACGCAAAAATTAAATAAGACATTTTTGTCCTACCGATCGATTTTCTTCCAGCAAATTCCGCACCACGCATTATGTATAAGTAAATTAGGCGAAAAATCATATGCAACTTCCACATTTTAGCCCCAAAGGGACTGCGCTAACAAGCTTTTTTATGATTCTATTCGTTTCTTCGAGAAAAAGGGTTTCGAAATGTTTATAGTTACAAAATTGGAGTGTGATTACTCATATATGGTACTATGCGCAGCTTTAGATTTAATTGTTTATTCTGATTCTGAGAAGTGAACACCAATTTCCTCATGATTATTGATAAAAACTGTTACTTAACACAAAAATAACTAATATAATAGGTTTTTCAACACGCATATTCGACGATGAAATAAAAATGTTCTTTTTTTTTCTGTACATATAGTGGCTATAATCATGAAACTAGAAGATTAGCTGTTAACTTCTCAAAACAGACACAAACGATGAAATGAAAAGAAAATATACACTATCTTCCATATATGAACATTCATCTTGAACTTGTAGGCTCGCGATGAATATGTTAACACTTTTCTTAATGAACGAATAAAAAAATTTTAGCAAGTCTTTTCAGCGATGTGAGAATATAAAAAATATTTATGTCTATATGAACTTCGATTTCTCATCGCATTATCAGTATTTCATATGCTTACCAATTGATAGATATTCGCATAGGATAAAACTCATCACATTCCCATACACCGTTACTAATAACGTGATAGAAAGGGAGAAAATAAGAAAAAAATGAGTGCCCCGTCGAAAATGTGAGTCGGTTTTTGCTCCGTTCTGCTTTTTTTTCTAACAGTCGTAAAGGGTCACTAGCAAAGGAAAGCGTCAATGACGACGCGGTACGACTGTGTGAGAGTGATTCAGCAGTAGAGTGAGGTATTCATTTTTTGTAGTATTGGAAAAATATATACAGAGCGTAGCAGCAGCAATGAAAAAGTAATGAAATGATGATTCAAGAAGTCTCCGAAATAAATTACTCAGTAGTTTTGCTTTGAGATATTTCTTCGATTTATATTCGTGTTGCACAACACGTCGGATGAGTAATATTTCCCATGAGTAAATAGATTTATCGAATCTTTAAAAGTTGTGAACAAAGCACTCATGACGTTAGTGAAAATTTCAGTCATAATATTCCTTTTTCAGTTGCTTATTTTTATTCACCAATTGATCCATATATCCCTCACAAGATTCTGCAGATGATTCTATGACAGAAATATGAATATATACTTCGTTTATGTTTACTTTTACGTATAGCTACTAATAATTTTCGCTAAATCGTTTTTTTTTTTTATAGATTTTAGTTTTTTCTGCTGCTATTGAGATCTTTGAATTTCTCTCAAGCGAAAAGCAACATTTCTTTCAACTACATCTATTTCAATATCCTATACACAGTTTAACGATTGTTCGACAAAGGCCAAGATTCATCAAGAGAAACTTGATATTTTAAAATGCGAAAAAAGTGATCAGTTCTGTAAAAATATTGATTTAAACAAAATATTCCCTACTTGTGTCTCTTGTTTCGTCTATTCAATTTGTTTATCATACAAAATTAGACCATCGATTACAAATTTAAGAGTAGAAATGAAAAGAGCGATATATCAAAATTGACAAAAATAAAGAATGCGAATGTTGAAACAAGAGATCGTGGCAAACAATATAAAGATAGAGAGGGAAGAAAATAAAAGTAAAGTATGCACTTCTTATCGATGCTAGTTGTGAGTTGTGTTTGAAGAGGAGAAATAAATATGCACGTTATAGTCAACTACTCGATGTATAAATATATTGTAAATATTTAAACTTTTACTGAAGAAAACCTGTTAGTGCAATCCTAAGGATGTGAGTGTGAGTTGCGATGTACTCTTCGCCACATCCACACCCCTAATCTCTCACGGTCTTGCAAACTATATTTATACTGCGTGCAATTAATTTTGATTGTACTAAAAGATGATTTTCATTTATTGTTCTTGAACTTTATGTTGAAAAATGATTTACGATGCGTAACAAAAAAATTGATGTTTTAAATAGTACACATATTAATACACAGGTCTAAAGGGAAATCTACATGAGTCATGAATTTCAGACAGCCTGCATGAAGATGAGCATTCTTTCGCCTTGAAAAAAGTTGTAGTTACTGTTTATTTCTAGTTGATCGTTCTTATGATTTTCATGCGTTCAGAACATCAGTTGCTTTAGATTTGCACATCATTCATTCAAGCACTGAAGTGTTTGTTTGTGGAACGAAAGTCATGTTCTATGGATAAAGCTTTAGGTTAGCGAAGTTCAAGAATGTGAAAAAAGTATACCTCAGTATTTATTGATAAATCTATGCATCATGTTAGTAATTTCATTGGTTAAACATGTAAAATATTGCATTATAGCTCATCAAATATTCAATGTCTTTTGTATCCATTCAACGGCGTGTGCCAAAACTTCTTCTTTGCCCAAATCATTATGCAGTTCGTGGAAATGTCCTTGCCATTCCTTGTATGTTACATTGCCCCGAACACGTCGATTGATTCACTTTCGAATACGTGTAACTGGTGTAGTAGTATCAGCGCTTCCGTGTTGTATTAACATTGGACATGTTGCAGTGAAGGTTTTCTTTTCGAAAAATAGACCGATCTCAACTAGAATAGCAATGGTAGCTGCTGGCCAACGACCATGAATACGGTCATCATTGCGATAAGCTTGAACAACTATCGGATCGTTTGTATAGACATTTGTTCTGTTGCCATCAATAGGTAAACGCAAGTGAGGATTTAAATTGGCAAATGCACGCATAAGAAATAACTGTATTCTTGAAGGACGTTTCTTGAGACATATTGACGGTGTGCTCACAATCATAGCTTGACAATCCAAAGGATTTTCAGGCCGTCGAATATCGTACATAAGACAAAATGCAGATCCTGTACCATGAGAATATATAATGAGTGAAATATCAGGATAAAGTTCAACACGAATAAATCGAATGACACATTCGAGATCATCGAGAACGGCATCGATACAAGGAAAGTAGCCTCGTTCACCACCCGAATAGCCATGACCTCTTAAGTCATAGCTGACACTTGCCAATTGATGTTCGTTGAAGAATCGAGCAACATGTTCATAGCGTTCGCAATGTTCACCTGATCCATGTACTATGAGTACAACCGCACGAGGTTCTTCGTTTATTACAGGCCAATGGCGAACGTTCAATGACAATTGATCATATGAGGAATAACAGATGAACTGTTCGCTTTGGAAATTCTTTGTCGCGTCATCAAGAACCACTTCTGCCATTTAAATTTATCTATCAAAAAATTGAAGTCGTTGTATTGCAATATATATATATGGATCTAACGAAATTGAGAGTTATGCAAAATAATGCAAACTCTACCCAAAAAGACTTTACTCATTATTGGAAACAACTACAGTAGGCTACTTACTGACCCATAACGGAACTATACATGAGTTGAAAATGTCACAATTTAATTACCAAGTTATGTAGAATGTTGTCGGTCACGGTTCACAGTTTTATCATGTCTAACATGACACTTGTACGCTTTCGGCCATGTCAAATAAATTGTGACTCAATAAAGAGAGACGGGTGTGTTTTTTTCTTTTTTCTAATTTTCATCTGCGTTAAAAAAAACGAAATTAACAAACGATGCTTAAAAGAAATTTTAGTCGCATATTTCTGGATTAACATTAGTAAATGAACGACTTTGGAATTGTCATATCTCTTGGTTATGAATGTAGATGGCGATGATAATCAAATGTTCCATTGATGGCCAATAAATTGTTCGTATGGTTTCGCCCAAAAAAGCGGTGAAAGTTTCGTTTAGCTTTGAAAATTTGCTTTAAGGAAAAGGACGTGAAGACGTTTCTACTTTCTATATTTTTGCTGGAGTTGATTTCTTAGTTCATATAACGTATCAGTCATATGATTTTTGTGAAATCAAGGCAATCGTTTTAGGTAGTTAGAGCGTTTTAAGATCGAGTATAAATTTTAGTTGACAATGCCTCTAATGTAAACACCTACACACTACGAGCAATGAACGCTTTTCTATCGTCTACTTGACTCATATCATCTCTCCAATATGGAAGTGTTCTTTTTAGTTTTATAAACTACAAGTGAATACAGTTTTTTGTAGGATTCGATGACTGTGTACGTGTGACATGAAAAATGATATCACGTCACAAGCACGTTTTTCAAGAGCAAGTGCGATTAATTTATGGTAGTAATAATGGTAATGGTTCATCACAACGTAAATTAGCTCAAAAGTAATTTTTTCGGCTAATTCTTCGCTAGTAGTAATAAGACATTGGATACTTAGTACTTTCCGTACTAATTGCGTAAAAATCTTGAGTACGAATTCTTTTTTTTTCAAGTAAAATTACATACACTGTTACTAAAAAGATTGTACTTTGTCTTTTTACCTAGGTCCAAACTTACTCGGTATATTTAGTGAGTACTTTTACTGAAGTAAAATTACTTAAAGTACAATTTCTAAGTAAACAGCATTTGTACTGGTCCTACTCCAATGCCTGATGGTGTGATCAAAGAAATCTAACAAAGTCCATCATCGAATGTTCGCAGATCCAATAGCACTGTAGGCTTCGCAAGCTGATGAAAACTGATGAAAGCACATGTAAATGAACAATAAAAAGAAAATAGTGGATTTTTGCTCATCCTTGTAGTTCTTATTAATGAAAGAAAAACGAACTCTTCGTTTCATTTGTCGTGCACGTAAAATCATCCCTAACAAAAATCAATACGATTGCAAGCGGTGAAGTATTGTTCGCGGTACATGCGCCTATAGTCATTTGCAAACCCATCTCAAAATAAATGATGATTCACGTATTATTCAAAACAGAACATATAGGTGTTTATTGCAAAACAAGATAGCAAAAAACGATAAAACAAGTGAAGAATGACACAAGCAAAAATTTACTAATTACTGACAACAACAATCACAGTACGCTACTTAGTAGCCTTCGGTAGAATTAATTGAGTTGAAAATTCTCAACGCCATTACTATGTAATAGTTAAGTTAGAAATTTCCAAGTTATGTAGAAAATGATCGGTCACGGTCCAAATTTATTATTTCTAACATCACAACTGTACGATTTTTGACATGCTAAATAAACTGTGACTCACTAAAGAGGAAAGAATATGCTTGCTTTTATTTTTTTCTAGTTTTAGTCGATGCTCGACAAGAGAAAGCAAACGTCAAAACAGATCAATAAAAGACGCTGAAAACATGTAAGCGCTATGTATATATAAATATATATGATTTGGAAATATAGACGGAAGTTATAATTTAATTTTTTACTCATGTCTATAGGCAACCCTGGCTTACACAATGTTATTATCAGTAAGTAATAGAAAAATAATAGAGAACATGAGTGATAGTGACTGATAGACAATTGCTAATTAAGATTTAATACTTATCGTGCTGGCCTACAAAAGAGATCTTTGTCGATCGATGCTAATGGAACGAGTATGTTTAGCTATTGTGAAAAGGGTACAAAAATGCATGGACAACCGACCGTTGTATTTATTCATGGACTTTCATCTAATAAAGAAACATGGCTACCGATTGTTAAAGTAAATCAAATTTTCTATTGATATTCATAGCTTATAAAATTATAATTTCTAATTGATTCAGAATATTCCAAACGATTATCATTGCATTACAGTAGATTTACCTGCTCACGGAGAAACCGTGGGCATGAAAGAAGAGTTCTATACGATTGATAAGTTTGTTGAAAAGCTTAAATTAGTAATCGTTTGTTGTTTTTGTCGATAATGATATTCTACAGGTAAAATGTGCTTTTAGTTTTTCGACAAAATGAATCTAATTGAACCAATGTTTATCATTGGTGCATCTATGGGCGGTGCCGTAGTATCTATGTTTGCAATCAAATATCCGAATTATGTGAGTTTGATATGTTTACTTGCGCCACCTGGTGAGTTTTTATGGATTACGTTACATAAAAGATTACAATTCATTTTGATATTTTAGCCGATGAAAAATATGAAACTGCTCGAATTAAACAATTACGCCAGGGCAACTATGAAGTACTTCTTCCAGAAACAACAGAGCAGCTGAGTGACATGATACGTTCTTTAACAGTAAAACCAATCAGGTTACCTGAAATATTCCTTAATGGTTTCCTTCGTTTACGACTTCCGTTACTAGAGGAACATACGAATGGTAATTAGCCGCCTTTTAAAATTTTCTGCTAAATTATAGACTGATTTGAATATTCATCAAGTTCTTAAGTCACTACTCGAACATGATTATCCATATCTTAATCAGCGCTATCAAGAACTCAATCAAATTAGTTGTCCAACATTGATTCTTTGGGGCCGCGAAGATCAAGTAAGCTTACTCTAAAATGTTTGCATTTGAAACTAATGAATATAATGATATATACAGCTATTTACTGTTGATGGTGCGCATTACTTTCTAAAATTAATTCCAAAATCAGAAGCAATTATTTTCGACGATTGTGGTCATTTCATGGCTATTGACAAACCTCTAGAAGTGGCCGAGAGTATTGTAACTTTTTTAAATCACCATTGCAACTGTCAGGTAAATCGTGCCTATTCTCACGAAATCTGATCATTTAGCTGATTCATTCAAATAAATGTGTTTATTAGTTTTTAATTTTATTTCATGAAAGATAATGCAGAAAAAAACAATGTTGTGGATGCAAATGTGTGTCTTTATATCGATGTGTTGATGTGGGGATAAGTATGGGTGCGCGTGTGAATGTGAATAAGAGCACTCTCTCTTAATCCATTTGGATATTTATACCCCAGCTCAAGTTCAATACCTTTGAAAGCCATATAATTGTATAATCAATGATAGGGTTGTCTCATTGGTCTTGCGTTAGCGGTAATTTAAAAATCGTATCAGTGAATTTAACACTAAGACTAAGCCGAAACCCCTAATCGATATTCCTTTCAGTCATGATCGTCTGTTCAAAAACATGTTTTCTGGTTATGAACACTTCAGAACTCGTTATCGATCGTGTTTCATGAAACGCAGCCAAAATTTCGAATGAAAACATTAGAAATCATTCTGAATAACGTAGAGAATCATCGTAGTTGACAGTTCAACAATTGTAATTGACGCGTACTATCTGAAAATTCAATTGGGAATTTGTAGAATGACCATAGTTTTGTGTTCTGACGCTCTATTGAATATTCTTAGATAATCTACTCGTCGTGATGTGTAGACATTGTTTTATTTTCTTCAGATTTTCAATTAAAATTGAAAATGTCGAAACTCTATTCCGTATTCCATTCTATGGCCAATCGAAACAAACAATCAAGTCCTTTCGAACTCATGATGAACGCCAAACGCGAAGAAATACAATCAAAAAGATACATTCCTGGAAAAGCATCGGATTTCTATTTCTTGTGTCATAATGGAAAAATCGATTGCGTTCGTCAAATTCTCGACGCTCCTGATTCTCCATCGATTGAAACATTAAATGCTCTTCAACCGAATGGTAATACAGCACTTCATGCAGCAGTATTCTATAATCATATAGAGATTGTCAAAATTTTACTTGAACGAAAATGCCCTCAAACGACAGTGAACCGTTTTGGAAACATTGCATATGATGAAGCGAAAACAACTGAAATGCAACAACTATTTAACAGACCAGATACGTCAGAACGCTTTCATGACACAAATACAACACATTCTCTAGAAATGTATGTTGTATCGGAGCACTACGATAACACCAATACAAACGTTAAATTCAATTATGTACGTGAATTCCAATCGGACGATGAAATTTCTGAACACTCGATTAATCAGCAAACATTAGCGATGTGGCTAAAATTTTACACTTGGTTTACTAAAAAATTTCGTAATTATCTTGAACGTGACGAATATCATATTGATGCGTTTGATTTAGACAAGCATGCTGATTTTCAAGCATTTCTTCAGCATAATGTATCCAATTCGAATAATTATAAATTCACAATGAACTTGATAAGTGAGGCACAAAATTCTAATTCGCTCGAACCTCTTATCAAATTGTACACAAGCGAAGAAGCTAAGATGTATACATCATTGAATAAACACTTAGCAAGTTCATCAACCGATTCTCACATGGGCCCGCACTTGTGCGACTGATTTGTCATGGAATTTTTCATGCGCCGTGATGAGTTAAAACAACGTGCATATACTGGTATTGCTTATCGTGGTATCACTCTATCGATCAATGAATTAGACATTTACAAACGTGCAGTTCGAAACGAGTCAAAAGGTGTACTTAATTTCAAATCTTTCTCATCCGCATCCAGAGATCCGATGATTGCTCTGCGATTCGCAACTAAATATCCACCAAAAGAAAATGAAAAAATTGTACTATTTATTTTCGAGATTTACGCAGCGACACCAACAGTATTTTCGATCGAAAATATTTCCTATTTTCCTCATGAACGTGAAGTACTCATTCTACCAGGAAGTTTATTCATTATCGATAGTGTCGAAGAAAATCTTAGCATGAATATTACAACGGTCCATCTGACACACTGGGAGGTACCAGTTCCATTTTTAACGAAAATCCATCAAACATTTCGGTGTGGTAAAAGAAGATTTTTGTCGTGATCAAATAAATTAAGACGGAGTTAATTTATCGCTATTGAATTCTATTAAGAATTATTTAAAAAAATAACATCAGAATTCATTTTATCAAGTTACAAAAATAATTTAGAAATATTTTTTGTGTATGTATCCGGTGCTCACTAAGCATAATACGAACAGTTGAATGGAAATCAGGCGGAAACAACGACACATTTCGAATTCGAAAAGAAGAAAAGTATAAAACAAAACCAATGGGACGATCAATATGTTATCGGCTGCGTCTTTCAGACAGGAATTATGGCACCATATGAAGCTGAATCACATATCTTTGAGTGGCTACATTAGTTAATATTACGAATACAAACAGGATTGATATATAGAATTATCTACAGACGAATATATCGAGATAAACCATAACAGTATCTGCAAAGATCGCAGAACATCTAATGATCCTCACTTCATTATTCGATTATTCATGGCAGCATCTTTCGACGTGTATGTGATGTTGGCTACACCAGTGTGTCTAAAAAGAAATGTTTCAAAAGGAAACGAAAGAAGTCTATGTATTGTATTGCATTGGCAGAAATTGATGAGTTGACAGCAACATTGAAATGGATAGTTTCTCAAGAACATTCTAATTTTGGAATTTATACGCTGATCGCAGTACAACCGCATGTAATAATACATCGAAATGTTATCTTCTTGAAAGGTTTACATTTCTCTATTCATTTACGATCTTAAAAGTCATTATGCTTAGCAAGTTTCGCGCACCATTATGCCTCTTCCACATATATTATCTGATTTGATTATTGTTTATCAGCTTGAATACTAAATAAAAATGTTTGATTATATAGAAATTGAGGGTTTTCATTAGAAAAGAACATCATCTCTATAATCATTTTACTGTATTTGTGGAATAGTGGTAAAATGAAGCACTTTATGTCTCGAGAGCATCGCATCAACTTGCAATGAAATCAATAATAAGACTATAATATTGTATATTTTTTGGTTTTGAAGTGGATAAAATATTTCATTCCGAAATTACTACTAGTTACAGGCAACCAATATCGTATCAACAGTATTGATAGTATTGTAAAGGATATTTATTGAATATTTATGAATCCTTATCGAATCGCGAGTCTCAATTTGTAGATTCAACATAATATATTTTCCTGCTAATCTCTATTCAGAAATAAAAACCCTTTGTGTCTGTACTCGATGTTCACTTCAGTAATAGTTCTGAGTCCTTGCGTGATAATGACCTTTTTGTTTTTAAATTACATGAAACATTAAATTTTCGAAGACTTTCTCGAAGTTAGCTATGGTCATGTTCATAAATGAGTTTCATATTTTCATTTCGCACTAGATATCTTGAATAGCATAATATCAACTGTTGAGATTCATGTCTTGTCAACTGTTTCTTTTTTGGCACATAATTAGAATTTTATTAGAAAGAAATCAGAGTGAAATTATAACTGAAGAAACGATAAAAATAGATTTTACAAAGTAATAGGTAAGAGTCAATTCGACCTTTGGTAATGAATATTCTTCGAAATACTACAGTGTTTGTGAATATATACATAAAACCCATTCTCACTAATTCTCTTCTGTTCGCTGCTTCTTTTGTTTTTCATTTTCTCTCTTGTCCTTCTTCTTTCGTTTGTCCTCTCTCATTTTCTGCTTCTCTCTCTCTCTCTTCCCTCTGCTGTTGAGTCTCTTTCTCTTTCTCTTCTTTCTTTTTTTGCTTCTCTTCCCGCTCCTTCTGCTTCTCTTTCTCTTTCTCTTCCTGCTTCTTTTGTTTCTCTTCCCGCTCCTTCTGCTTCTCTCTCTCTCTCTCTTCTCTCTGCCGTTGAGTCTCTTTCTCTTTCTTTTCCTTCTTTTTTTGCTTCTCTTCCCGCTCCTTTTGCTTCTCTTTCTCTTTCTCCTCTTTCTGCTTCTGCCTCTGAAGCTCCTCTGTTTCGATCAGTTTCGTTGTCTCGTCTTGCTCTTCGAAATCTTTTTGTCCATTAATTTGACCGAATAAATTATTATCTGTAGTATCTGACGGCAAAATTGGACTGCTATTGCTTTCACTATTTTTTGACGTAGAAACATAGAAACGAAGACGGTGTTGGATTGCGTGTAATTTCTGTTGGAAGAGTTGAACATCATCTTGTAAACCAGCTGGTGATTCAAATATGTCTGGTAAATTTTTCTGATGGCGATCTTGCTCATTCATTTCGTCGACTAGAAGACAGAAAATATTCCATAGAAAACCTTGTTTATATTTAAAAGATGACTATTTCTGTATTTGATTCTTTTTTTCATTTAATACTTCAGTGTTTCACAGCAAGACTATTAGTGGTAAGCATGATAATAGATACGGAACGAAGACATTTAAAATCTATGACAAGTTCAATGTTAGCGCTGATGTACTCTGTAAATTGTGTTCACTTTGATTTTGCAATTGTGAACAAGGACGGATGGGTGAGAACTTTATTCATCCATCGCGTCATTTGGTGACATCACTTCGGTGTCAAAATCATAGTTGGGCCAAGGAACTCTACTATATTTCGTCTAATAAATCTTTAGAAAAGAGGGAAATATTCATATTCACTATTTAACATATTTATGTCAATGTCTAAGTACAGCACAATCAAGCAAACAATCAATACTGTTGATATTAATTTCTGTCAAATCAATTAAAGGCGTTCATCTCCTTATTATGTGTATATTGACATTCGACTACATTTCAACTGTTTTTTTTCAGAGAGAGATTTTTTTCATGATTATGTTTATTTTCATGTGTCATACTTCATATATCACATGTCTACATAGTATAGTTTGAATAATCAATATCTCAAATGTTCATAGTGAAGAAAATGAATACGAATTAATGAGAGATGTCGTTACTTTTACCAAACCTGTATTGAAGGGGGTCTCGTTGGCTTCGCTGAAAAATATTTGAACTTAGAACAGTATAGATTAACTTACTGATATTTTGTTGAATTTGAAATCCATCTAATTCACCATTCGTCTTTGAATTTGTTAAATCTGCATTCATTAACACTTTACCATATATGGCTAAAACAAATAAAACGCAGCTCGTATATCTATCTGGAATATTCATCAGGACTCAGAGAAATTTAATCTCGAAACGTGTAGTTCATCGATGTAACGTCATTTATATGTGTGTTTTTAATACAGCTTCAGATATTTTTAAAACTAGTGTCGATTCAATTGCATACATAAGATACTCAACGAGAGCGATATAACATTTTTGAAACATATATGGTCATAGGAACATCGTTTTCGTGGGCAGAGGCTGAAAGCAACTCGCAATTTTCTCACTATAGTTTTAGTTTCTAATCCTACTGTATCGTATACTACTTACTAATGAAGCAGAGAACCAACACAAAGATCATGTTAAACTGCATCATTTTGAAATATCGTATTAATTCAAATATTTTAGAATAATCTATACTGTACTCTTTCTGCACATATATAAATGTTGCTCGCTTTCTCTGTCGCACGTCTTTCTTTTTCTCCTGAATAATATTGATCTGGTTAATCACCTAACAAATGTCATTTTATATCTTATTTTCATACCAAAGTGCAAAACAACAGACAATAGAACGCCCGTCAAAATAAATGACGGATTCTGATACTTATACAACAGATGAGTATTTTAAAGCTTATCAGTAAGAGATTATTCTAATGTTATATGCTTAGCTTCTGATCAGTATCTAAAAAATTCAAAAAGAAAATATTGATCATTATCAAACTTTTAGAGTTGCTCGAATCGTGTCAAAATACAAGATTGAAATTCATAGATTCTAGTTAGAAAGACGTAGACCATTAGAATGATTGAGCGCTTCAGTCGTGGTATTCCCATTATTTACGAAATATCTGAAAATTAATTTATTTTTGTGCTTCATGAAATGGCGACCATTGTGNCAGTAGGATTAGAAACTAAAACTATAGTGAGAAAATTGCGAGTTGCTTTCAGCCTCTGCCCACGAAAACGATGTTCCTATGACCATATATGTTTCAAAAATGTTATATCGCTCTCGTTGAGTATCTTATGTATGCAATTGAATCGACACTAGTTTTAAAAATATCTGAAGCTGTATTAAAAACACACATATAAATGACGTTACATCGATGAACTACACGTTTCGAGATTAAATTTCTCTGAGTCCTGATGAATATTCCAGATAGATATACGAGCTGCGTTTTATTTGTTTTAGCCATATATGGTAAAGTGTTAATGAATGCAGATTTAACAAATTCAAAGACGAATGGTGAATTAGATGGATTTCAAATTCAACAAAATATCAGTAAGTTAATCTATACTGTTCTAAGTTCAAATATTTTTCAGCGAAGCCAACGAGACCCCCTTCAATACAGGTTTGGTAAAAGTAACGACATCTCTCATTAATTCGTATTCATTTTCTTCACTATGAACATTTGAGATATTGATTATTCAAACTATACTATGTAGACATGTGATATATGAAGTATGACACATGAAAATAAACATAATCATGAAAAAAATCTCTCTCTGAAAAAAAACAGTTGAAATGTAGTCGAATGTCAATATACACATAATAAGGAGATGAACGCCTTTAATTGATTTGACAGAAATTAATATCAACAGTATTGATTGTTTGCTTGATTGTGCTGTACTTAGACATTGACATAAATATGTTAAATAGTGAATATGAATATTTCCCTCTTTTCTAAAGATTTATTAGACGAAATATAGTAGAGTTCCTTGGCCCAACTATGATTTTGACACCGAAGTGATGTCACCAAATGACGCGATGGATGAATAAAGTTCTCACCCATCCGTCCTTGTTCACAATTGCAAAATCAAAGTGAACACAATTTACAGAGTACATCAGCGCTAACATTGAACTTGTCATAGATTTTAAATGTCTTCGTTCCGTATCTATTATCATGCTTACCACTAATAGTCTTGCTGCATATTGTAACTCTTGGTATAGTCAAACGTCTTAAAGTAGCCGGGCAAGCAACACAACAGATATAGTATAGACCAGCGATATAATTCAAACTGAAATGGTACGCATAAGGCTAAGACACTTAGAAAGTATGTTTTGGACTTGAATTTGCGCCTAGAAAAAAAAGTAATCGTAAACTATGATGAATATTCGATTTATTTATCTTTCTGCGTATTTGCTTCTGAAAGATGTATTCTTGATTTTAGAGTTGTGTGATATTTCGAATGCGTTTTTATTTTCAGATGTATTTGATTTAAAGTGTAGAGTAAAGTATGTTCGAGTAAAATAATATTTAGATCTAATAGATTTTGAAATTGCCAGCCTACGCTATGACGATGGGAAACAGAAGGTCTTGTACATATTCCATTACAAACTAGATTAAACTATTTAGAGAGTAGATCATTGATATGAGCTTTCACTATTCTTACTTTCACATGCATATAAGCAGGAGAAAAAAAAGTAAAGAAGAAGCTTTGAATTCATTTTCAGCATTTTAATAGCTCTGCGTAAAGATTTTCTCCGATTTGAACATAGCTTTGAAACCTATTAGAACTTATCATTGGATTTGCTTGTAATTTGAATAGGCTGCAAAATATAAGTTGTGATTTCTCTTGATCTATCTATTATTTCTCATTTTATCCTTCGTTGATGAGTAATTGAAATCTAATTTTTTTTGTTTAGTCTGAATCTCACTCACTTCTCTTGATTAGTGTGATTCGTTCAATTCAATTTTTCAACTTTTTCACTTATGATGTAATAATAAATCAAAGAAAGCATGATACCTAGGAATACGCGTTAGGTTACCTTTCGATACGTAAGTGTGTGCTCCGTTTATTTATCAAATAAAAATACTGTAGTGCGATCAAAATTCAATTGAATTAATGAGACTAACGATAATCGAAATCATTCAGATTTATTATCAGCAGAAATTTTAATCAAGGACGAACAGAATCAGATGATGGTAAACCCTCGTTACTCTCTTTATTTAAACCTTGGACTGGCAGTAACGGAGTTGAATCGATATGTGTTCGCTTTGGACCTAGAAACCAATGACGAGCAGAGACAATCCAATAGACTGCAGCAACCAAAGAAGTACCACCAATGATGACTACAGCATAGTTCATATTGTTTGATGTCACCGGATATTGAAATGGAAAAAACATAATGAATGCTGTTATAAAAAGCCAAGCTGATGAAATAACAGCGATCGGCTGACCAAAGCGACCTAGATTGAATTCACCAAGCACAAAACAGTTACGTGCCACTGTGCAACGTAATAGAACAGGTATACCATATGATATTTGAAGGCCAAGGGTATTACTAGCGAGAAAAGCATTGAAAGCAGTAGGCTCTGCTAATTGCAATAAAAGAAATGAAGATTCAAGAATGAAAATAAATATCAAAGTAGCGATTGGACTTTTTGTTGGCTGAAAAATCCAACGAAGAATCGCAGAGAATGGAAGAACTCCATCGCGAGCCATGGCGAAACTGTAATAAGCAACATGCTTGATATAAATAAAAACAAAAATCGACGCAAAACTTTACCTTATACGACTAGTGCCAGTCAATGATGACATGCCAGCAAAGTACATATTGACGAGGAGAAGAATTGTTAATAGAAGTGGTCCCGGAGAAGGGACAGCCAGCTGGCAGGTGGCGATTGCTAAATTAAGTTCACTACCACTATATTGATTGCTCTCAACAAAAGAGCGTACATTCGGAATTGAAAAGAGAAGAGCAAGCAAGAAAGTAGCACCAGCTACAGCACTACATATACAAGTGCCCACAATTCCTTTGGGAGCTGTAAGAAAAAAATGAGACTTCAAAGTGTTCTTCTTTTTGAACGAAATCCGATTGCAAGTTTTTCGAGTCAATCGTTTTCTTAGATATTCACTCACTTGCACGACTAGCATCACGAGTTTCTTCTGCCAAATGAGCACCACCTACAAAAAACAACTAAGATGACAACGAATGATCACTAATAGCATGATTACTGTCATAACCAGAAAATGCAAACAGTGCCGGAATGACACCAATGAAGCACACATAAATGAAAGGAAAGCCAGTACCATTGTATGTGGACGTGAAAACATCTTCGGCAGTAGCTTGTTGACGAGCCATGGTGAAAAGAACGGTAGCAATGATAATTACGCCACCTATTTGAATGCCAGTAGCCAAAGTGTGAATCCAGCCTTGTTGGTCGATCCTCAGAGCATTTGTCGTAACCCAAATAAAAGTCATGCCGATAGATATGCCTGTTTGAACACCAGTGCTCAACGAACTATTGCCAGAAATAATCATAGCTGTATTCAGCATTGTAGCAAAGCCAGATGACATTGCAACATCGCCTTTCAAAAATAAAATATTTCAAAGATGTTGAAGACTGTTTTCTTTCCTACCCATAACATTTCCGATGAAGTTGAACCAACCACATATGAAGCAAGCCAATGGAGCATAGCGAGCAGTCATTAGTTCGCCAGCCCTATATTTAAAAGTGCGTTTAATCATCAAAACATTCGATAAACATTTTCAGATGAGAACATTCACGGTAATTAGACATTACTGAACTTCATAATACGTGCACGTTCCTGCGCTTATTAAAGTATGAATGCAACAAAAGGTTTTACCGAAGTTCAGTATTTTATCTGGGCTTCATTTTTCATATGGGCGGTTGAAATTTTAGAAGGGGCTGCTAGCTAGAAAATTTCTTATCGTGTAGTCCTTTTATGAAATCAACTGCACAGATTCACACAACTGCAACCACTGCATTCTGGCACGTGTTTCATGGTAGGGCGCGTAAAATAGGGGTGGTCCCTTTTCGTCCTCATTTTTTTTATGGACATCGGTCGGAGAAGTCCATTCCGAACTTCAGTTTCCGGATGTTCGGAATGAAAACACCGGAAGGTCGGAATGAAAAAGACCGGGTGTTCGGAATGAAAGTCGTCTAGATGTTCGGAACATAAAATGACAGATGTTCGAGACAAAAAATGACCGATGTTCGGAACGAAAAAATACAGGATGTTCGGAAGAGAAAATAATTTTTTTATAACATAGTTTATTTTCTTTTATTTCCTAGTATAGTCTTTCACAAAAAAAAACATAAGACAACAAAAGTTTATACAAGTGAGAGAATAAATAACTTTTGTAAGAAAAAATTTTTATGTCTATTGTTTTTTTGCAGCGTCTTGTTTTTTTCTTTTTTGGAATTTGTTTAATATTGGCATCATCTGTTTCGCCTACATTTTCTTTCACTTAATGAACTGCTGGCTGAAAATCTATGAGAATTATTAGTAAATTTTTTGTTACCAGCACCTACCCTCTATAAAACAGAGAAGTTTATAGTTTTACTACTCATTCCCACTATAAAACATACACCAAAATTCATTTCCAACATTCAGTATTTTTTCGTTCCGAACATCGGTCATTTTTTATTCCGAACATCTGTCACTTTATGTTCCGAACATCCTGTATTTTTTCGTTCCGAACATCTGGACGGTTTTCATTCCGAACATCCGGAAAATCGATTTTATTTTTTATATCCGATTTCGAACATCCGGTCAAATAACCTGATGTCCGGAAGAGTGAGGACGAAAAGGGACGCACCCAAATAATCCATAGAATATATTATGTATAGACAAATTTGTAACAAATGAATATATCAAATTAATTACTATTGTTTATACTAACGTCATATTTTCTTCTCACTGAATTTTCTTATTATTAAAATACAAAAACTATCCATGGAAAAAGTGTCCTCATTTCTAAACGTGACATACCTGCTCGTTCAAACTCTTGTTTTTCGTAACATATGCGAGCGATTACATCGTAGGTAAGCGATAGAGCTGGATCATCTTCGCCAAGATATTGTTTTTGTAATTCTAAAGCACGTTGTAGATGAACTAATGCTTCATCATGTTGTCCTAAACTTTCATGGATTGTAGCAATATTCATTGAATAAGTCGCAATTGAATTTAAATTCGGATCCGACGCATTTAGTTGACAGTCGAGAGCCTTCTGCTGATATTCGAGTGCTTTTTTATGATTTTTTTTTGAAAGATAAACACTACCTATATTATTATATGTTGGGGAAAGACTTGGATAATCAGCTGGTACAAGTGTCAAATAAGTTGCAAGCGCATTTTCTAGGAACTCCAGTGCTTTATTTTTATTGCCAGCTGATAAATAGGCGCTACCCATTGCATGTTGCATTTCCGCAAGACGTCCTGGATGCTGATGAATTATGTTATCTTCAGCAAAAACATCAGCGAATACATCGATCATCTTGTATTGGCCCATTTCATCCATGAGCTTTACTAAACTAATCAATATATGAGAACTGTGTATTTGTTTTCGTACCTTCGCCGTATAATGAGCAAGATTATCAACAGTATTGTCGGTCAAAGTCAATTGAACTTCCCATTGATCAGTGGACGTTTTCTTAACGTTTTCAATAAGAAAAACGGTTCCCATCGAAAACAAAACTTCTTGTTCAAGATTTTGATAAAAACCTAAATTGCCAACAACAATAAAAGAACATTTACTCTTGTGTGAATCAATATTCATCGAGAATATAACCGATGTTTCATCCGATAAGTATTTCGCTGGTTCCGCAAAATCGCGAGCAATATTTCGATTCAAACTTGTAGAAAGAAAATTGTTAAATGAAAGAAGACCACCGACACCATTCCTTAATTTGTTGAATTCACATGTTGGGATACCTTGACCACGAAAAACTTTTTTGACATGTTGCCGTTGCAATTGTTGACTTGCTGTGATTGTTAACTGTTGATCTAGATGACGAATAAAATAACGTAATTTATAGAGTATGGCTGGTTCCGGTGTCCATAAAGCTTTGTTCAATATCTTGTATAGAAAACAGTCGCGCGTATACCAATAAAAGGCATGCTCGGGAAAAAATTCCCGTTCGAATTCCTCAATTATCTTAAGCTCGCAGTCATTATTTTTATAATATTCACGACAGAAATCTAGCATTTGTTTTCGGGCAACTTCTTCTGCATCATTTTTATTATCTTTTAAAATATCCTTGAGCAATTGATTATACATAAATGATGGATCTTGCCGGTTTTCAGCGTCAATTTCTGATTTTGAAACAAAAGAAATTGCTACGAAATCATTTTCATATTTTTTTCTATCATTTTTCAATTGTTCACATATTGATGTCACATTCTCAAATACATTAGGTGAGACCTTATCGTACTGATTCGTCCACGATACAATATTCGATGTATTCGAAGAGTAAACATAAATACGGTGCACGTGTTGCATTGGATGAATCAATTGAATAATACCTTCACCAAGAGTGTCGGATACAATAAAAAATACAAGTTCATCATTCGAATTCATTCTCAATAGGAAATCAACACATGTATTTGGATTAGAAAATGTTTTAACCGAATTAGTGATTGCTTGCAGATCGTGGCGAGCTTTAGCACAATCTTTCGATGTAGTAACATTCTTATCGAGCCAGATAACTGAATCTCGTTGAAAAGTGCGTCGTGCAGGAGTTGACATATATGCAGCTGATTTTCAGCGAATACTAAATCGAAATGAATATTTATGTAAAACAAATCTCTTTATATAAATGAAAAATATTCATCATGACATGTTTCTCCTTTGAGTTTTCTTGCAGTCGAGGAAGTATGATAAAGAGCAGTTATTGTTTTCATTTTCTGTTCTACACATGGCTAAATCAATAATATTGTGAGTCATTTACATTCATCATAATACTAAACGTTGCTGTGGTGAAAAAATTAAGTGAAGAATAAAGACACTTTTCTTTTCTTTTTCTTTTTCTTTTTCACTGAATTCCTTTTCACAAATAGCTACTATTTGTTTTTGTCTTCATCATTCAGTTCTGCAATGAATTCGAATAAATAACAAGTTGCTTTTTCTGCGTGCAAGTGTGCCACTGTTGACGCCATCTGGACTTGTTTAGGACGTAGATAAAATTTATGTTAATATATAGTTCAACGTAGAGTTGTAGATGATAAAAATAAATCTAGTGTGCAAGCGTTCTCTAGTGCAATAGAGAGTTATCTACTCGTTGATTTATTGACACAAAATACATGAAGTTTTTCATAATCCTTCGAATTGAAAATTGAATCATTCAAGAAACTTCAACGAGAATTTATCATAATATATGATAATGAATTCATTTGAATATCAATTTGTGCTGTGGTAACATATAAGCAGATACTTTTAGAATTGTGATTTATGAAAATTGTAGATGTGTTTTCTACCGTTTACTGTAGGGATGCAACGGTGACGATTAATCGTTCACCGTTCCACCGCTTGAGACCGGTGAAACGGTGGGAGCGGTGAAACGGTGGACCGGGCCCCGGTGGGAGCGGTGAAGGTCGGAAAGACTACAAAACACCTACGGTGAAGGTCGGAAAGACTGCAAAACACCTACGGTGAAGGTCGGTGCAGTGGTGCTACCAGATCACACTGATAGAGATATCTCTGAATCTTAGAAAAAACCGGCCTTCACCGTAGGTGTTTTGTAGTCTTTCCGGCTTTCACCGGTAAACCCGGCCCCGGCCCCGGTCCACCGCTTCACCGGTCCAACGGTGACGGTGGAACGGTTTTTGATCGTCACCGTTACATCCCTAGTTTACTAAAACATTGCATAACTTCAGCGAGAATATATCTTATTGGTTCAATGAAATGATATGAGAAAATTGTTCATTGATCAACTCACATGAATCTTCCAGTCTTTCAATTCAAACAAACTTTTATCACAGCCGATTGCATTATATCAAATATTGCCAGATTCCAATCAAAATATGATTGAAATTCAACAATAGCATCGTTCTTTCCGAATGATTACACATGTTTGCTGTTTGATGTTAATTTTTATTCATTGGAATCAATATATATGTGGATTTGTTGTTTAGTATATTGTAAGTGAAAGAAAATAAGAAACTATGATAGTAATAAAAAAAAAAGAGATTAAGCAAAATCGATAGGCAATGTATCGTGAAATGATGAAATAGATTTATTAAGCTCCAACCATTTGGACAGAAATCAACGCTCAAAGAATCTGGGAACATAAGAAATGCGAGTAAAAACAAAAGCAGAACCTTCAAATCCACATATCTACAATAGCTAAAAATGTAATTATCATCAACTACAGAATAATATAGATAGTTGTATTTTTCAACTATAGTGCCACAAATCGAGACTTTGAAAACTGCATATAAAATGCTTTTTTGCTTCAACAATGACTATCGATCGAGATTTATCTTCGGTACAGACCACTTTTCTTGAAGATTATCTATATAAATACTGTATAATGACAAGACAGTATCATTCGTATTCAACATGTCACTTGCTACAATACGTGAGTGGTGTCACATATGCAAAATTTTGGAGATGCCACCACAGCTCCAACAGGAGATGCTGCGTCTCCCGCTGGAGACGTGACACCCACAGTCGGGAGATCCGGTCATTCACCACTGGAGATGTAAGATCTCCTTTAGAGATGCGCATCCCCCACACCCGCACCCACATCTCTCGCGCGAGATGCGGCATCTCCCGCGGGAGATGTGTTGGCATCTCCAAAATTTTGGATATGTGACACTGCTGACCTTTAAATATGATTTATACATGATTGGAAACACAAGTATACGATGCAATCTTTCCTCGCTTTTGTTTTTTATTATAAATAATTTATATTGAAAACCATTTTTTTAAAATAACTAAAGAAATTTTATGATACACAACAAGTACTTTGAATTGGATTTGTATAAAGTTTAAAACCATGTTTTTCATTGGCTGTTTTTTGAAGACGTTGACTATTGCTTATTGTCATATTACAATATTTAATGTCAAGTTCTTTTAATGTATTATTTTGTTCAAGCATGGCAATTAATGAATCAACACTTACATCTGTTATTAAACTATTTGCTGAAAATGATAATACTTCAAGTGAACGATTATGTAATGCTAAAACATTCGATAATAAATGTACACCACGATTGCTTATATTATTACGATTTAACAATAGATGCGTTAATGATTGATTTGTTTTAAGCATATCCGATAGATATTTTATAGCTTGATCAGATATATTATTTGACCCGAGATGAAGTCTTTTAAGAATGGACTTATTTGTTGAAAGAACATCTATTAAAATTTGAATACCACTATCAGATATGTGATTGTCGGATAAGTCTAATTCGACCAATGTTGAATTATTATATAATCCATCACATAAGATTGAAATACTTTGACTCGAAAGTTTATTTCCTGTTAAATAAAGTCCTTTACATTTTTTATCAATTATTGCTCGTTGAACAATAATTGGCATATCTTGATCAATCAACTCACGTACAGATAAATCAATACATGAGTCGGATTTACATAGAGTTAATAAATCTTCTAAATGAGAATTATGATATGTTGATGATGATGATGACGATCCCTAGAAAGAAATAATGAGCAAAAACAATGAATATAATAATCTTGTTATATATAGGAAAATATCAATAATTATTTCTGAAAGAACTCTGATGGCGAAAACGAAGGTTTATTTCAAGTATCAGCATATACTACGCATTTCTGATCTACAATATTATCTAGAGTGAAGTAGGTACTGAGATTGTTTGTTGTAAAATTTTCTATTAAAATTTATTGCATGTTAAGCCTTGGTTCATCAGTCGAATGATTCTGCTGAACAAAAATATTTTTTCCATTTAACATTTTAGATTTTTCTATCAGAGATATCTGGAATTCCAGTCGGATGAAGGGATGGACCTGTCGATCTTCAAATTATTTTTCGGTATCCCGTAACAATTTAGTGCTTATTGATCTTCTGGAAAAAACGACCTAACTAATTAACCCGTCAGTAATATTATTGGTCTTGAAATATATGCCAAAGGGTTCGACCTCGAAGCAATTCAAAACTATACTGAAAAGTTATAGAATACTTTGAAACATACTATAGAATAAATATTCAACCATTCATATAATCTTACTGTTAATTTCAATACAACTGAACAGAATGATGCCTCCCGAATCAATATACTAATCGAAGGTTTTCGTTGATTAAATGATAAATTAATTGATGAAGTACGATCAGCATTATTTGATGATGAAACTGAATATGGATCCATTTCTTTGACTTGGATAACATGAAGACCGCTACCTGAATCCAGGGATGAAATAACTTTATAACATTGAGCTGATAATAAAAGAATTTCATCGGTTGCTTTATGCAATGAATGATTACGAATATCTTTGGCTGATTGACATTCGATTTTAAATCGAGTTCTTGGACTTTTTTCATCGATAAATTGTTTTTTTTCAAATTTTTCAATTGATCGAGTACACATTGAAAATCCCCACCAAGTAAATGTTTTTCCTTGTGGATATTCGTTACTCAAATCAATTTGTACGCCACGATAAACATAACAATGAATCGATGGAAGTTTTGATAATGACTTCATAAGTAATTTTAAATAAAGGTACCATGGTTTTAATCTTTCTCGATTTTCGTCCCGTAACGTTCGATTAAGAATCAGATTAAATGAATTTTCTTGTGGTTTCCAATCTATTGAATATAACATAATCGAAGCTGATTCATTGAGTGTTAAACCGTCTTTCGGTTCTTGACAATTTTCTTTGACAAAACATAACATTTGTTTAACATCAGGTACACTAGCTAATAATGGTTCGATTGCTTCGTCTAACGTTACTAATGGCATTTGTTCATAAGTGTGAATAGGTGAAAATGATACTAATGGTTCTTCAGCTAAATCAGAAAATCCTACCAGATTTTTCAGTTCAACTTCATTCATATGTGTTGTGACCATGATCTATATAAACAATAAATATCTGTTAACAACAGCTCACATTAAAAATAAAATATTCTTTGTTCTTATCGAAAGAATATATTTTATTTTACATTTAAAGTATCTTTATAGTCTTATCGCAACACGTTTTTTTTAGTTGCAGCCAAATTCCTATTCTACTCGACAGTGAAGTCTATGTGAGGTAAAACAAAACATACTCGTGGTAGCGATAATGAATTAGTACTAATTAGTAACAAGTATATATTCTTGTTGGAAGCACTATCGATCTGCACCGTCTAGTTTAAGATAGAGGAAAAAATGCAGACAAGAACCGGTTTTTAGATTTAGTACATTCAAATCTTTTGATGCTTTTTTTTTCATTCAAAGGACAAACAATGAAATGATAAACAGCTAAACTAGTATTTAATTACTATAAAAGAAAAAGACATCTTAGCTTAACCAAACATAAAATGCCGAATAAACGGAGAAAACGTTCTGAGTCATCTATCACTCTTACAATCTCGGTATTTGAAAGGAACTAACATGTTTGAGATTTTTCTGTAGTCAGAAAAGAAATATATATATTCAGAAACCTACGTAAACACGCATATACCTCTCCGATCACTGTTAAACATTTGGGCATTGATTCATCCTGAAATCGCCCATGCTCGTATTTTAGAATTTGCATTCTTTTAATTGGGCTATTCGTGGTTGTAAATTATTTTCAGTATGTTACTATCTGCAATCATATTCGAAAAATGATTTCGATGTATACAATATGTTTGAAGTATCACTACTACGAAATTCAACTCTAAATTTGAATTTAGTTTCATTTAGTGTCCATCGAGGGTGTTTCGTCGTGACATTTATTTAGAAGCTAACTTAACATAGATATGAAAATAAGCATTCGGAAGCAAGCATTGCTGATAATCTGTATCTTGATCTGTGAATTTTTATTATTAATCGAATTTTCTTTTAGTGAACAAAAGGCTGTTCTCGATAAAAAATAGTTCATAAAATTAATAGAAAACGTTCTATTGATGTTTTTCATGTTTAATAAAACCATTTTTTTTCTGATGGTCTTTTGCTGATTGAATACCTTTCGTATTTCGTTTCCAAATGTATTCTTGTAGAAAATAATTAAGAAAAAGAAATAATAATGATGTTGAATGTGTAAGAAAAATTAAAACGAATAAAACAGGAAAATCATAACATGATTGGTCTCCTTGAAATAGCATAGCATGAAATCGAAATACACATCCGATAGCAGCAGCTACAAATTGACTTATCTAAACGTCAATAAACAATATTGCCGACTATCAATAAATAAATCTTTTATTTTACCTGTATCACAGTAACAAAAAGTTTAATTCGTACTAATTGTTTTCTTTGAATATTCATAACAGCTAGAGCATAATACAAATACATAACAATATGGACACAAGCATTAACAATAACTGGCAATGCGACTTCACCACCTGGCGCATAACGTCTATAATAGTAATAATCAGACGAAGATGAAGAAGGAAAAAGGAAATATTCTGTTTGTTTTTTTTTCTCTTAAATTTGAAATAATACTTACGTAGCAAGATACCATAAAGGAAACATTGTTGCATGATGATAAACATGAAGAATACTTATATGTGAATTTTTTTTTGTTAAAATAAAAAACCATGTATCCCAAAATTCAAAACCTTTCGAAATATAATACCACCAGACAGCTTTAGCTAAATAAATATCTTCTTTATCATGCATAACGCCTTGACAATAGATACGATAAGATTTTAAAGTTACTGTTCGCACTGCTAGTAGAATAACGTATGCATTAACTAAAACAGCTAATAGATTATATATAACAATAGGTAAACGAAGATTAAATGGTTTGGCCCGATTTGACATCCAAAGTTTGCCATAATGAACAGAAATAATATAACCCATTGTAATAATAATTACTGGCCATGCCGACCCACAGAGGAACCACGAGTCGGTGACTGGATCAGATCCTTTCGGTGATAGTTTTTTGAGCATGCTACTAAATATGCACTGATGAAAGTGTATGCATGTAAGAGCATGACAAGGAGAAAGATATGCTTCATTAAACACACGCTTTACAAAATCGATGTGGAAAGAGAATATAAAAAGAAAAAAATGTATCCTCTATGGCTTTTATGAGTAAGGACAAGGAGCACAAGCTTCATCGATGAAAACTAATATCATTTTGTTTGGGAATTTTCTTTACGAGTATAATGGGTGCGAAGTTATATAATTAATTATTTTCATCTCATACAGATTGATTGGAATTCATGCAAAAGTGACTTGGACAAAAAAAGTTTTTTTTTCTAATCGAATCCCTAAAATGACGTTTAAGTATAACTGGTTTATTTCGGTGTCTATCACCACTTCAATGCTTTTTTTCATAAAGAAAAAACGAGATGACGGCATAATATTCGAAAAAGTGAAGATATTCTTGTTTAAAATAACCCATTATATTTTATATTTGCAATTTTCAATAGTTATCTCATTTTAGAATTTTAACATTTTCTTAAATTGAAACTTGATCAATGTAGTCATCAAGAATGACATCGTCTAATAATAATAATTGGCGCATCAAGCTTTTTTTCTAAATTATTCTGAATCAAAACTCTTGATTAAAAAGCATTAACTAACCCTCTATGAAATATCGACTTGAATACAGTTACTTCGAATTCTTTCATATGCGATTTCATTTATCTTTTGCAACTTTCAATATTCTGGATTTAAGAAACGTCGTCTCTAAGTTCATTCATCTAGCATTTTCATCGCAATTTTAATTTTAAGATGATAAGCATCCAAACAGAATCACGTATTAGTTCTGAGATATTTTTAAAAATCCCTTTCGTAAGCAAAAAACTGATATATCAAGTTGATTCTAAGTTTTCACAATATATATTTCTGCTTATATTAAACATGAATGTTCAAAAACAAAAGATTTTGTTTTACGCATCTAATTAATGACATATTTTATGTGAAATGGTAGTACACAAACAAACTGTTAGACAGGTTTTACTCATATCGAACATGAAAATTACTGATTTTCTGAGACCAGAATAATGATATAGCCGATCTTCTTCGATCCGTATTCAGAAATTAAAAAGATTCATATATTTTCCAAAAATGATCTTACTTAATGCATCTATGTATATGCAATTTTATACGCAATCCTTGCTCATATTTTTCGATCATTTACTAATAGTAATGACACGGTAGGACTGCTAATATTGTCATATTAACTCTGTAATAGTATTAATACTTTATAGTTTGATTAACATTCATCGAAGATAAGCAGTTTCATGATTGAATGTATTCTTCTAAGGAGTCAAATCAATTTATATCATGTATTATTTTGAGTTACTAATGCAAGCTTCATCGAAAAGTGTAGAGCGTCTTTACAGCTTTTTCACCAATACATGAATGCCACCGTTCAATTAAGACCACTACCATTAAACTTATATTGTCTTTTTTCTTGCGATGGCTTCGTTCGAACACAATGATATCATTCTGTAAAGCTTCCATGAAGATACGATACTCATTATCAATGTTGATTGAACAATATTTTTAACTGATGTAAACTATGGCTTAAAATTCCTACGAGAATCTGGCGTCAATGATCGCATCGGGAATATCTAGTATGCAGATTCATTTCTTTTTACAACTTAAGATCCAAAGAGCAAAATAACTTTAGGAATGTGACAACTTCACCACACAACTAAAGTTTGTGTTCATCTTGAGACAACAACTGATATTTTATATATCAGCAACGTTTTGTTAAATTGTTTCGCAATAACAAATGGTCAATAATGATATGAATACATGTGTCATTACTATTCATTCTCAAACTTTCAAAGCAAACACACTTATGTGTTGGTATCTATTGTTATCATAGAAGAATATATAAAGGTTTCGTAAATACGTATATACTTATATACTTATAACGTACTGTCAAATGCCAAGCGAATTCATTTATTATTGTGGGAACTAATAATCGAGTACCACTACAAGCTCCGTCGAATTTCAAAATTATTGAATCATTGTTCTATGAAGAATTCAATGAGCTCCCACCAATTATTTCTGAATGTGCAATAGAATGAATGCCACAAAATGTGAATCCACGACGACCTATACTGGATAGTTATGGAATGTGCGGTAAATGGTGCTATGACAGCCACAATACAATGAGAAAGTACGTTATCCTACGAAAATAAGCGCCATGAACTTTTTGTTTGTTTCATAGATTTCGTTGTCTGAAATGGATTAAAAGTGGTATTACAGGCGATGCTGCTATGTGGTATTCAGCTTACACTAGTGATTAATTTCGAGCCTGCTTTGAATCAGCTCTAGATGAATGTGGACAAGAGCAGCCTCGGGAAAGGATTCAAATAAGAATATTTTCCCAACAATATGCGACATTTTATGAATATATCATAGGCGGATTCGAAATTTTGTAAAATGGTTACATGGTTAGATCGCTGATAGTTATCATGGTTTTTCTTTTATTTCTTCTGCCTATCGAGGGAAAAGAAGTGATCAACCTCATCTTATACATTTATGTTAAGCATGCGCAACAAGATGGTATCACTATCGTTAACTGAAAGCGAATGAAACAAGAAGGATTACAAAGAAGTTTAGAGACATTTATAAAAGGAATGAACTATAAAATTTAATCTATTGAATTTTTTATCAAACTAAACTTATACTACGCAATATAAATAAGATTCTCCTTTTCTGTAACGAGAAATTATGATGGTAATTTAAAGTGGTGCATTTAAATAATAATACTTTCTCTACATTCTAAGTCGAATATTATGGCAAATTTTGCTAGATTGATGATCAGTCATTCTATTTAATTCTTTCAAGTGCACGCTATGTTTTCAGCGAAGTATCTGAAGAAACAAAAGTGAAATTGACATAAACTGAAATCTTACAAAAATTCTTCTACGATGTTTACTAGTAGGAATCCATCCTTTTTTTTTCTTATCAAAATGATATCTGAAATGTAATATGATATTTTGAACAGTTTGTAACTCTTGGATGAAAGCAGTGATGTGGTGATCTACAGAGTGTGACTTTTATGTCATCGCAATCAAAACTTCTATAAGCTGCTTAGGAGAGATAACGGGTGCGGCAGGATAAATGGCGGTGTCAGTATTTTGCCGATATCTCCCTTACTCTTAGTCCGATTTGGCTCCCTTTTTTCCAAAAGAATTGCCTTTCAAAGTTCTACAAAATGATACTATTTTTATTAACGCAAATAATTTCCATTATTTTGATAAAGACGATACAATCGATTGGTCCAACACGCACAGCTTTCAGAAACAACAGATTCAGAAACTTTTTAACCGATGATTTTAATTCTTGAATCAGTGTTTTTTAGTAGACTTTGTTCCAATTGATGTTGTTGACCAGCTGATCCCAAATTGAATAGTCCAGTGGGTTTAAATCTGAACTATTTGGTGGCCATATGTCTTTCTCAATAAATGTTGGAAAATTGTCTCGGCACCATTTTTGTGATAAATGATATACCGATGCGAGTGAGGCTTGGCGCCATCCTGTTGAAAGACCCAGTCGCTACCGAAAAATTGATTCCCATATTTTAAAGCAACAGGAAGCTTTTTTTCGATATAAACAGTGTGATCGACTGTTCCTTCGTCCAAGATTACCAAATGTGTGAGCCCTTGGAACAGGCACCGAGCCAAACCATTACTTTCTGTGGGAATTTTCGTCTCTGCTGAATCCCACCATTTTTATAGGCATCAGCACGATCTACTGCTCACACTCGATCATTTTGGGTATTATAAACACCATCAATGTCGAACATCTTTTCATCCGAAAAGAGGATTTTCAAAGTGTCTTCTTTTCGGAAATTTGTTCGAATCCAATTTGCAAATTGTTTCCATTTGAGCTTTTGATCATCGGAAAGCAATGGTTCGATTACTTTTTTTTATAGGGATATAACCCTAAATCGTTTTTCATTATTCGCCGAACACTTCTCTCGGATATGTCAAGCTCCATCGATATTTTTCGAGCTAATACCTTTTTTCCGGCGTAACCGCGGCTCTTTACCTTTTGAATGTTCTCCTTTGTTCGAGCCAAACGAGGACTGCCTGGTGGTTTTGGTAATGTGATAGTGCCTGACCGCCGGATCATTTGATGCCACCTTTAGATTGTTCTTAAACGGAGCCCACCGTTTATATCATGATAAATTTGTTTCGGAGTATTACCTTTTTGGTACTTTGAAAGTACCACCTTTTGAAGGTCTTTACTTTTCATCTTTGGAAAATCTATATTTATTTTGGATATTTAGATGAAATATGGGGATTCCCTAAGCCACTCTCCTCCGACGACTCCCCGGGGAGTCCCCGCAAAATAACGAAATCTCTGGGGATTTTTCTAGGGAGAGTTGACTAGGGTTTGTAGGTTTGTAGAGCTATAGGCGGAGACGGCACACATTTAAAAAAAAGATCGAATCGGATGAGAAATAAGGAAGATGTCGCAAAAATACTAGACCGCCATTTATCCTGCCGCACCCATTATTTTCTTTTCATTTCAACAAACACTTGTGTAGAACGGAAAAAAAACCTTACACGTGCTCTGACTTTATCGATACATATACTGGTAAAAATCCATAGAAATAAGCAAAAATCGAGAAAAATCGAATGCATAAATGTTATGGGGCTGAATCTTTTATAGTAAAGAATTACAAAAAGTCATATTGAAATTTTGAAATGATTGGCATGTATTTTCATACATTAGAAATTCATTTCTATTTTAGAATAAATAATCATCCAGTAGACTACATTCATAACGATATAGTAGAAGAGAATCAGTGAACTTCATTATTCTAATTATTTTCTATCACATTAGTAGTTTAATAACGATGAATCAATCTATGGAAGGTCGTCCCCCGTATCCCCCGTTCACAAAAGAGAGTGCTATTGAAAAAGTTCGTGCTGCTGAAGATGCTTGGAATAGTCGTGATCCAGATCGCGTTTCGTTGGCTTACAGTGAAAATAGTCGATGGCGAAATCGTTCCGAATTTGTCAATGGTCGTGAAGCAATTGTTGGGTTTCTTAAGCGAAAATGGACGAAAGAACTTGACTATCGTTTAATCAAGGAACTATGGTCTTATGATGGAAATCGTATTTCTGTTCGTTTTGCTTATGAATGGCATGACGACTTGGGTAATTGGTTTCGATCATATGGCAATGAAAATTGGGAATTCAATGGACAAGGACTAATGACTCGACGTTATGCCTCCATTAATGATTTGCCAATTAAAGAAGAAGAACGTAAATTTAGATGGATACTTGGACGACGACCAGATGAGCATGTTGGATTGACAGAATTAGATTTATAAACTATTTTCCTATAGATTTTTATTATATTAATTTTCAAAATTAGAAAAAAACTCGTATTCCACTTTATTCAATCTTTTATTCAAAAATTTAGACGGATCAATACATTGCACTCGTAAGAGTTATTCTAAATTAACATTATTCTTCAGTGAGAAAGTACAGTTCAATAAAAAGAAAATTCAAAAAGCCATACTCAATTAAGTCACTATTTTTCTGTTTTAAAAAGATAATATTTGTTGTCTTTTATTCATCGCGTCATCAGTGAAGAGTATTCGAGATTCTTTCGTTTTTTCCCCGAAGTTCAATTCACATACTAAATGAATGCAATTATTATACATTGAATCTTCAATTTGATCTACTAACTTTTATGAAATGAATGTAAGCAATCTTCTTAAAAATCAACGTTACAAGAAGAAGCTTTTTCTTTCTTTCTTTCTTTCTGTTATTTAGTGTTTTTTTTACTGTAATTTCAATCACGTATCATTCATTCTATTTAATTTGTCAGATGTTATCATATAAAATTGATGCCTTTTATTGTAAACGTTCTAATAATCATTTCCACATCAATAGAATAACTAACAATATTTTAAAACTAATCCCATGACGAAGAGATAAACGAAGATAACGTCTATTATGTTTTATGCTGTATATTGACTTTACGAAAAATCCAACTAATATGTAGTCATAGTTATTTATTTATCTAAAATCGACATAACATTGAGGCTATCACCGCTGACAGAATATCTCGATGGATCGAATTCAATTAAAGCATATTCTAGACGATTGTAATTAAAGTAACATTTGCAAAGATCAACTGACGTTTTTATGCGCAAAAATAGATCTATGAAAAGATAACGACTGGGAAGATTTAAGTACGATATCTTAAAAAAATATCTGATGATTAATCATATTCTCTGTATGTATTTACTTCGAAATTTAAACGTAAATGGTAATTTATCCAAGTATATTCTCATTGGTTATTCTCGTCGTTTTTAAGACTTACACTAGTTTTCTTCACTTTTTGCATTTTCATTTGAATGCGCGGAAGAAGAAAAAACCAGTTCCGTTTGAGTATCGTTTAATGACTTCTTTTCATTGCATTTTTCTTCGCTGTTCTCTCATCTAACTTCCCAATTTATTCTTCAACTTATTTGTCGCATTTTTTTCATAATAGAAAAAAAAACACTAAAAAAAAGCTATTACTATCACAAAAAAAGAACACAATAAAGCATGATTAATGGTTTAATTGATCTATCTCACTTCTCTCATTTTTGTATGTAGGAAAGTAATGTTACTCCTTGTTTTTCTTTCCAGTTTCACTGAAGAGTTTATTTTCATTTAACAGGGAAACAAGAAAAACGTTTGTTTTTATGATAAATAATACTTGCATTTCTTTATCAAACAAATCACCTTCTATCGCCATAGACAAAGTATAGGTAATAGACATCGACAGTACGAAACCACATTATACCGCGTACATATTGAAACTAACAGTCAACGTCAACATAATCCAATATCGTGTTGATTTATCGATTACCTACTGATTATTTAATGACAAACAAAAATGAAATACATCATTACACGACAATTTTCATTTAGAAGAAAGACATTCTTAATTTCTAGTAATTCAGAATTAGTATCTATAGCTAAAGCAGCATCGTCCGACAGATACAAAGATCAATTCAAGTAAAATTTTCTTTTCAATTTTTTTTTATGGATAATTTCATTTGTAATATATTTTTAGTGTTCAATTATCAAATCTATCCAGCCAATTAACAGAAAATGACTCTTGTATTGTTGAACCCGATGAAAACCAACTAGGAAATTATTTGATTTATTCGATAAAGCATCGAACAAATGAAAAAAAAATCTTTGGCCAATTATTTTATCAATTGATTAATTTCAATCATTATATTTATAGAATTATTATTGGACACAAATTATATGAAGTTCGAAGTTTAGATTTAATAAATCGCCATTTGACTATTATCGATACATTTAATTCAAATATTTCATCAAATAAAGATTCAATTACGACTTTGAATCGACCAGAAATATTATTTCAACTTATTGATTCATTTTCAAAGATAAATGATAAATATCATGTCAATATTCACGACAACGAGTGGCCATTAGGTTATCTTGCAATAACTATTTTACTTCATCTACATGAATCTCGATTGGTTCGTAACGCAGAATAAAATTGCAATCATTATGGTTTTAATAATTATGATAAACAAAATTAATTGTTTTCAGTCTGATGTAGAAAAGTCGAGCGAGAAAAGTATCAAAAAGATAGCAATACATGGAATTAATAGTAGCTTTTGCACTATTCTATTAGTTAGTATCTAGTAATAACAATGAATAATACCATCTATAGATTAATTAAAATAATTAGAATAAGTGCTATATCGTCATGCCTGCCACTAGTTGACCGTTGCTGTGTGTAAACAATACTAGAAACATGCATGTAATATTGTCACCGTCTCCTTGTAGGTAAGGCTGCAATCAAGAAGGAGAACTTTGCGATAAATCTCGTTTCACCTAGCTTATATTAATGAACACTGCTAATATATTTGTATTGCCCTGTGATATGAATATTACATTAGTAATTGGAGCTTTTTAAAAGACTGCTATGTAATTTTCCAATTTCATATTTTTCTCATTTGACTTTTCTAATATCAAACCTTGTTTCTTATTCGATAAATAATTTAAAACAGGAATAAAATTACTTTGATATTGGTTATTTTATTATGTAGGAAGAAAATAATTCATGAATACCATAGAATTTGCGTAAGATTAAGTATTCTTGAGATTTACACCGTGTACATTGCGCTCCAAAAGTATTTTATTTGCCAACATTTTAATCATGTAATAACTACTCATGTCAAGTTTTTATTTTACTTGGAGAAGCTTTCTAAATAACGCTGACCGGTATTATATCGACCGCAGTATGAAAATAAGATTTTTTTTTCTTTTAATTCTTCGCTTTTTGTGATGTTTATGCAGACCAGATTTATACCACTGTTGATATGGCTTTGTTTTGACATATCATCGTAAAATAAAAATCTCATGATGATTACTTCGATGATAATGAAAATCATAAAATGGTTGTAATTTATCGAACGATAACTAATCGATTTTTCGCAATTGGAATTACTACCTTTGAACTGCAAAATATTTTTGTATGCAGATTAAAAACAACTTTACAGGGATGGCTATTAGTTGATTAAGTTAGATAAATAATGAGCTTTTACGAATTTACTTTTTCGGCTACTCATATTGGAATTCTTTGTCATCGATGATTCAATGTATTTAGATATTTTTTCTATTAACTAATTGTCGAATCTGCCTGAAAATCTTTCGCTGTTGACAGTTTTTCCAGATTTTGGGCAATTTCTACCTCAATTATGCTTTACTTATCGATTAACAGTAAAAATTAAATCAATTCAAACATATCAGCATCTCTTTTAGTGAAAAACCTCATCAAACAAATGACAGGATAATTATGATGATGTTTCAAAAGAAGAAAATAGTAAAATAAAATAAATAAGGCCTGATCATCTATGGAATCTGCAGAAATTCATTTCTTCTTTTGTTCTCAATCTCTTGTAGTAATGCATATATGGAAATATTTTTTGTTCCTGCCATGAAACATTTATATGATGATAAACAAAGTCGTTTGTCACCAGAGGTTCTTGCAACTAAATTAAGAATTTCTTGAAATTCATCATCATCCTGTGCAAAATTTTATGATTTTCTCTTGATAAAATCATAACTATTGAAACTTATTGGTTCGAATCAAAGATATTGTAGTACAACATGTATAAATTAAGAGCAATATGTCTGATTAATAAGTGCTTAGAATTGAATTCATTATTTTCGTTTAAATCTAGTATTTTTTATTCAAATATACTTTTGTGAATATAAAGAATCTCGTTATTCATAATCATTTTCATCAAAAACTTCTTTAAACGATTAAAGCTTATACTTAAAAATCTATTTGGATTTTCGAATTTTACATATGGCAACACTGAATATCAACACTACTTTATTTTATTCTTGTTACAATCAGAAATTATGGATTTTTAGGATCAATAACTTCCGTGTTATCTTTTCATGATTGGTGCACGTCAATGATATGAAACTTGAAATAATTTGTCATAATTCATCTATATCAAATATCTTACAGATTGTAAATTATTCGATTTCTAAAAAGAAACCACTTTAATAAAGATAACATCAATTCAATTCTGCCGAAATATTGTCAAGTAAGATTGTATATAAGTGCTCAGCACTGATCATAAACAATTTATGAATGCAAATCAAAATCAGATGGTGAAAATATCTTCATTCTACATTTTTGGCACAGCATCTTCTAATACCTAAGAATGAATGAACAAAGCATCGGTGTATAGATTTACAATTCACACTCATGAACACTCGTATGAGTGTGATCTGTACACTCACACTCTCAACGTAAGAATACATTTGTATTAAAATCCAGATCGTAAAGTTACAATGTTAGAAAAATAAAACTGTACAAATTAAAATGTGTAACTCTATGAATATGGTTCTTATTTCTTAAGATATATTATCTTTATTCGTGGCACGATATTTCCGCGCGTGACATTACCGCGCCGACATTACCGCGCATTGACATTATCGCGCACGATTCTACAGCGGACGACATATACGCGGAATTTTTTTTCTGTTCATATATCACGTATATAGCCCCTTACACACTTCACAACTATTTCTCGATGAAAAAGTGTATTTTAAAAATGCAGTTAAACATAAGTAAAAAGAAGTTTACATTTGTCCTTTACACAGCGCCACACTGCCGTTATCTCGGCGATAACGGAAACCATCACGAAGAAGTTGATCCTTTCCTTTACTTGAATTGATGAGAGACATTTTTACTTATGACATATACTTATCTTGTATATATATATGTTGTAGTGGAAATTAAAATTCAGTAGAATTTAAAATCCTACTAGTAGAAATTGAAATTTTAGTTTCTACTATAGGTAAAATTCAGTAGAATTTCAATTTCTACTAGTAGAATTTTAATTTCTACTGCGACATATATATATGTATTAAATTTAGTCAATTTCATTTTATTTATTCTCATCAATGGGTCAATTATACTGATCCTCTCATTATTATCTGATCCAATTATTCCTTCTGACATTAGCTTTCATCTAAATTAATGGGCCAAAAAAAAGAACAACTTTCTCTGATTAATAGCCATAAGCTTATTGATCAAATAAAAAAGAGACAAAAAAATTCCGCGTTTATGTCGTCCGCTGTAGTGTCAATGCGCGGTAGTGTCAATGCGCGGTAATGTCGTGCGCGGTAATGTCACGCGCGGAAATGTCGGTGAACCGTTATTTTACATGTAGATATCATCAATGAGGTGCTCATGCCGAAATATATAATGATTCTACTAAGTATTTGGCTCATTGTGATTGATAGATGCAGTGGAGTATCGAGTCCTATCAAACCATTTACTATGTATAAGAATTCAAAAGAGTTTAAAAAAAGATACAACTGATCTTTGGTGGACAATAGATGATACTGAGAAAGAGATCACATTTGAATTACACATTAAAAGTACAGGTTGGATTGCACTGGGTATCAGTCCTGATGAGAATTGTAATATCAAATACTGAATTTAGGCATATCTAATTATCTTATTTAGCTGGTGGTGTGAAGGGTGCTGATATTGTTGTAGGATGGGTTGAATCGTCGAGTAAAGTTTGTCTCCAAGAAAATAAATACGTTTCTTTTTGTCAAAATTCTTTCAACCAATTTATATTCTTGATTAGGGTCGATATGCAATAAGAAATTCAAGACCCATTCTCGACAATGCAACGCAAGATTGGTTTCTTCTTCGTGGTCATGAAAAAGATGGATGGGCAGCGATTCAGTGTAAACGTTTGTTGAGCACTTGCGATTCAATGAATGTTCCAATAAAAGTAAAGTCAAATTTCGTTTTCGTTTTTATACAACAAAAAAACTTTATTTTATTTTCAAGTCTGGCACTAATGATCTTATTTTCGCGTATGGTCTTACTGATCTCGATTCAAATCGACCAGACATGAATATTGCATATCATGACACTCACCGAAATTCACGAATGATCCCACTTCGCTCCTATGTTGATCCACCGTCAGAAGATAAATTCAGTAGACTTGATACATTTGAATTTCGTTTGAATAATGTTAGTATGTTTTAATTTTTCTTACTAATATATTTATTAGATTTTCTAGTCTGCTGTACCCTCAACGAATACTACGTATCATTGTAAAATATACAAAGCACCAACTGGTTATCCAATAAAACGGCATGCTATTGCTGTAAGTTTCATTATATTTTTATGATTTCCTATTTAGTATTGTATGTAGCACACAATATTAATTGATCCGAAAAACGTGAATCTTGTTCATCATTTGAATTTGTATGAATCTGATCCTATGACTACGCTTAATGGTGATCGATTATCTGATGGCTTATGCGATGAAATAGCCGACGAAATAAAATTTTGTTCATCAAATTTTGCAACTGTATGGGCTGTTGATAGTGACGCTGTAAGATTAGACGAGTGTGCGACGGGATAAGCGTCACTGATGTTATCTTATTGTCTGTTAGTTTTTTTCTAGCTTTCCTCTTTTTGTCTCTTGTTTGTTTTTGCACCTAATATTGTTAATTTTTTCTTCAAGCTTCTTCATATATATCTCTTCACTGAGATATACCTATACTCATTCTTTCAATACCTTTCGCTCATCATTCGAGCGTATTCTCTCTGACTACTATTTTTCTTCTCTATCAAAAAGAAACATCTTTTTGATTAATTCCATATTACCTTTCTTTCAACTTGATTGCTCCTTACAATCGTTCCAACTCGTGTCAGCTACTTGCTTGTGGAGTTCTTCTTATTCTCTAGTATTTCTGCTCATTGAATAAGCGATTGGATCTTCATTCAATATTCAATACTATTTCAATTCCGTTGCTGCCATTCTGCCATAACCAATACTGTGACACCTGATATTTTGGTTAGTTGCGTCTCCGATCCTCATCAAGGCGCTACAGAGTGAATAAGTCTTTTTCAATCATTTTATTTAGATGAGAGAGTTTCCTGAATAAGCTGGCTACGGTATTGGAGGAGATTATGAAATAAAATATTACATGATTCAAATGTAATTATTATGATAATTCAAGGTCAGATTCAAGTAAGAAATAGCAAAGAGAATTTCTGTTTTTAAATATAGATTTTCCGTCGTTTGTTTTCTGCAGATTGTCGTGATAGTTCATGGATTCGATTTTATCTTGGCAATGAACTTCGCAAATATGACTTCGGTTAGCTAACATTAAGCACCGCCTCGATTCCATCGACTTTGGCTATACCATCAAGAATAGAGCAATTTGCAATCGATTGTTGTTGCCGGTCTGAAGTTATTCGCGTATGTATTTTTCATAAGCATACTTAAAATTAGTTTCTTTATTTTTTGGTATAACAGAATATTCCTAAATCGAGTATTAATGTAATTTTTGCATTACCACATACGCATCTACAATGTATGGCAACTATCTAATATACTATAGCTGAGATTGAATTTTTGCATTAGGAATAAGTGTATGGACAAAATTTATTCGCAATAATACGGCTACGCAATATTTGTTCAATAATGAAAAATATGATTTTAATTATCAATAAGAAAATCGTTTGCTAAAATCATTTAAACTTTATCCAGTAAGAAAATGTATGCACCTATATTGTATTAGACTTCTGTTTGATTATAGGGAGATTCATTTGCAACTCGATGTATCTATAATACAATGAGCAAAGACAAAATTACATTGGTAAGTTAATGAATTATGAGCCCGTTCTCTTCAAACTATTAAATAAAATTAATCTTGAGGGTTGTGAACGAACAAGGGACGAAATGTGTCTTCATATGTTTACGTATTATCCTCGCATGAATGATTTCTATGCATGTTTAGCAGTCAATGATGATTCAGTATGGAGTGCTATGATGAATAAAACTGCGTTGGTAGTAGCGACGATATAGCAAAACATTATATCATATTGGTACTTTTCTTTTTATAGATCAGTGAATAATGAAAAAGTGAAGGAATGGCTTTTAATGCGAACGTGGACATCAGAATCGGCTAGCCAATGACACCACTTCTAAAGTTGTCGTACATGGTAAATCTGGACATTTTAAAACTCAGATTCTTCCTACTTTACCAATATATGAAGATTTGAAAGTTATAACATGTGATGGTTAATAACTATTTGCTTTACATTTATTTCTTATTTTGTTTTTATACATTTATCAGAAATTTAAATAGAATTTAAAGAAATAGATCATTTCAATTGGAAAATAATGAATCTATGAATAAGAAACGTAATAAAAAAAATGAAATAAGTCGAGCATGAATTTTTAAATTTAAAACATATGATTCCAATAGAACTGATTTCACATCTGGTATAATCGATTTTTTTTAGATCACTTACATCTCATGTTCACATTTATGCATCGTTTTATAAGATGCACTTTTTCAAAAGATACAATAGAGCACGAACAATGTCATAGATTGTTTTTTGTCATCATTTTATCAATCAAATAGATATGTCAAATAGTATTTCTATCGTATGAAATCGAAAATTGTATTCCTTTTAAATTACATTCAGATTTCGAACAACCTAGTTACTGAGCTTTGGCATGCTGCTGGTTTTCAACTGGGTTGCCCGGAATAATAAAAAACAAAGAATATGATGCTAAATTCAAGTTTCTTAGTCTTACAAAAAAAAATGATATGCTGAATAAAAACGTTTTCTACTTCGTTCAAGATCCTACGATACTATCATTGTATCTTGAAATAATTTATATTATACGTTATTTAGATGAAAGACATTGAAGTTTTGACTTTAAGCCGATATACAATATAACAAAGTTCATCTCGCCGTCGACGCCATTTAGATTTTAGTGCTATCATTGATGGGACTCATCAGATCATTTAAAAGATTGTTTTGTTTAGATCCTTACTGATATATAAAAAAAAATGAGAAATTGTCGGTCATCTCCAGTGTAACAGAAATGAGAACTAGCTATTTAGAATAGTGCATTTCTTTTTGTCAACATAGTTTACGATGAGCAGGTGGCGGTCACCCCGCTCAATTTTTACGCTACAACTTTCTCCCTGACTTTGTAGATGATTTAAATTTACTTGTGGATTGAATAAAACATACCAAAGACAATAATCTATTTTCTCTTTTGATAGAAGCTATTTTTCAAACTGATTCATTTTCCTTTTTGGATCATCTAAATCAGGTGATGCTAAGAGACCACTAATCAACTTCAAAAATAAAGCGTTCACGTCCAAATGAAAAAGAATTACTCCGTAGTTTAAATGACACTGTATTTACACACTAAGAGATAAAGCAACACAAAAACATTGCCTTGATTGAATAAGAAAGCCTTGTAGATTCTAACTGGTAATATATTTTTTGTTGGAAATAATGTAAAACTGTTTCTCTCTAGTTTTGGGGGAGTTTTTCTTTCAAATCTTCCCGCTGCTAAGCAAAACCAAACGAAAACTGTGTTTGTCAATAGGCAATCATTGAATGAATACTTTTGAAAACGATTTTATTCTTAAGTTGGCGTCGTCTGATGCAGATTATTCATGTACGAGTTTATTTTTAATTATAATAAAAAAACATTTGATCGTTGCCTTTCCGAAATCAACTTTCTCACGTCTCTTTTCAATCTGAATAGTTTTCGTTAAGTCAATAATGGGTTTGATTCTTGCTAAATCATTGGGATCTGTACTTTTGTCTTCCAATGGATCGAGAATCAGCATATTGATTTCTTTTCCATAACAAAAATTCGCCGATGAATATTTGAAATATAGACGAATGATTGTATGATGATTAGCAAATTGAAACACATATGATAATAATGGTTCTAATCTACACCAGGCTCTTTTCGAGTAATCTGGAGTTTCAATTCTTAAAAATCGTTCGCAACATGCTACCCATAGTGGTAACAATGGTATAGCCGGTCCTATGTCATATTGATCAATACAGCAAAAATCGATCCAATAAAAGATTTGTGGAACAAAGCCATGTATTAATGTAACCAAGTGGCGCCTCCATTTAATGAATTCATTTATTACTTTGACCTTTTGATTATCAATTGAATCGAGATGAGCTTCGTTAGAATTAAGACGCGGTCGTAACCATCGATGACTAACCATAAAACTTCACACATTTCAGAACCATATTTGTCAATTACTTCTATGGTATCAATAGCTAAATTTTCTTGACTATGTGGAATTCGTTGAATTTCATCCAGTTTACAGCAATGTATCAATCGCATTCGAGGACCATTCGTTTTATTAATAAATTTGATCAACGAACAGCGATCAAAAATTTTGGAATAATAGGAAAAAATCTTCACTTTTTAATAGTTGTTGAACATTTTCTCATGAATCTTCCATGTAAGTGTATAGTTTTTCTTATTTGAAAGTCTTCTAAAAGTGAGAAAAACACATTTTTTTATGACGAAGAAAAAGAAACAGAATGAATACTTGATTACTCGTGTCTATGCTTCTTTTGGAAAGAAAATAAAATCTTTGGATGAATGAATGAATCATTCTCTTTTTGTTCTGTTTTTTACGTATTTTTTGTTGTTTTTCGAATAAGTATTTTTATCGACTAATCTTCGTTGGATTTATTAATGACATTGATTGATCGTTCATTATTGACGACTATAGCAGTTGAGCAATATGATGCTTTTGAATAAAATTTCCAGTCATCAAACCTACGCAAACACAATCCTTGATTATTTTATGATTTTATAATTCGGATGATTAAGTAAGATTTATTTCGACAGAACGTAATCTGACTCTCATCATACGCGAAAGATTGTTGACACAAGAAGCTAACAATTAGAATTCCTCGTCTGGTATCTTGAAGGAAATGCATTCTTTTCTCATCAAGCTATTCGTGTACCAAACAATAATATCCTACGTGAAAAAGTTTAAGTGAGTCAAAACTAATTTCTGACGAATATGAAGTTCTTCAATCAATACTCCATGATATATTGCATGATATTGATTTTGAGCTTTGAGTCAAATGCTAAAATAAATTTACCCTTTGGCTGCCAACACTATCACCAACGTCCGGCTATCGCGTACGACTGTCGATAAGAATTCGATGAAAATAAATATGTACAGTAATCACATTCACCTGTGCTTATGCACTACACAACTTCACCCCTCGCATTTGTTTACATCCCACATCTACGATTCATTTTCATAATTGATCGCTAATGAAATGGACTTTACACATAGGATCGTGCAATATTTGCAGTTTAAAAAACTCAAATAATGTAAACTAATAAAAAAAATCTCAAGCCCGATGCGCCAAATAAGACAATTGAAATGTATTCAGAACAAATGTTTCAAGTAACAATAAATTTGATAACGTTGTTTTTTTGTGATATTTTGTGCATGAAAACAGTTGCTACTGAATGTTGTCCAGCATACGTGTGCAATAGAATTGTTTAAATCGTATCACAATTGCGTCTTGTGAGGTGGTAGACGATTATCTTGTGGATTAGCTACCCTAAAATTAAGTGCAAAATGTCGATATTTGTGTTTGTTGGCATTTGTGTTCTCATGATTGACTGATACGACTTTGACTCCTAAAATAAATGGTGTATTATATGACAAAAACAAATGTTCTGCAGTGGCATATGAATTTTTGATTAAGCTGTTCTAGATCAATTAATCAACTTCATTCTCTTACCACTAACTAATAACAAAAAGGTTAAGGTTTTAATTAGAGTTTGATATAGTTTCTAAATCAGCTATTGCAGAGACATATGTATTTGAATGAAAAGAAGAATACATGTATGAAATAGAAATCACATCAAAACAAGTATTCGCATTCGTATACTTTTAGATTTCTACCCGTCGATGTTGTTCTAGATTTATTCATCAGTATGACTTCTATATGAAGATAACAATGGAAAATAAAAGAATTATGCATACATTCTTCTAGTGAAATTTTGATAATTAGTGATCTACTTTATGCTATGCTGAAAGACATGTTAACTCTGACTAATACAACGAATCGATTCCATCTGATATTGAAAGTTTACACTTACCTATTCTCTGCTGGATCAAATAACTCTGGAGTGACTTGGAAACTATCGCCATTATCACCCTTGAAATCATATTCTTGTTGATTCGGGCAAAGTTCCATTAAAACAATAGGAACCTTTCTTTGTGTATTTAATAAAATATCTGTTACAATAAATGTTGCTCCAGACATAATTAAAACTTCCTCTTCATGAACATAAGTACTCAGATGAGTAATATCTGCATAGAGTTGCGTGCCTTTGAGATCTGTATTAATGATGATTTTGAAAAGTAGACGCATTTCATTATAAGATGGCTCACACGCATTAATGAAGTTCATAGCCACATGTTCTTGAAAGCTTGCCGAAATAAAGCTCGTCAGAAATAAAATTCTACTGCTGAATTTAATAAGACGATCAAAGTCTAGCCTATTCATCAACTGACCACGATAGAGAGTAATGAAAGGATTCTCATGATATCTTTTCACAAATAAACTATGTTCAAGTGTCAACTGCATATATAAACAACCAATGAAATATCGAAGTTTTTCAATGAGATTCCAATCAGATGTACGGAAAGCATGATTCACCAACCGGCTAATCAAAGACTCTCGGGTATACCAATTGATGGCTGTAGTAGGTCCAATAGTGTCTTTAAATTCCTTTAAGACATTATGCATGCTCTCATTAGTGTAAAAATATTCTGAGAGTGTCTTTAACAGAAGTTCTTTTTCCTCATATGATGGCTCTCTATTATAGTAGCTTGCCCACAGTCGAATCAAATTATCTTGATATTCAGAAAATTCATTTGAAGTTTGCGTAATACTACTGATAATTCTTGCGTTGTCTACCTTTTCATAGGCATGTACATCGTTTTTTAGATTCTTCCACAGAGAACCAAAATCATTTGTTATACTCTTTAACTAAAATTATAGAAAAGAACATTGCGTATTAGTTTTTAATGCAAAAAATCAATGGAATATTTTTGAAAAAAATGATAATATTCATGTATTACATTAAAATAGTTGAATAAATCCATTCTCGACTTTCATATACCTAAGTTCTATTTACTTCCATAGGTAACTATATCAATAACCAAAAATCGTAGACTATTCATATAGAAAGATTTGATGTATCGTTGATGTTTCCTCAACTCTCGTATCGACAGCTACATAGATAGTTTACTATCAATAATAGCGCCAATAATACTTACTTTTGGGAATATCGGTCGTAAATGCTCGTCCCAATGAGGTCTTTTACAATATACATAGATGGCTGCCACTTGCGCTCGTCTATGAATACGATTTATCAAGTGTTTATCTGCGCTACCATTGAAAATAAAAAAGATTTTCTGTTCTTTCAACTTCTGAACTTTTCCTTCTAAATGACCCAAATCTTTGAATACAAATAAATCATTTAATATAGATCTTAGGTGTGCTTGCATGCGAATATTTCTGTCTAATGAAATTTCAGTATCAAACCAGACCAGGCAATACCGATCGATGTTGTGCAGTGACCGTTGTTCCATTACACTTTCTGTGCCATCTACACCAGCATCTAAAAAGAATTACAATAACATCTAAAGTTAGGTTTTTTCGCATTCACAACCAATAGAATAGTTAAATATTTGCCTAAAAATGTCTCAAGATTTCAACTATAAATATTAAACTTACGTAATCTCCTTCGCGAAAAATTATTGCGTGAACGTGAGTATTCTTGATGGATATTGGATTGATTCATTTCTATTGAACGCTGGAAAAGATGCTAGTTCAAATCTAGAGTTGATACAATCGTATTTTGATGTATTATATTTGTTAAATATTGTTCGTTGATGGCAAATATTTCATTTTGCTCTTCGCTTGTAGACATACATTTTTCTCTGTAATCATTTGTTTTTTAATTTCATTTTTAACGATTGACGCATAGCATTTTTCCTCTGTTCTTCATCTATGAAACTGTAGTCAGTGCTGAGAAAAAATTCTTTGATACTCATGAATGTTTAGTTACGGCCATAATAATACATTGCAATACTTCAATAGAATGATTGATCGAAATCCCATCAAATTTTCGACTCTTTCTTAGCATTGTCTCGGTGTGTTTGCTTCCCATCGACTTTCGCTTCTTTTTTAATTACTGAAATAGATCAATTTTTTCTCTTTTCATGAATAGAAGTCAAAATCAATCGTTGGTTCTTTAGAATACACATAGAAATGGAAAAGACTTAAAACTTATTTGTCTGAGCAATTCAGTACTGCCGAAAACGAACTTCAGTATTCTGATGAGTCTCTGTGAATTCATTTAATTTTAAACATGGTAGAAGTATTTATAATTTAAATGACAATATCTATTTCACGTATAGAAGAACATTATGTCTAATCTGTTTTAAATAATAGGCAATAATAATGTTTTATATAGAGGACAACAACACTTGAAATTCTTCTTCATGAAACATACTGCTCAGCTTTTAGAGTCTTAACTAACATTTATTTATCCCTACTGTATCTATTTTAAGCACTCAAACAATCACTACGACTGTTTTGCCAATTTTTGCACCAAAACAAACTGTATTTTTTTGAAATGAATTCATCGTTTAGAACAAAAAGCAAAGAATTGATCGACCCACTTGCTCTATTCTGCGGAAAGTTTATGTGTTTACAAGGCATACAAATAAAACAAACAAAAAATGTGAAATAGAAAGTGGAACAAAATTTTGAGAGTACTCAGAGGATGTATACAAAACATGTCTGAAATTGGAAGCGCTATACAACTTTGTTTTGTTTTATTATTTTAATAATAGATATGATTTTTATAGACTCTTGTCCTATATCTGTACCTACTGTTCAAATATATCTACTAATTACTAGAAATCCTCAATGGTTCTCATAGATTTCGGAAGATTTTGAAAAGGATTGAATATATCGACGCAAAAAAAGAATCATATCTAACAACACGTATAAATCCATTTATATCCTATGTGGACGTCCAAGCATGAGTTGATTTATAGTTTGCTTGCAGTATTATTTACTTCTATTTTTTTTTGGTTGATGAATCCGATAGTTTCTCGATATGCGTTAACATGACATTTTCTACAACATTTTATTATATTAAACGATTGACGTCGCTGAGGAAGCGATTCAAATAGAACATAATTGATATATTAAAATGAATAGGATTTTCAAGAAACTCGATCCAAAAACTACGATCTATTTAAAGACTACTAAAAAATGAGCCGACTCATCAAGGAAATACTATCTTTTTGGTGACTTATAAATGCACTGTTTCTTTTCAAAGGGTATCTTTTGAGAACGAGCCATATTATTTACTATTATCGTTCTTAAAGAGCATACCTATCGAAAAGAAACGAAAATGGGCCATTTTACAACTAGATAACTCTTCGAAGTATCTTATAAAAAAAAAAAGCAAATACCACAATGCATCGATATTTGCGTTCTTTTTCAGTACTGACTAAAGCTTTTTCGATAGAACAAAGGAAAGAAACGAAAGTTATAATACTGAAAAAAAGAGAAATCTTCCTTTTCTTTCTTACATGTGGTAGAGTGCTTTTTCTCTCTTACTTCTATTCTTATCTTTAACTACATGATCAAACCCTATGATAAACACAATGAATTTGGAATTTCTACCTAATGAATTATTATTTAACTTCTTTGATTATTTAAACATTTTTGATCTGTTCAAAGCTTTCTATAGCTTAAATTCCCAATTTAACTCTCTCATACTCGCTCACTGTCATCAATGTCGTCTTGATTTTCGATCTACAAATAAAACAGATTTTGATATTATCTGTAAAAATTATCTTCCATGCATTACTGATCAAATTGTTGCACTTCGTCTTTCGGATAATGACAATACTCCTCAGCAAATTGGTCTTTTTCTTTCCTACAACTTTCGATTACATCGATTTATTAATTTGCAAACAATTTCATTGTCCAATCTTCATTCTTCATACACACTTAATAGATTAATAAATGAATTTTCTACTCTTATATCTCTCACAGATCTTATCCTAACGAACTGTTACATTTCAATTAATCGAAATAGTGCTGATCGATGGTACGACAAGATATGGAGTCTATCAAAACTAAAATATTGTTATATAGATATTAATTTTGCTAACAGAAGCTATTTTCCAGTACCAACAGTTATTTCTCAATCACTTAAACATCTATCAATTCCACATATTTCTTGTTATTTCAACGAATTCATTCATCTATTTAAAGTAACACCTAATCTTCAACATTTAACAATCAATTTCCTGGAGTATGCCAATGAATTCAAACCAGTATTGTCCATTTTGCCGATCACTCATTTAAAACTTTCGTTTGATAGTTCATTAGAAATTTTGCAATGTATCTTACAAAACTCACCTGATCTACTTCATTTAACATTAGAAATATGTAATATTTATATGGATGGATATCAATGGGAAGATATGATTAGACGATATTTACCCAAATTGAAAGTATTTCGATTTAAAATGAGATTCTCATCGTTAAACGATGAGAATAAAGAAATTCAATCAAATCAAATACTTGAATCATTTCGAACTAAATTTTGGATAGATGAACATCAATGGTTTGTTCGATGTCATTGGTATTCGTCAGATGAACAATATCGTTTAGATTTCATAGATCTATTTACTTTACCATATGCATTTAAAGATTTTCTTAGCTATACAGGCTGTACTTTAGCAAAATCGACTTGTCCTACTGACGATCAGTATTGGTCATTTGATCAAGTAAACAATTTATGTTATGGATCTTCACATTTTAAAAGTTCGATCATGTCACGTATTCGTTTTTCTCATATTGAATATCTTTCAGTAACACTTCCTTTCAATGATCAGTTCTTATTGGTAGTTTCGACACTTGATCGGTTAACATCATTATGTATATCAGTTAATAATCATAAAAAACCTGATAATATTCTCTCGCAAATGCAAATGCTACTTGATCGAGCACCAAATTTACTTTCATTAAGCATTGCATCATGGTCTTCATCAAGTTTACCAGTACCATTAATGGAAAATACCAGTGAATCGGTTCGACAATTAAATTTACAAGGATATGCCTCTGGTAAAAATTGGTGTTATTTTGATGATGAGCAATGTCATCAGCTAAGTCAATCACCGTTGGGCATCCAATGTGAGACACTTTCGATTAAAGTTAAAAATCGAAGAAATATACTTTATATTGTGAATAATATGCCTAATCTTCGAGCATTAAATGTTCGATGTGAAGATGACCTTTGGAAGAATCCGACGGATACATTATTACTAGTAAAAGACGAACTTACTGAATGGTTACAAGATTATCTACCCTTCTCATCAATAATTATGAGAGATACGTGTCATCCTCACACTATTCGATTATGGATTCGTTAAACAATGAATAGCATATTAAGACAAACAGATTATTACGTATTATTTGATTTTATATCAATAAAATCTATTGAATTCATATTTGTTTTAATATAATAAAAATAAAAATAGGAAAGAAAATCACTAGAAATAATTATCTGAAAAGCAAAACCATTGATGAGTCTAAATTATCGAATGTGTTCATATTGCTGACTTTAAGGATAAAAAGATCTGAATATCGCATAATATTTGTTTGAAGTCTTCTTTCCAAAATAAAAAACAAAACAAAACTATCATATTCGTGACTTGGTTCAATCAATAAAAAAATACAAAGAGTGAATGAAGTTATGAGTTCAGTCATTGTAAACATTGTCTTATTATAGATCTGAATATATCATGAACAAATTTACTCATAGTTTGCATAATCAATTATGTTCATTTTTTCTTTCGTGAAGACGAGTAACATTCTAAAAAAAGCATTAAAACATGAATACGTTGAAAAAGTGAACTATCTAGTTAACAGAAAAATATTCTAATATAAAACTAAATAATCATGATTCTCCTGTAATATGAATATATATCGATAGGTAAGATAGGAAAAATTTTTTACAGTGAAATTTATAAAAAGAACTTGCAAATTGACTTCAAAAATTTCTTAGTTTCTCTATTAAACGTATAGTTTTTTTAAAAACTTATCTAAGAGACCTTCTCAGACCTTCGCTGCGTGTTCGCTCAACTAAGATTTACTTCACTATAAAGAATTCAATGATACAAAAATAGAATTTGTCTTGATTAAGTACCAACGAAAATAGGGCACGCAAAAAAAATGCTTTTTGCATTTATTTCTATGATGTAAAATGTTTCTAGTAAAATAAAAGATGCAAATTATTTTTATTTCAATTTGGATTTAAAATAACATTTGATACTGTTTTCCGAGTTACAGTAGCACAAAGTCGGAGTTAACCGTCTCACGATAGTGATATTGAGTTTTTTTTCTTTCTACGTAATTATTCCAGAATTCTATCTGTCTGTAGATTAGAACTGACATACACTGTAGTGCAGTAACGTACAAGTTTTTAGACATAAATCGACCTAAAGGAGTTCCTCTGAGATGATAATAAAACCATGTAAACACGCATGATGAATTTTCTAACAGTAGAATAATTAATATCATACAATAGGGTGATTTCCGAATATTTTGATCATATACTCTCACATAATAAGTTTGAAAAAATACAGATAACATCTGTGATGTCTCTTTTCAATTTGTGTAACCCATTGAATTTTTTTACTCCTAAGATCTAAATCATAAAACTCAAAGCAAATATTTTTCTCTTTTTTTTTGTCATTTTTTCATTAATTCTAAATTGTGCTCGGTTTACCAGAATTCATGCAATAAAATATTCTTCAAATCAAAAAATTACGTTGAATAAAAGATTTGCCTCGATTAGACAATTTAATTCAAAGTTTCAAATGATTTTAACTAATAATTGATATTATGAGAATATTTGTACTTATGTTTGAGTTTGATTTCAAAGTGGACTTATCATCTTTACTGTTTCGTACTTCAGTTGTTTTGGAGATTTGCTAATAAGACCTTTTTTATTTCAAACTTCATTATTGTTTCGTTCTGTTACTTAGCCTTAGACAGATAAGAAAGTAAAAGGTTGAGTTCATTCATTGTGTTTCAAGCACTTTCTCCAGTCAACTAAATGTGCATCCTCACCGTGAAATATAACACTATTTACTTACACCCCCATGTCGGCATTATCCAGTGAATAATAATAATTTATACTTTTAAGATTTGTTAAATATCAGAACATATCCGCAGCTACTACGATATTGCCCTTCAATAGTTATTGAGTAGCATAAGAAAAAACACGCTATGAATCATGCAAGCATTTTACTTCTCATCGTTTTGGTACTTAGCATATTTGGTATAGCATGCATTGCCATAAGTATTGCTACCAATGTCTGGTTGCGCATAGATCCTATCATAGGTCCAGTCAATGAATCTACTGAAATCGGCTTATGGAAAACTTGTTTCATAGGTAACTTAGCAACGGACTGCATCAATATATTAATGTCAACTCCAATCATCCTGGTCTTCATTGCTCTTGGTCTTGTCATATTAGGTGTTTTCACAACATTAGTTGTACTTGTTTTCAAACGTCTACTACCAATCGTGATTATAGTCTCTGTTTTATTCTTTCTTATGGCTGTTGCCTTTCTAATAGCTTTTGTGGCTGTCTATTGGTATAAAATACTTAATACACTATTTCAACAGTATCTGACGAGCGTAATTATAACGACAACTGAATTTTCGATCGGCTACAGCTGTGCTTTACTTTTTGTTGGGCTTGGAATGATAATACTGAGCATTTCAATTGCCTCATTTGTTGCTGGCAATCACGCATCTGTTTTAACTACAAAGTCCACATATCATTATCCGATGAATCTTGATGTTGCTCAACATTATTCTTACTTCTAATTATGCGTATTGTTTGTGTGGGATGCTTCAAAAATAGCTTTCTAACCTTTCTGATATTCCGAAAGATCGCTATTTTAATTATATAAAATATAATGAATGAAAATAGATACACGGCATGTAAAAACAAAGAAAGAAAGATCTTTTTTTTACTTAGGTTCCTTTATTTTCATGTACAGTCTTCTGTTGTCACGATTGAATAAACATAAAATATCTCTCATATATATGATGATCGAATATGAAACTCTCATTTATCATGATAACATATTGGTTAGAATGGCATGAATTAAGAAATCCGATTCAGATAACAATGAACAAAGTACAATTTCCATGATAAAAATCTTATATTAACACAGTTGGTCTTAAAGAACATATTAAACCAGACACACTACGTATTTGTTATCTAGTTATCAGATCCTGTAATCATATTTCATGTAATTTTTTACATTGTACAATAGAGATACTCGTTTTGTGAAATATCTTTTTGTTATGGAAATAACATTTTAAACTACACATATACAGATAATAAACTAAATCTTATGTAGCAGTATAACTAACATAAAAACACATTTAAAAAACTGCACCATTAAGAATCGTACAACAGATGATTGCTATTAACCGGAAGATAAATAAACGAGTGTAAATCATGTAAAGTCAGAAAGTATTACTTTCATCCATCGACAATAAATAAACTCTTTTTACAATATCATAATTTTGTACTTCAGTTATTTTGAAAGAACTCAAATCAGAAATCTACAGAACTTTTTTTACGGTATCTAGATTGCATTTGACTTGCGATGATAGATGAATCGTTTTGCTTTGAGGAGACCGAATGAAACGGTGTCGAGTTTAGGTTTTTCTATTCGTTTCGATCGCTTTTTCTTATAAACATCAGAATACTCAATGTAAAATACATTATCACTAAATCATTCATGATAGATAAAAATCTCCTCTATTCGTAGATAACACATGCAAGAGGATTTTGCTGTTTCCTTTTTTTTTGAGATTATAACAGAGTAATTTTTAAATATTTATTCAATTTAATCTGTAGAATAAAAACAAAATCATGAAGATTACTTTTCACTGGCAGTTTACTTACTAATAAACAATTTCAGGTGAAGTCAATTTGATCTTTTTTTATTCACATGAATAATCAAGCGGTAGGCTTAGTTGCAGTCAAGTATGTAATTATCTATATCAATTTCATTGTTACTGATATTAATAAAAATTGCATAGTGCTGGCCGAGTCGGAAGAAAGAAGCTTCTAGGACGAATGTTGATTATTATTTGTCTTGGTTTATGTACACTATTAGCAATAATCCTCTATAAACATTTTAACTGTGAGTGGATCTTTAATATATTATGAATTCGCGTAGATCTAAAAGGCATATTATTTTTTTCTTCGAAGCACGTCGTCCTATTTCAATATCAAACACAACTCAAACAACAAGTAACAATAATAATAATAGTTTACTGAACCTGAGACTTGATCTTTTTTTTTTTTAGATAAAACAGAATATATAACACCAACAAGTTTACCAGATATAATTAACACCATGAACAATACCTTAAGTTCTGCACCGGCTGTTGTATCAACAATAGATCCTGATAATCTGGTAAAATGTAAGCTGCGTATCATTCATTTTTAAACTATAGGAAAACTTACTTTAAATCTTTTATTTTCACGATGAAAACTATTCCCTTAAGGATCCTATACAACATGTCACTACTGGGTGTGAACTTGGCAATGTACTTTATAGCAATCCTAATATGTTGTGTTTAAATGCTGACTATGTTAGTCGAGTCGGTTTTTCGTCTATTTACAAAATGGGAGTAGACTGCCACTCTACTTATTTATTATATCGGGATTCATGCTTAAACATAACATTATACATCGATATGCTATTAATCCTGAAAAAGATACTACAGAATGGCAAACGATAAGCATTACTTTACATACATTACCTATAGGGTATGAACAATTTTTACAGAGATGTCATAATATCCTAACACTGGGTATCGTCGACATACCAGTCACGATATCCATTCAAGTGGATATCTAAAATGAATACCCATGTTCCTCATAGCTGAGGAATTTGATAGCAGTTGGTGTAACGAGAATGGTTATGCACTTTTATGTATCCTCAGAGCTGAGGAATTTGAGTGCATTTGGTGTAACGAGAATGGGTATCAAAAATCGATACCCTATTGTAGAAATACGTGACTTTATAATTATAAATAAGGAAACGTGATGCTATGTTAAAATTTATTGTATTCATGCAGTCAGCTTTATGCCAATGTTTATCGATGTGTACAGATTTGTTTAATGAGTATTGCAGATAACGTGCAATTCCAAGTAAATGTTCGTTGAAGAGCTTCATTTTTACCTAATAACAATTTATTACGACTTTCATCAAAATCACTCAAGCAAATCGGGTTGAAACTGTAGCATGCTGTGTAGTTGGTGTTGTTGTGGATCGTCACATGTATGTTATTTGAATTGTCGCTTATATTAATTTGTTTGAAGTAGGACCTGGCAGTAGGAAAATTTCCGGTACCCAATCTCGTTACACCAAATGCACTCAAATTATTCAGCTCTGAGGATACGTAGATGTTCATCCAACTGGGTATCCTATCTGGGTATTCATCTCGATACCCAAGTTGTGGATATTATGACATCCCTCATTTTTTCTACCGATTAGTAAAGTTTTTAGAGGGCGCCATAGGTAGTGCCTTTCATATTGATTTCCTTAAAATGTGTTCTTTGTCTGCTCTGTCCGCTGACTAATAAATTTTCTTTCTTTGAAGGATGAATACATGAAAATTCTCGTAAAAAAGACGTCGTGTAAAACAGTGTGTAAATTCAATTTCATTAGGGTACCATACACTTTGTTTTGCTGATTATACACGTCCATTACCAACACTGTCTTGATCTCTTTTTAAATATTCATTCAAATTTTAGGTGTAAAACATCGTTTTTTAGATGATTCGGTTAGGTGACGCATTTGTAATTCTTGCATTATTTGTGCTCTTTCTACATTTAATTGAATGGATAGGGATAATGATGATGTGCCCTTTTAATTTTGAATCATCCAATAATATGTCAATGTAATCACCACAAGAATGCATTCAAGCATACACACCCTATAGCCTCTTGCGATTCGGAGGCAGTGTGTTTGATATGATACTTATTTTTTATAACAACAGTATCAATACAATGATAGCTTTATTATTCTCAATCTTCGTCTATGGTGTTATGAATAGGCACAGCGATGCTGTCATCACTGCCCACGAGTTATTTCAAGCCATTCGCCGTGATATAAAAGATGCCATTAATGAAATTTGGACGTGCTTGAAATTGGTAGTTGCTTCCATCTCCAACAGCATGACCATACTCAAAATGATAGAACTAATTATTATTGCATTGTTCTTTATTTCTATTCCCGAAATCGTAACATTCATATCAAAGGCACTGATGAAAATAGGACGTGTCTAAACTATTTTCTTCAAAATTACTTGGCCCCAGGTCGAACATTCCAGCCACTGGATCCCGTATGATACTCCATGGAATATGCGGGAAAGTCACCATATCCTGCAGTAAAACACGGGAAATCGCTGAAACATGGAAGCAGTATTCCGGTCAAAAATACGGCCGGACTTTTCCGGCGAATTCCTGCCACGTTCCGGTGCTTTCCGGCAGGAATTGATCGGAAATCACCGGAAAAATTTCCAACCAGAATACTGCTTCCACAAAATCAACGGAATTACTCGGAACGGGCCGTTTCCAGGCCGGACTGTTCGACCTGGGGTCTTCTTTTAATATTTGCAGACCTCACAGCAGTAGTGTTTTTCTGATTTTGGCCTGATATTTTATGAGTTTTTACCTATAGCGTCTATATATACTTGATTTTAAATTTTATTCTTGTTAAACTTACTGTTTTTAGAAGACACGCGTGTTTAATAAACTTGACGAAAAAGAAAAATATTGTTCAACTTTATTTTTATTTAAATCCTGTGAAATTTCCTTTTTTCTGTTTTTTACGGTCATCTATTGTCCTCCGTCGGTATAACTAAGGTCAAATGTTTTACATCCTGTACACCGGAACAACCGTCTTGTTTGATCTCTTGCAACTCACTGGGAATGCGTTTTACGGGTGTTATCGAATTTAAGCAACCATTTTGAACCAAAGCTGGTGGTTCTCAGCATTCGAAATTGTTCTAAATAATTCTTTTTATATACTTTAGAAGTTTCGATTATTTTATGATTATTGATTTGAAGATTCGTCAAGCTGTCGCCTATATGGATTTGGTGTAATGGGCATGAACGGTGGTCCTGTTTATGCACGTGCATGTGCTGAAGCATTGCCACGATTATTTACAATGATAGGGGCACCGAATTGTCGTGCACCTGAAAATAATACTGCAACTGAAAATGCTGTTAGTGCTGTTACTAAAATATTAAAATATAATAATTCGTGTCTCGATAATCTTGATAAAGTAAGAAAAAAAGAAGTTTTTTCATAAAAATAAATTTCACACTTTTCTTCTCTCTCTCTCTAGTTTCATCAAGTTTGGTTGTCTTGACTTTCGATTTTTGAAGACACTGAAGAAACACCTTATGTTTATGGTTATTTATGTGATTTAATTGAATCGTATGTAGAATACATTGTTTAAGGAAAATCTTATGTTCGAATTTTTCTTTTCTGTAAGATATAATCTGGTGATTATTGGCCAAGATAATGCTAATGTACCAAATGTAATTAAATTATTTGCTGATACATTTGCTAAATCATCCATTGAAGTTGATTCAGTTGTTGGTCAACGTATGATACCTATTTTACGACATGTTCAAGTAAGTTATTTCTGGTTTTTAGCTATTGATAAATAAAAGAAATCTATTGAAATTTCAATTTTAGACAATAGCAACTATTTTTCAAACATGTATGAATGTATTAACTAATGAAGAACGTCAAGCACTAGCAAATGCATTAAATGCAAAAACATCGCCACAGAATTATCAAACTGGATCTTCAAATCATATAATGAATCATCATGCTAGTGTTTAACAATCAGCAATAGTTATCGATATATATTTTTTCTCTTCAATTTTGCTACGATCTCTTTATCTTTTCTCTTTCTTTATTCCTCTCTCGGTTAAACACAAGAGGAAAAAAACAACATAAAAGTACACAACCCAATAGATTCTATTCTTTACTTTTTTTCTTATTATTTCTTTTTTTTTCTATTTTGTGAAACGAAAACATTTATGCATGTCATGTATTTATTTCGAAGAGAAAAGAAAACAAAAAATAAACATGAAACAAGCGATATTAATCATGGAATAGACGTTCTATTTTTATTTTTAATGCGACGCGAAGCATAGCATTTAAATAGTCCACCGCCAGTTTTTTTTTACTTCACTGACGAGGCATCGCCTCTCGTCTTTTGCGTTTCTCTATTATATCCAGAACCGAAAGTCATAAATCACTAGTTTAAACGCAACGCAAGATAAGAGTATCGAGACCTGCTCAAATATTTTTTCTAGTCTTTAATCTGATATTGGGTTCACTCACGAATATTATTCGAAAAACACGATTTGAAAGGACTGTTCGTTTTCAAAATTTGAGATAATTTAAATGACATCATCGACAGATGTTAGCAAATAATCAATTTCTTGACGGCTGGCGTAAGATAATGAATCATGTAGATCATTAAATGTTCAATCAAAACCGTTCTTGAAGATATATGTCTAGGGTTTTCATAGTAATGAATTTTATTATATCTGCTCTGAAAATGTTTGAAAATTTCGTCAGCTGTTCGTTTATTTGGTTTTCTTCGATTATCAGATTTTATCGTAGATTCGATTCGGACTTCGCACCGCATTTCGTAGTCGAGTGAAACTCGAATACCATCTAGTTTTGCTAATGTGCATCGAATTGATTAAAGTAAATGAAGCTGTGTATGAATTGTTAATTAAAGATAAAACAACTTCAGGTTTTATCTGATATCCAAACGTCATATTTTTCCTCAGCAAAGAAACATTCTGATAAATATATTTGTTCCGTACAAGCTGTCTCATAGCAAAAAAATCCTGTACGTGACTCGCACTAATCAGTTTCATATCTATCAATTATATAAGTTTATTGAAATCTTATCTTTACGCCATCGAGTTACAAAGTTCAGTTTTTGTAGTTTCAAATATAATGATGTATTGAGACACGTTCTTTCTTTTAATTATGACATACGAACGATTTAACGTGAGTTCAAATATAAACATTTTTATATGAGTCAAGAGAATTACAATAAATCATTCAAACATACGTATATTTAAATACTTTAGATCGTTAATGTTTATATAATATTGTTACATGGGTCGTCGATTGCAATATTTAGTTAAAGTCAGGTATAGATATAAAATTGATTTTTTTCCAAATATAATATCAGTAATTTCGTGTAGTGTTGAACACGATCAACCATTGATAGCTGCAGGACTAGTACTAGCAGTAATTTCACTACCCTTGTATATTCATTTTACAATAATCTTATCAAACAATTGTAAGTCTACTTTTTTAAAGAATAAAATACTTGCTCTAGACAAAAAAAGATTATAATTCATTGATTAATCGAAAATCTAAATTCGTTTATATAGATCACAGTACTAATATCGAATTGAACAATTCGTCAGACATTGCAGCACCCAGCGGATCTTTAACAAGCTCTGTACAATTATTTTCATCGAAAACGCCTGAAATATCATCAGAAAGTTGTGAGTTACGAAACTTTTGCTCTTTAAAAAAGTATGTATGCTTTTTATTCTAGATAGTAATTATTCACTTTGAGATCCTTTACTATATGAAACATCTGGTTTTCCACTTGGCAATACTCTTTATTATAATCTCAATAGCAAATGTCAAAATAATGGTTATATTAGTAGCGTCAATTGTCGTCTATTCAATAAATGGAAAGATGATACTGAATTACTTTATTTACTTGTCTTATCGGGATGGATGCTTCAGCATGATATTACCAATCGTTATGCCACTAATCCTAAGAAAAATACCACAGAATAGCAGAGCGTACTGATTTCTTCACGTATATGACCTATAATGGCAAACAATTTTTTAGCTATTGGAATGCAAGATAGCAGTAATTCAAATCAAATCTATTCTGTTATATCGATTGGAAGAATGCGTGGAATAAATATAAATAGAAGTACGACGAAAGTAAACTCAAAAATTCGGATGAACATTGGCATTGCTTTTGGTTTTACTGTAGTTCAATACAATACTAGCCTATTTTAATTATTGACTTTCTGTGGATTTGTATAGTGTACTTAGTGGAAAAAATAATTCTTATTATATCAGTAGCTATTGATTGCGAATGTATGCAGCGTCTCATGTATGCTGAGTGTTTATTTTTCAAACAGTATTTATTTTCTATAATAAAGCGTTTTATCTTTGTGATGTAAAGAGAATTTGAATAGCTGATTGAAAAGACAACACGAATTCGAAGCATGACCAATTTCATACCACACGTTCTACCATAAAATAAAGAACTATTGAATTTTTTAAATTTAATCTAATACTATGAACAATTGATCGATTAAGAGCTAATAATTCTGGTTGAAACTTAAAATAATTGAGATAGCACCGAAAGAAAGAAAGCAAAAGGTGTAGACTTCAATCATGTTTCAAAATGAATTGTAACGTGTTGATCAGAACTGGATTATTGATTGTTTAACTTAAAGTTCGTAGGGTATGCAGTAAGAAAAAGTGTTACTCGGTAAAACGCTAGTTTAAATGTACACGCATGGTGATAGCTTGCTTGAAATTGACTTAGAAATTATTCCAAGGAACTATCTGTATATTATTAAACTCAGATGCCATTGTTTGAAAATTCTATTTTGATATGTCTGTTAAGTCATGCGTTCAGTGTCAACATATGCCGAACGAGAAATGAAAAGCATTTTATTAGTCTTTCTTGAATCATTGCTTTTATATCAAATGAAATACAACCAGAGTATATCAAAAAGTTTCGTATAATTAATTATATTATATGAAAAACATTTAATATGAAGAATTTTGTATTTGCTAAATTATTACATTCTTCATCACATGATAATTTAAGCAATTTTATGCAAAAACCGAAAGAACTTGTTCTAAGGTGAATAATTCATTATTTTAAGTTGAACTATAATTTTCATTACTTTCAAATGTAATTAGTATAAGAATAACTATTTCTTGATATACTTGAATCTAGTAGGTAAATGAGAGTAGAAGTTTCTTTTATACATCTTCACTTCGGTATTTTGAAATAAAGATTGAAGTAGAGATTTTCAAAAAGCTATGATTTATACTCATCTGTGAAAAAGCTAATTTTGAGGATATTCAAAATATTCGACGAACACTCGCTGCTAGTCTTAAGAGTTCATTTCGAAAAATGCTTCCACCAAAAAGTGTATAGATGTAAAACGACATTCCATTAGCAATATAAGCAAAAAGTAGGCAAAATTTTCAATGGTACTATTCAACGCTGTTTTGGTTTGATTTGATTGGGCTAGTGAAATCAATTTTTGCATATTTTGAGGTAGAGTAAATACAGAAAAAAGAATTACTTGTACAAAAAGCATAATAAGAAGATAATGATCTTTTTTTTTCGCGATCATTGTTGACTAATTGCTGTTGATTTTGATATACCGGCTGTATTCATAGCTTGAGTTCGACGTCTAGATTGATGTATATTTATAATAGTTATTATTCTAAAACTGAGCATGATGAATAGCGGGAATATATTAGCGACAAATGCATAACTAAAATCAGTTACGAGACGACAGGATATTGTTTTTCCATAACATCTCAGTGGAGCATTGATAAGATTAGCTTCATAGCTATAAAACATTTGAACATAAAGGAAACAGGAAAAAATCAAAATGATTATTGCAACTCGTTGAGCATTGGCTCTTGTACTCCACTGTCGTCGACGACGATCGACGCATGATGATAACCATCCATCGATGGTAGCTAATGCAATGAGACAATATGCAACAGTTCTCAATGCAAACACTACGAAAGTTCGTACTTGACAAAGTCATGTTATTGTATTTGTCAAATCAATAACCCAGCCAGGTGTGGTTCTGGTGAAAAGACCAGAGAATATTGCGACTAAACTAGCCATGAATGACAGAAGAAATAGAAATGCACAAGGATTCGCACGTAAATTGCGTTGAGAAAGAACCAAAACGTTGAGTATATTACAAATCACACCGAAAATAAAGATAAATATTGAAAAATAACGATTGAGTTGAGTTGTAGCATTAAGCCACAATTGAATAGCACTAGCATCCGATGACATTCTTATAATTTATAATAAAATGTGAATATTTATACAAAGAAAAAAGTCAAATTAATATTATCTACGTTCTCATCAGTGAAAAACTATATTTTGTATAGCGAGAGAAACTTTCATGAACATGTTAAGATCAGAAAACTACGCGAAAGAAAAATGTTCTACCGTATTCTATATGTTTCTGTAGTGAAAATTATTTCATGGAAATAATCAAATAGTTGATTACATGAAGCAGATAGATAATGAGCGTTCCTCTTGAGAAATTTCAAGCATTTTTATCGTGATAGTTTGCAAGTTTTCCTAATACTTCTTTTATACATATATAAACTTATCTGCAATTGAGATTTTGCGTCATGATGATCTTTGGCAGGAAAAATTAAAAGAAGACTTGCTCAACCATACATTATAAGCTTTGCGACAGAACTAAATGCGTGTAGTTTTTTCAATTTTCTCGAGTTATTATAGCGCAAAACACAACATGAATCTACTATTTTGCCAGGTTTCCTTTTTTAATTAATATTTTAATTTATCATACTTTGGTTCTTCGCTGTACGCAATTTTAACTTGTTAGTTGCAATACCTTGATTATCTTAAGAACATAAGCATCAGCACAACATAAATAACTATGGCCGAGATCAATCTCTGATATTGATTTTCTTTTATATTTTCCAAAAGGCTTTTCCGTTTGCTGATTGATTGGCATGTGACTTCTCGAGATTCGTATTAGTACCAAGGATCAATTCTTGTAGTTAGATGTGACAAAAATAATTAATATTTTACAGTAAACTCAATTATTTGCTTCGTCACAATATATGAACTTTTCCCGAACAGAGAGGCTGTTGTTTTACATCGTATTTTGTATTTCAGCCGAATACCAATGAAGAAAAGCATTCGTGGCATTGTTCGATAACTTAAATTGAAAAAGAAAATCTTACATTTTCTAAACGACTAGATAATTTGTTCATTGATGTCTATCACTTATTGGTTACCATAACCATGATGGCAAAAGCATGCGTACTGATTGCGCTTCAAAACCATTTCATTTCTTTTTATGTTCTATTTGCCCTGTGATTCTTGCACATCATACATAGACACGACAGAACGAGTGAAAGGAGGAGTGAAAAAGCCTTTTCCCATTCTCTGTTTGACGTGTTTATCATATTATATAACGATTTTTTGATATTGACGTCTTAAAATAATGTATCATTATATAACCAGTTTTTTCCTTTAAAAAGCTTTGACAAACATTTAACAAAGATAAAACATCTATATATGTATGTTTAAAAATTTGTTGTCAAATATTCTTTTTCTTCAGGAGACAATTTTTTTTATTGTGTACTCAGTTCATTTGAGTCAAAAAATGAATTAATTGATTCATAATTACTCGGTGCATATCTATAGTCAATATTATGAATATCGTACAATAGACTTTTTCATTCGAAAAACAAAATGATAAGAACAAACAAGAAAAAAGATCAAAGTAAATATTCTTATCTACGTAGATGTTAGAAATCGCTGAGTACAATGTTTTATTTTATTCTAATAAATTTCGTTGTCTAACGGCCCAGAGAAGTCCATTATGCTGTTAATCTACATTGGATTTATACTTAGTTATTTTTCAATATGGACTATTAATTCTGTGAGAGCTGTTTCTTCTCGTGTAGTAAATACTAATCGAATCATTGATTTCGAAACTATTGGAGGTATTCCTAGTGATAGTTCTTTGGATACTTGTTGGGCTAATTCACATCTTCTCAATCAAACTTTTGCTTTGATGCAAAATGGTGATATTCTAGTTATAACTTTCAATAAAACATTTTGGCTAATGGGTGGTATTTATGCGCGTGGTCTTTCGTATGTAACTATACAAATTGATGGAATTCTTAAATTTTCTGATGATCAAACTGTATGGCCTCGTGATCCTAAAACTCAACAAGTTCATGAATGTTTCTTTTTCGAACAATTAGATCATGTTACTTTTACTAGTTCATTACCAGCAGGAAGTAAAGGTGTCATCGATGGATCAGGTGAACATTGGTGGGGTCTTGTAGAATATTTATTAATTGGTGAAAATCGACCTCGCTTATTATCAATCTATAATTCGACAAATCTCTTAGTAGAAAATATATTATTAAAAAATTCTCCTTATTGGACATTTTTGGCTAATGATATTGCTAATTTAGAAATTCGTTATACCGATGTAGACGCACGTAGACGTCCTGATATTCATTATCATGATCTTAGCGAAATTACTGCATTTAATACTGATGGTTTTGATGTAGCTGGTACCAATGTATGGATTCATGATTGTAATATTTGGAATGACGATGATTGTATTGCAGTAAAAGAGCAAACTTCAAGTAGTATTCATTCTTCTTGTAGTGAAAATATGCTCTTCGAACGTATTAATGCTTCTGGTGTTGGTTTAACTATCGGTTCAATTGGTCCTTCTGCTGCTCATACTTGTGTTCGTAATATAACATTTCGTAATTGTACTATGTATAATACATTTAAAGGTATTTATTTAAAATCACGTCCAGGTCAAGTTGGACATACGGGTGAAATTACTAATGTTACCTATGAAAATATTCTTATTAGTAATGCTACTCAATGGTCAATATGGATAGGACCACAACAAGCTGGTTATAAGGATGCTTGTTCACTTCTATGGCCTTTTATACCTGGCACAGCGTGTCCTATTCCAATTGGTATAACTTGGAATAATATTATTTTACGTAATGTTACTATTGATAGTCCTCGTTTGAGTCCTGGTGTTATACTTGGTAATTCATCGAATCCAATGTTAAACGTTTTATTTGATAATGTACTTGTAACTAAACCAGGTTTTCTACCTTGGGCTAATCATTATTATGCTTGTGAAGGTGTCGAAGGTATCGCCAAAGGGAACACCCAACCTCCACCACCTTGCTTCAAAATAATACCATTTTAATATTGGTTTTATCGTCAATTTTTCTACATGAATAGATTAACTGAAACTTGTTTTTATCATAATTGAAAATATAATTTAATTTGTTTTTCATAACTCTCTAATATTAAAAAATAAACAGTAGTAAAGAGTAAAAAAGTAGGATTTCAATAGAAAAATATTTTATCGATTCTATTTACTATTTGATTTTACATTGATTGTTTCATACACGCTGTCTTCACTACTAATTCTCAAAAAAAACAAAAAAAAACAAACCCCTATCGGTATTAGTTTCTACATTGATTGTTACTTGTTTCCATTGTTGCTACTTACATACGGATTGTTGTCTAAACATGAAGAAAGAATTTTTTTGTATTGACAATGTGCATAGAAAGAAAAGAAAAAAAAAGAAACGAGACCTTTTTTTTTTGATTCATTCAATCGAGATTTAGGATATATGAAAAAGGTGTGTTGCGTGACTTGATCAATTCGAAGCAGAAAAAAATACTATGACGGATTTACAGTGAGTTTAAAAAAAGAATCTATCACTTGAAAATCAGACTTACATTTGTCATAGTACTTCTGTGAATCAAACGAAACCTAGTTCAAATGTATATTTTCAAGACAAACGTATACGTCGACATTTAATAGTAGCTGGATTAGTAAGAATTGCTTTTAATATATTTATTTAATTCTCCATTTATATATTTAGATTAATCATAAAGGTGATATTTTACCTCATAAACCTGCTGAAGTTGCCGTGCCTAAACAACCAAAACGACAAATATCTGCAAGAAAACCATCAGAAATAGTTCATTCTTAGTAAATAAAAATAGCTTCAAATTTATAATAAGATCAAATTTTTAAATCTTCAATAATTTCAGTCTAGTAAAAGAAGAAGACAAACGTCTCACTGATGCTCATGATAAAATTGATTATCTTTCAATTAAACGTATCGATGTAGAAAAAAATCCAGTTTGATATTCTTTGTTAATGTATTCATTTTGATTTTATTCAATATTCAATAGGAACCGAATAAAACTCGTCGAGGCACATCGAAACTTCGTCGTTCATCATCACCCGTAATTATATAAATAGAAATCTCTATTAAATCATAGTTTATATATATATATATTGTTTCTATTTGATAGAAAAAGAAGAAACATTCGACAACACGAACAAAATCTGCGCATCATTCATTACGTGACTCGAAAAACAATCTTGCTCATCAGTCAACATCAGAAAAAGTAAAAGTGTGTATGCTTCGATAAAAGAAAATAATAAGTTTATTATTTTTATTTTCATAGTTATTAAACAAAGACAGTCGTCGAGTAATAATGGTCTATTATGGATCGCAAACATTCTCGGATTGTGATACTAGCTGGTGTCAGCCCGATGGGGATGAAATAATTGTTTCGCAACAACATTGTGGTGGAGAAAATCTTATTGTTTTTAAAGGTCATGTCAAGTCGTTTGGTAATAATTCATAGTTTATTTTTCTTTTCATCCAATATATTTTCATTTAGAAAAATTCTCATTTGAGTCTCGACGCCATCCAGATTATCCATTTGCATTAGCTCTTTATATCAATGGTCTTATTGATAGTCGAATATCAACGTGCTGTGAGTATCGACATAAACGTAATGTACCATTAGGCGGAAAACAGGGTCTATTTGGTATTGTTGATGTCATTGATGCAAAACCGTGCCGAAAGTTTGTTAGATTTATCTATTAAAATGTTTTAGTAAAATTTTGCACTCTTATTAAGTTGTCGATATAAAAAAAATGTAAAAAAACCGCGATCGATCGCTTCTGTTGGACTTACATCTACGCCTAATTACCGAAGCTCGTTTGCAACTCAATTTTTAACAAAAAGTCGATCTCCTTCTCCAGTAACTCAACAAAGTTCAAGTTTATCTCCTGTCATATCAACAATTAAACATCGTTCTCCAAATGTGTCTCGAACACCCACGCCATCTTCTACAGGTATTTTGAAAATAGATTAAAGATTGTTTTTGTTTGCAATGTGATCTATATAATTATAAACATCCTAGAACATGAAAGTATACCACGTATAAATTCAGCTAATCTTAATTCACCTATAACTCCAGTAAGTATAAATTTAATAGTTTAAAATGTTTGAAAATATGCTGATTATTAAAATTCAATCAGATAAGTAAAAAGTCAAACGGCCAAAACAACCCAATATTACTCAATAATAATGCTGAACCTTATTCTTCCGATTTTGAAGACATTAATGACGAGGATGTCCCACCGACGACTTCTCGATTTGTAAGCTTTTCTTTTTGGGAAAAAGAACAATTGATTTTCATACCGTTGACATTCGATAGGGCCGGTCACGTATATCGGATTCACATTCGACAGGTAATAAAACAATCAGTGACTTAATAGTGTTGAAGAGTTTTTTCTTTTGTAGAAGATGAAGAAGATCATAGTGACTCATCAAGATCTTCGAAAAAATCTAATCGTGCTGAAAACAATAATTGCAATCATAAACTGACAAATCCTGCTGAAGAAAAGCATGATTCTGATAATCCGACCAGTACCTCGGAAAAATCTGATGGCGACAAAAATCAAAATAATGTCTATAAACCGAAAATACTAATGGAAGAAAACGACGCCAACGAGAAACTACCAATTTCATCATCTAGTACGCGAAGAAAATCAGATAGACTCAATGATGAAGATAGTTTTTTTCTAACTGGCTCATCCGTTGGAAAAAGCAATGCTCTCAATCAATCGCAACAATCATTTATTACTGCTGCGAAAAAATCTAACCCTCTTCGTGATGAAGACAACTTTTTTCTATCTAATTTATTAGCTGGTAAAAACAATGCTGCTGGCCATTCACGAAAATCTTCATCGAGTACTTCGGGAAAATCTGATCTTTCTTCGAGATATCAAACAAAGAGACAATTCAATGATAAAAAGACTGATAGTACTACTAATCATCGACTTCCATTCTCTAGTTCATTTCAAAATACTACTGATGATCGGCGATTACCATCGAATTCAGATAATATCATTTCTAGACCGTCAATTACAAACAATGCTCAAGAAAGTTATCTATCGTCCAACACACGCCGCGTTTTGACCAGTTCATCAGAAGACATATTCGAAAATAAATATTCATCGTCTTCAAAAAATAATAAACATTCTTCAGCCTTAAACGACGATTGGTTCAGGACGAATAATAAAATCGATTTAGGTGATAAGAATGACATTAATTTCGATACAAATTCTAAAACAAAATCATGGCGAAAACAGAATAATAACTCTGACAAAGAAGGTACGCAAATGAATTCTTTTCGACTAGTATGAAGTTACTAAAAAAACAAATATTCTCACTTGAAAAATAATTGAGTTTATATTATTCATTCACATTTTTCTTGTATCTAATATTCGTTAGATAGCTACGTTATCGGATAGTTAGGAAATTCTTGAGAATTTAGAAAATTGTGTTTTAAATTCTATTTTAGATTGAATGCAATCAACAAGATTTGCAAAAGCATTAGATTGCTTCAGTCACATAATTATAATCGGTTCAAACTTCAGGAACACTTCTATTAAAATATGAGCTAAATTTTTCATTCTTTTTCTCTTTCTGTTAATTTATTTCATTTTTATAACAGATGATCCTTATTGTATTGATTTATTCTCCAATATATTTTCTTTTTATTATAAAACATTGCTCATTGAACATTCTATCTTGATTTCTTGCTTCAACTAACTCTTCATCATACATTCGTTTTTGTTTTTGCTGCCTGAAATTTTTCCATTTAACAACATTTTAATTATTACATCACTCTATTTCATTTCACCATAGACTTTATAGCTAAATAAAATCTATGATGCGTAAAAGTACTGAATAAAATACATTTCTATTGAACTATTATGTGTAGATATCATTGTGTGTGTGTGTGTGTGAAATAGAACCCGTATGATACGGTTTTTCTCCATTTGGTTCTAATTTAGAAAGTATTTCTTATTATGAACGAAAACTTTTATGACAGTATATACGAATGGGAGAAAGGCGCTACGTCCATACGTCGAATTGTTTTGAAGTACGATGGAAGTACAAGAGGGTGCAACTGAATTACACCGAAGTATACATGAAGTATCTGAGAGAGTACACGGGAAATACCAAAGTACGAATGTCGCGCTTTTCCCCCTTTATTACATCACTGTACACTCATTATGGATAATATTGACAGCAGTTATTCGTACAAAACAAATGGCATCGATGTTATTTACTCTGGATGATAACATGTAATTTTTATTATTAAATAATATACAAAAAAAAAGAAAATTTCTATGACAGAATTCAATCGTTCTATGTTGAAAATAAATTCTATTGAAGTTTTATTTTTCGACGAAACATACGTAAAAGTTCAAGTAAAACTCGTCGAAAAATCGTTTTTCCTGCTAATGTATAAAGATAAAATGGCATACCATTAACCATAAAAGCAAGGAGTACATCGAAATTATACAAAAAATGATTCAGTGCCACTAGCCGATTGTTATTTGAATTTATTGGCTTAAATGTAATATAAAATTTGTGTAAAGCTTGCGGTAGACAAAATATAACTAAAAGAAGAACTTCTATCAAAAGCATACGAAGTAAATGATGATCAGCGCTTCTTAATCGCATTTGTCTTCGTTGTAATGAACCTCTTATTGATAAAATAGTTACACGTTTTATACGACCACGTAAATGATGAATATTAGAAATAATCATAATACTAAAAGACATCATTACGATTGATGGAATTAAAATTGTCAATAATCCATAAACTAAATCAGTTACTAAACGACATGCTGTATTTTTTCCGTAGCATTTTAATGGTGCATCTAAAATATTAGCTTCATAACAATAAATCATATGAATATAAAACCAATTCGATAGAACAAAACTTGTGCAAATGCCCAATTTTGCTATTTTTAAATTACTTAAATTGCGACGAGAACCTTTACGAGATGATAATAACCATCGATCCACAGTCGCTAACATAATTAACCATATCGACATACTTCGTGAAGTAAATACGATATAAACACGAAATTTACAAATCCAATCATTTGTATGTGTTGGATCGAGATGCCAACTGGCCATTATTCTAGTCGTGAGACCAAATACAATAGAAATAAGATTGACAATAGATGAACTCAAGAAGTATAATGCACACGGATTCGAACGTAGTATTCGTTGAGATAAAACTAGACAATTCAATATATTTCCAACTATTCCAAAGATGAAGATAAATAATGATAAATATAAATTCATTTCATCCAAAATAGTATCCAATAAAGGGATTAAATTTTCATCTGATAATGATGTCATAGTCTTTAAAAATATTCAATTAGACTGATTATCTATTTAGTTGAATTCAATAAAATGATGTTGTATAATCTATGGAGTTCTTGGAAATATTTTCATAAAAAAATTACATGTAAAAAAGAATGCTATTCACATCGACAACTTCTGAACGCTTATCTTGATAGAAAATGCGATTCATTCTTGGTTACACCAGATAGGAAAAAAATACACTAGTAATTATTTAGAGTACTTTACTCGTGAAAAAAGAAAACAATATGAATAGACAGACGATGAGAAGATAAAAATAGATAATAAACTTACGGGAAACTCATACACATTTCATTATCTCTATTAATGATAGAAACCATATGTTGATGTGTGGCATCAAACATCAATCGTTTTGTTTTCACAAGTGATTTTTCAACTATGTTAGTAAAATGAATACACAATTTAGATAATCTACTAGATTAATTTCGTTCGAGTACATGTTATAAACAAGAAAACTTTAGAATACTAAATGATACTAACCTACGATAAAAACTGCTGCAGATATTTCTCATACAAGTGCAACACTGAATACGTATATTGCGTATGGTCTACGACTCATACTTTTCTAAATTTATCATACATTCTTTATTTCGATTGATCCTTCTGATTTACCTACATTTTTCTTCTATCCGTTCTAAACTTTTTAGAGTAACACAAGTAATCATGTATTCAGCCACCATATTACATTTTACATTGAATATTTCATGAATATCACTACACAATGTGCATGCCATACACACTACAATTCATTTGGAAACTAATGACCACTGAGCATGTATTCATTAGTCTGTAAGGAAGTTCGTTCAGTTCTTGAGAAGAATATTGTTAGAACTTTTCTTGTTCTATTGAACTGTGCGACTGTTTTTCTATCTATTAAATATCGTTCAAGAATTCATACGTAATAAGTCATACACATATATAATTATTTTAATAGGCATTGTTTGAACGATAAGCTCGTCAGTAGAGAAAAAGAATCGAGAAACATCCGTTTATCAGTTATTTATACAGACTCTTTCACTCCGGCAAAGCCAAAATGAGCTGACAAAAAAATAAGTATCACCGTATCATTCCGATAGAATTATGATCTGAAAAGTATTCCGCATAATATATGAGTTGATTCATCTATAATAAAATTTCTGTTTTCTTTTTTCTTTTCATTGAATGATTTATTTTAGTAAAAACGTTCAATAAAAGAAAGAACTAGAGCTATTCGAAATTCATTTTATTCCAATATAGATATTATCAATAGCTAATGTATCTATGAATAAAATTTAGGAAGATAATTCCATTTCTACTAGTCTTTTTGTGTACTCAAAAAAGTGAGTACACTCTAGAATCGATCAGTGTGTCCGTGCGTCCGTTTACACGGTAACTCTCGAAAGGAGAGTTAGATCATGGTGAAATTTTCTACACAGTTCAGCCTCATTAATGTCTCAGTCGAGTTCGAAGATGAGAAGGATCCGCCAAGAAATGGTTGAGCTATCGAAAAAATTGTCATTATTGACCAATCCAACCCTGAGGGGGTGTACAGGGATTTTTCAAAAACAAATTTTTTCTTAGAATTATTCACAACACATATAAATTGACTCAGTTTTTAACGCTGATCCCGAATCTGATATTAATTTTGAACCAAACCGTAGCTTTCTAACAAAATATCGCCTGAGAAAGGTCTCAAAAATGCACAAAAACTGCATCCAGAAACCAAATTGGCTAAATATATTTCAGATGACCAGTAGTTTTGGGGTTTCTCAAATGCCTGATTTTGTAGCTAGTCAAAAGGACTATCGAAAGGTAAAAACACGAACTCGATAGCTATTAATATTGGTGATTTATTAGGAGAATACTAATGCCTGTATCTATCATATATCTCTTATAGATTCATGAAGTTCCTTACGATCGTGATCCCGCTAGATACAAGCGCAAATCCATTCAAAAATAACTCTTCTTGCCCAGTTTTCCAAGCTAAACACGAATCTGAACTTAATTTCTGTGATTTCTAAGGATATTATATCACTCTAAAAGTAGAGTCAGTGGTCACCGGATATGGTCGCATACAGTGTGGTCCATGCTAACTTAGCACGCCTGTATTTTCTTCTTGCAATTTAGTGACAAGGGATTATCTTGATGAGATCTGCGTCTTATAGAAAGAAAGAAAAGGAATATACCTTTTCACTTTTTGAAGTACACATAACACTCGGATTTAAATCCGAGGTTTTCGCATTTATTTTTATTCATATGTTAGGACCAAATTTTATTTAATGTAATTATAAATGACCTTGAAATTTACATCACTGTCAATACTCAATGATTTTACTAAGGAATAAAAAGGAAATACGCAATCTTCTTTTATCCTGCAAAATTCAATTTATAATTATCAAGAGCAAGCGCCATCTGGAAAGCTTCGTACATAGAAAGAACAGAAAATCGTGTCTGGGATTCTGATAGGAGAACAATGATACAGATTTACTATTGGACAGGACAGGACAGGAACAAGAATCCTCATTTAAAAATTGTTTTTCTTTGTGTCAAAAATTGATGACATAATTCGCAGGAAAATTCGCTGCTAATAATTATTTCACTAGTATATTCTTTTTTTATTTTATATGTAGAAAAATTAAGGGAAAATCCGATATTTCAGATATTATTTTCATTGTTCAGTAATTCCTACCAAATTTCGACTGTAATTCTTCATCAAGCATCGGAAAAAATTAGACCGTGAAAATATTCACAAAGGTAAAATACATAGTTCTATATAAAAGAAACAACTTTGATCTAAAATGAAAACTAAATCATAAAAATTTCATATCATGCATAGGATTCGACTGGACCAACGTGTCTCTCTCCTTTTCTTTCTATCTCTCTCTCTCTCTCTCTTTCTCTGCACTTACACTATCTATATGTAACTAACAATAAGTTTGTTACCATATTGAACAAATTTACAGTTAGTTAGTTAAATGTAATAATACTATACAATCGCTTATGATTCTTATTTTTATTTTTAAATTCAATTTGATATTTTGACTGATTATTATTATTAATGTTTCAATTTATATCGTTCAACCAGCAAATTATAGGAAATTTTTATGAGAGAGTGAGCGTATACTTTCTGATCTAAGAAAATTCCGATCGTATTTCGTAAATCAATATTTTTTATATAATTTATGAAAACCAATAGATCACATCATGAATATTCTTCAAGAAAGGATTGAAATCATGTTCATTTGGCTTGACATTTCATCTTGTTTTGTTTTTATTAATCCAGAAGATACATTTAGCCAAAAGATTTTATTATTTTGTGATCTCTTTGATCAAAAAAGAAAAAAAGGTATCCATCTCTATGTGAATCAAGAAGTCGCAAAAATCTCTATAAAATATAGAATATTTTTAATTCTATGTCGATTTTATTTAATCCTAATATAAGTTCCATCTTGTTTGAGTCCAGCTAAAATATGAAAGTAGATGATGACTTTTTTGTGAGATTTCTACCCTTAATGAATTTCTTTGCAAGCATTAAATTCTACGCCATTGAGCGGAAATAATTAGATCGAAAAGCATATGAACTTTTTGTAATTGAGGGTACTTATTCGCACATGAACAAATAAAAAATCTAAATTTCCTTTAACAAAAATATTTAATTAATTTTGTGAATAGATTTACGGGAATCTCTCGATATGAAAACAAGCATTCAAGCTGACTCTTGTGTCATCGTGTTCGAATACACTGAAACTTGGAGAAATTTCTAATGATAGATATTCGTCCACAGATAACTAAGGTAGAAGAAAATTCAATTATTAAGCATTGTATGTAAATCAAGGAAACAGTTTTCGTCCTGACTGAAACGTTCGAATTATCTTAGAAATCATAAATTCTAGATATGAATCGTATTTCATGCGATAACAAAGATATTAGGTTTTATTTCTGATATATTTTGCACATTGCCTAGAAAAGTAGTTAAGTATTTATCGCTTGAAAAGATAGTAATTATACAATAATTTTTTTCTGGTTTAATATAACTTTGATAAACTTGGTTACCTAACAGAATTGTTGCTTTTTTTCTTAAGAGTTCTTGAAGATCTAGAAAACTCCTTCTGTTAGAAAGATGTAATATGCAAAGATCAACTAAAAGCAAGCTGCTAGACTTATTTTTCTATTCGTCTAACTGATATTCAGAGTCCTAAGAGATAATTTAATCTAACTAAGAGGTAATATTTACTTTAGATTATTGTCATTCAATAAATGGATTATGGTCAACCAATCTCATTAATAGTTGATGAGGCAGGTCTCATTCGAAAAGACAACTCATCGTCACATTGTCAAGTCTGTGAAACCAATGGTGCACAATATCATTATGGTGGATTATGTTGCGTCTCATGTAAAATGTTTTTCCGTCGCAATGCAAAATTTGATTTAGTTAGTGAATTTGCGTTGTTTTTCTAATATTCGAATTCATTTATTTATATCATCATATTTAGGATGCTCATGATTGTGTATTCAAAGAAAAATGTGGCATAACAATAAATAGTCGACGAGCATGTCGTTATTGTCGTTTAAAAAAGTGTTTAGCCATTGGCATGCAACGAGAACTATTACGGGCGTCACATCATCGTCGAGTTAAATCTAATGAGAAACCTATATCTTCAACAACTGTGATGTCACCACTTGACTTATTAAATAATGATCGTTCATTATTAACTGAAGAACAGAAAAGTCGTGTATCGAATGTAATTCATACTTATGATACAAAATCTTCTGTTAGTCATATACGTAATTTACTATCGACACAATCGAAACATCCAGTAAAAATGCGTTTAAAAATGGCTAAAACAAATATTTTAGAAATAATTATATCTATGTATCAAGGTATACTTCCATTTTTCGAAACATTACCAGAATTTCAAACAATGCACCGTTGTGATCAAAATGAATTGATTGAAAGAAATCTTGAATATGTTGGTGGTTTTAATGCAATTCTGGTATTTCGCGATGCAGAAGTTCCGTTTAGTACAGCATTTAAAAATGGTTTTCCTTCAATTTATGGACCAACAGTAGTCGACGATGCCATAAATGTCGCACTTCGAACTGACACAGATGTTACACTTATCAAATTATTAATACCTATTTTATTATTTTCAACATCATACTTTATTCGTGCTCCAAACAGTGTACGTAATAAATGTAAGGATTCGATAATTATATTTTTCATGACAAAGTCGTTAGATATAATCCTAGCTGGTTAAGATAATGTTTTAATGTTGAATAGGAATTCGTGAAATTATATACACTGATCAAGTGTTCATACTTTCATGAATTTTGACCTTTCGAAGGTCAATTGAATCCATTAGTCTGATAGTATTAGAATATGTAGATGAAATTGTAGTATTTCAATTTTTTTCATATATTATATCTTTCTAAATAGTAAGATATTTGTAGTAGACAATATTTATTTTCTAGCTTCAGTATAAAACTGTTCAAGGATGCCAACATAAGCGCATTAGATGATGATGATGTGCGCATTTTTTCGTACTTGATTTTTAAATGCACTTTCCATTTTTATAATACATAAGAGGATCATCAATCAACGGCTCTTTTATAAAAAAAAAGATATCCCTTATTGACTTAGTTACTGCTTTTAGTTCGATTTTATTTTGATGAGTACATATTAAACAGATAATTAGATTTTTTCACTCTTTCGTCCTTCTTTTTTGTTTCCACAGTTATATATCTTAATTTGTTTGTAAATATGTTTCGTAGACTTTGAAATAAAGATGTACCAATAATCCTTTTTTCTCTCGCTTAAAATGTTGTTTTTACTATTATAAATGTTACCTAGTTAAGAGCTATGTTCTTATTTGAATTCACTTATGATTCTAAAATTTGATCTTAGCATAAACCTTTTTTAGCACTTATTTTAATAATATACAACTTTTATTTTTCGATTGTTTCATTTAATTAGATCAATTTTTTGAAACAGCGATGAATTCAATTTTCTACAATACAAAACGTCTATTTCATATTCAAAATATTTATATTGAAATCATGTTTAAATATATGATCTATCGATTTGGTTATAATAAAGCATCGTTACGTTTTGCTGCTCTCATTAAAAGTTTTCTCGATCAAAGCATGTGTGTCTTCCAAGCTGGAGCAATTGAATCGCATGATCAGTTAATGCAAAAAATTGGTAAAGATACTGAATTACCGTTCAAACCTCAAAATGAAAAACTATATTGAAGATTTTCTGCAGTTCAAGGCTAAACATTTTAATGTATTTAAAATAGAGCAACAATGCTGTTTTTGCTTTGCTTTGCAATAATTACTAATATATACTTGAGGAAATAAAAGTAGATTTTTAATGAAAAACGATGGCTGCTAAAAACGCATTCAGTACTGAACTTGTTCATGAATAAAGGAGAAACCTGCATATTTTGCAATCACTAGGTTTCATACTGGAGCATTTTCTTCTGTGAAACCGAAGAATCTAAAGATTGACGAGTTAATTATATGTTCAATTTAAACAATCGTAACAATTATTTGAAGTATCCTGTAGTGTATATGACTAGCATCCACCAAATGGAATAACTAGAAAATAATTGTCGAGAACTAACACACACAGAACAAGGCATATCTTAAGGGTAAAAAAGAATCGAATTCCTAATCGATTGTTGGGCTTATATCAAATAAAATCATGCTCGAACTTCATAATTCAACAAATAGTGGCAGATACACAACATTGAACTAATTATTAACGTACATAATACATTTCAAGATCTTATATCTTTGGATGTTTTTATATTTAAAAACAAATTTTTTCGTCAATTCTATTTGTTTGTAACAGTAAATGAATCTGTTAAAAAGACGTAACGTTTATAGAAAAAACATTTTTCATCGTCATTAAAGAAAAGTTAATGCTCAAAACAACGATTTTCATTTTCTTTTAAGAGAAGAGCAACTTAGTTATCTTTAAAATATAGAAAATAAAACAAAATGACTTAAGAAATACTTTGCTAATGATTGGAAGCTAATATTAAATGGTTTCCGATTGTTCTGAAAGTCTCACAACATGATAATGTTTTCATTTATCGATTTATTCGTCTAAGTTCATTTCAATATCAACAAGTCTCTTCAAAGAAATGTCTATGTTTCATTTTCTATGAATACACACGGCTTACTTATTCTAAGAAGTATTTTACCCAAGGGGAAGGTAGATTTCATTTCGAACTATGCGAACGATTCGAAATGTCCATACGAGACGTTACGTTTTACCTCAGCCATAGGGCTCCACTTATGCATTGAATTTGATGAATTTGATCAAGTATTAATGCTATTTCAGTTGCTATTAGTTAACCGTTCATTAATTCAAAGTTGTATGAATCATTTAGAAAAATATTGAATATTTTTGATTTTTTCAAGTCACATCTAAATTCCAATATATTTTATGTCTTTATTATTCTTTTCTTTTTCGTAAGTCTCCTATACATAGATGGTGAATCGATCAATAATGCCAGTTATTTATTTAAAATTATTATTGTCCGAAGCAGTACTCATTAATAGAATAGAATTTTACTTTAAATAAAAATAATCGAACCAAGCAGGCGATGAATACAACTAAGAGAGTAAAGTCTGTCATCATACGAAACGAGTAGATAATGTATTGATATATGATAAAATATAAAAATGTACTCACATCATGGGAAACTATAACAAATGACGTTATTTTATTCATAGAGCATTAGAAAAAATTGTACTTATTTAAAATTTACACCAAAGTACAACAAAAGAGTGGGTTAAATAATTAATGCATTTATTAATAATTTTTAGGTTCTAAAAAAATAAGATACTATTAAATTTATAAACTTATATAAAAATCATTCCAAAATATTAATTCTCATTTTTTTTTACTGAAAAATATCCAAAATCGAAGAAAATTCAGTCTTATTCAATGATATATTTCAAATGTGTCATACCCGTAGTTTTTGTTAGGGATTAACGCAATTAAAATTAACTCTAGTAACCACACCGCATCAGGCAGCGTGGCCGAGCGGTCTAAGGCGCCGGTTTAAGGCACCGGTCCGAAAGGGCGTGAGTTCGAATCTCACCGCTGTCACTATTTTTCTGTCCTGCGACAGAACCGCGAATTACTATTTTTTTTTATCGCCACTAGTCATGCAATATGTTTTGTTCCTTTATAATTCTCCTCAATAATTATCGAATTATTAAATAATTAAAATTGTACGATAGTTCAAGTATAGAATATTCTTGTCTAACTCACCACATACATTATAGTTCAACTTTACTTAAATTAGTTATTCAGTTCTATCCGTTACAGTACACCAAGATCTTTCAAGAATCTGATAGTACGAACTGATACAAGATTGCACTGCCAGATCTATTACATGAACTTTCTTTTCTTGTCGTGAATGAAAAATCTGATGAAATTTAATCCGTTATAATAAACTAAACTGCATTTCTAACATTATCGCCTACCATTGCTTTCATTTTACTGAAAGGACATTTTGATCATGGAGGTAGGGGTGGACCGTTGATTTTAATTTGAGTTAATTAAGAGAGTTAATTAAGTGGTTTTGCTTAACACTTAATATTAAGTAATTAAGTGACTAATCTACACATTTTTTTCTTAATATTAAGTATTGCGTTAACGTTTAATATTAAATTAACGTAAAGTGCCACCCCTACATGGAGGACAGTTTTTCGGAGGACTTTATCAGAAAGGATCATTTCCCAAGGATATTTTTGCAAGGACGTTCTAGACTGGTACCATTATTTTTTAGTCATAATTTAGTGACACTTAGGATGAATCTGTTCTACATTTGATTGGGAGAAGTAGGCATGCACCGAACCCGGGTACAAACCGGGTAGTTCGTGTCAGCACTACCCGGTATTCGGTCGTACCCGGGTTCGGTCATACCAGGTACCCGGTACTATCCGGGTTTCATCATACCCAGATTCGGTACTGGGATTCTCTGGTCTACTTATTCGTATCCTTCGAAGCATAGAAATGAATAATAAATAGCACCTATGGATATATATAGTAGGTGATAAAAGATGAATTCATGTCAAAGATCCTCTACCTTGCTCATCCTATCATAGTTAATCTCATTTATCAGGAATGGATATAGTTAAATGAGCTTCTCTTAATATTTATCTTGGATTCAACTACAAGAAATCGTCGAATGGTTCTCCTTATTAAGTTTTCCGGAAATGCAGATGTATGAGTTTTTTTCCATCGGTCTACTAACAATATCAATACTAATAATGCTAATATCGATATCAAAAATACTAAATTGTATTGGTATTGGTAGTATTCGAATCCTCACAATCCTACTCAGACTATCAGAAGGATCATTTCAATAAGGAGAACTATTCGACAATTTCCTGTAGCTGAGTCCTAGAGAAATATTCATAAAAGCTCATTTAATTGTATACTTTAGTGATAAATAAGATTATCTATGAGAGATTGAGGAAAAGACCATAAACCTTTGAAATAAAATCATTTATTATTATCGATCTATAGGTAGTATTGTTATTCATTTCTATGCTTCGAAGGATACGAATAAGTAGAGCCTCGAATTCCTATACCGAATCTGGGTATGATGAAACCCGGTTAGTACCGAAACCGGGTATGACCGAATCCGGATATTACCGAAACCGGGTATGACCGAATACCGGGTACGACCGAACCCGGGTAGTACCAAGCCCGGGTAGTTCGGGTTCGGTGCATGCCTAGGGAGAAGGCGAAGCATTATGTTATTAATAATTTTTTTATGTGGCGTGCTAAGATACTCTGAGTATGGAATGGAAAAAGAAACTTTTTTCAGCATTGTGTATGCACTAGACTTACATATCTATCTGTAGCTGTTAATTGAATTTTTTCAGTTTCTGATAGGAAAAGAAAAGAAATTCAAGCGATTGTAACTAGTGTCATTGATTGATGTCGTGTGTATTCGACTTTTTATTGTGTGATAATGTTCAAAATTTTCAATTTTTCTGTATTCTGTTATGGTATTGTTTCATTGCAGTGTTTTTTTTTTGATATTGTAAAGACGCTCAGAAGCGCGTCTGATCTGAGTGGGAGAGCGTGCCGATATTGATGGCACGCTTCGATGATTCTCCTTCCTTTTCTTTCTGTTCTCTTTCCGGTGTTCTAATTTATCTCTCTTCTGTCTCTCTCCTATATATACGTGTGTTATGTATGAAGTTGTTACACTCTGGATATGCGAAGAAGCGAATAAACATCATTGTCTAGAGTGGCGGTAAGCTACTCCACCTCTATCGAGTTTGTCTTAATAAATCAACCAGCAAGAGTCTCTTATTTACCGTTACAAACGGTCGTATACGTTGCAGGACTTGGTCGTTTCCTGTTTATGATACGACCATATACGGCTTCTAAATGGTCGCTGCGTTCTGTCGTATACGACACGGCGATATGCGGCGCATACCAAAACGTTAAAATACGGCCCATATACTGTCGTAAATTCCGCGTATACCACCGCATACGTCATCGTAAACGGCCGTATCTAGTCGTCATAATGCTCGGCCTGGGTACCACTCGAAAGCCATTTCTAGTTTCAAAATGACATCAAATTCAGTGAAGCATCTAAAACTATATAAAATGTATTGCGCTTGAACAAAGCATGAGTCCTTACAAAAAAACTTAGATTTGTTTGATTGATCTACTTTTGGAATGCAACCGTTACGATAATCGTATCTACGGTTACAAGTTAATCGTACGATTTTCACCAGTTCTCGATGACGGCGATATTTTTTCGCAAAAGTAACGATATATTACAAATGCTGGCGGACAGCAATCGAGCTAGGGGAATCCGAATCTGCAGTCAGTTTCTAGAAATAGTGTACTTATTTGATCCCTAATGTGACAGACTTCCATTCAAAATTCCCCTAGAACTTAACTTCTAAATTTTTGAAACCTTGATTCCAGACTCGGATTCATCGGCCCCAATTTCATCTAATCAATTTTTATAAAAATCGTTAATTTCTCTGAAAATATGTTCTTCTTCTGGAATAGAAATATAACAGCGAGACTAATGGTGAAGGCGGTAGCATATGAGGATCCTATGATGATGACCGATGAATTGACACCGCTGATTTTTGTGAATAGTAATAAGTCTGAACAATGCAAAGTAGAACGTTCATCATTCTAGGTTCCTATCTCAGTCATCGTCTTCACTTGTGTTAACGGTGATGCTTGAAAG